ATTAGGCTTACTTATTAGAATTCTTATTATTCTAATTTATAGTCTTCTAGTTTAGATAGATATTAATATTCTAACTTTAGAGCTTACTTTAACTAGTTAAATTATTTTTTTTATAATACCTCTTATCTTTCTAGGATGCTATTCTTAATTATAGCTAGGTAGAAGATATAGGCTTCTAGGGGTTCTAGTATATTAGAAAATTATACTACTTTAGCTTAAATAATTAGGGTAATACAGGAGTATAGGATATCTTTATAGTAAAAATCTAGTATTAGCTTATCTAGTTAAGAGTAAATACTATCTAGGTAGGTCATAAATTCCTATATACTTTACTATAGTTTTTAAGTAGTATTATAAAATCAGACTATAGCCTCCTTATATAGGTATTTTAGGGCCATAACTAGGCATATATAAAAATTTATAAAGTTAGCCTACTAAAGGGGTCTAGATAATTTAGCCTTATATATATATATTATTTATTATATTAATTATCTATAAGTTAGACTAAGGCTACCTATACCTAATTATTTTTAGATTTAAACTAGCTAGGATATTCCTTAAAGTATACTTATATTTAGTTTATAAAGATAATATACTCCTGTATTATTATAGCTAAGAATAATTTTATATTTATAGGTTTCTTTAATTATTCTATATAGATTATTTTTTTTATTACTTTAGGTATGCCCTTATCTACTAGAGTTATTCTCTCTAGTAGTGGGATTTCCCTAGTACTTTCTAAGATATAATCCTATAATTAAGCTTATTTCTTATTTAATTATTACTAGATTTCTATTCTCTAGATTTCTAGCTCTAGGTAGTATTCTTCTTCTAGAAGAAGTTAGATATCTTCTTTCTTAACCTAACTACTTAGGTTTTATTTACTATTATACTATCTCTATTAGGTTTAGGATTTAGGCTGCCTCCTTCTATTTAGGGTTATTTCTATTATCTTAATAACCCCATTAGTAATTTAAGGCATTTCTCTATTATATTAGGCTCTTTAGTCTAGTATTTACTGGAGGAAGGGTCCTAGAGTAGATTAGCTATAGGTGTTTAGTATTCTTATAGTATTCTAGTAGACTGATTAGATTTTAGGAAGTGATTAGAACTATAAGATGTAGTATAATATCTAATAGAAGATAGTAGTAGATTAGTATAAAGGGATCATAGGGTTATATTACTATCACTAGAAGAACTAATTACTAGTCTACAGAATCTTCCTCTACTAGTAAGGTTTTATGCTGGGTCATCACATGCTAAACCAGCCCTACCATTTGCTGGGGTGCAGCCTTGGTGCCTTACCTGGCTTGTTTAGTGGAACTATTCTCCAGCACTGTTCCTAACAGAAAAGATTAAACTTTAATTAAAATATAAGTAAGATAAATACTAGCTACTAGTAATAGGCCTAACTAAAAAACTCTACCAATAAAATAAATTTCTAAAAATATATAGACTATACTTTTATACCTACCTACTTAACTAGCCTATATAATATAATTAATAGCTAAAAAGACTACTCACCTAATTAATAAAATAACCTAAAATAGAAGAACTAGTACTTATTATAGCAGGACTTTCCTAACCCTATAGGATTCTAGAGGTAGGGAGTAAGAGTATTAAGCTTAATATTAGAGATATTATAAGGCTAGAGTTTATAATATTAATAAGTAGAGTCTCTAGTACTTTAGGGGTTATAGAAATAAGAATTAATAAATCTATAATAGTAAGGAAAGAAGCTAATAGAGCTAGTACTATAATTATAATAATAAAGAATAAGGAAATATTAGAGATAGAGAGAATATTAATAAAATCTATATTAGAGTTAGAGTTCTTTATAGTATAGGCTATAGTAGCCTAGATATCTAAGACTATAATTATTAGAGCCTAATACTATTAGAATTATAGGACCTAGAGAGTAGTAATAATTTACTACTTTTTAATTTATAAGACCTATATAATATTAGTATAGCTACTAAATCTAATAAAAATACTATAAAAAGATATTAATAAATACTATATATAAATATACTTCTATTTAATATAGAAGTATATAGTATAAGCCTTTTATTTATAGCTAGATACTATCTAATAATTATAGTACCTAATCTTTAAATTATGGATTTTAGCTTAAAGATAATAAAGATAGGGGTTTCTATATAGAGAAAATACCTAAAAATTAACTAAATTAACTAGAATTAGTAGTACTTAATATATCTTAATCAGAAAATTAATATACTTAGTAGGCATCTCAACCAAAGGTATAAAATAAAGTAGAAAAATAGTAATAAAAAAATAGTAATTAATACTAATTTATAGGAGAAGATAAAGATAAAGATAATTAAAATAACTATAAGAGAATCTATAAGAGGGGAGTATATATTATAGTATATATTTATAATATTATTTAATTATATTCTTAATAAGTAGAGCCTATTTAGCTATAGAGAATAATAGAATAATAATAAAATACTATAGACTAATAGACCCTTAGCTAATTAAATTACTAGAGCTAACTAAGAGCTCTACCTCACTGAGCTAAATAGCTAGAATTAATAATAATAAAGTAATTTAAATAATTAGAATTAACATATACTTAGTAAGCTAATAAATCAGAGACTATATATTAAGTAAAATTAACTATAGGATTATAGTCTATAGAGAGAGAAGATAATTATTAAAAATAATACTAGAGAATAATTCTATTAAATAAGCTAGGTAAGGCACTAAGGCTACACCCTACTAAATAGTAGGGCTAGTTTAGCATATGATAGCCTAGCATAAAACCTTACTGGTGGAGGAAGATTCTGTAGACTAGTAATTAGTTCTCCTACTAATGGTAATATAACCCCATGATCCCTTCACACTGATCTATTACCCTCTTCTATCAGATATTATACCGCTCTTACACTAACAGATATTATAATACTATAATACTATAAGACTATAACCACTATAAGTAATTACTAGATATATAATTAGGATGTTAATACTTTAGGAAGAAGTGTGGGCCATGTATGCTTAGTAATGGGATCGGGTGAGGGCTGAGGCCACACAGAATGTGTGGCCAAAAGTCCTTATTTCATATACCTCTCCGTAGATAGATTCTGCCTACACCCTCCATCTCTGGAGTTGAGCATGTCTATAGAATGGCCATCTTATTACATAGAGAGACTGCAAGTAAACACTTCTACGGAATAAAAGGAGCAGAATTCTTAGACTGACTGTCGCTAATATTGTCTGTATGCCCGACGGGGAAGGTGTCGGAGACGGTTCCCCGGAAGATGGATATCCAACTGTAGACTGATCTGTACATATTCAACGATACACCAATGCTAGGCTATCATTCTTCAGCCTCCCAACTTGGCGGGACAGGATCGAGAGCGTTGATGCTCCCCATGATTCACCCGACGGGTACGTCGAGGTCACGTGTGTCTTGGTGAAAATCGACCACGATGCGTCCAGCGACTTCACCTCGCCGCAGCTCCTCGACAGCTTCTGGCAACCGGTCGATCAGATAGACCTCGCAGATCGGTTTGAGCAGCCCTCGTCGGGCGAAATCCGAGGCGGCCGCTGTATCCTTGCGGCTACCCACTCACATCCCTTTGATTGTCAGGTTCTTAAACACGAACGTGTTGGGATCCTCGCCAAGCAGCACCGTCTTGGCCGGCGCCAGCCCGATACACATGACGAATCCCACCGATGCGCTCGTCGATGGACGAGACAGTCGAGCGATATGCAGCTGGCGCTGTGACGAATACGAATACCCCGTCCGCGACTGCGATGACCGCCGCAGCCGTATCCGCCGTCTCTGCGAAGTCGACAAACGCCTCCGCCCCCATCTCAGTTGCGAGAGCCTTCTTCCACGCCCCCGTGTCCACTACGATCGGCCGCATACCCATCGCCTTGGCCAGCTGCACACCCTGAATCCCCGCCACCCCCGCTTCCGCCGGGAAAGACCGCCCAGTCCCCCGGCTTGCGTCCCGACTCGACCAGCGACCGGTAGGTGGTCGCCGTGCTACACATGATCGGGGCGGCGACCTCGCCAGGTACACCGTCGGGAATTGGCGACGCGTATCGCGCTGGCGAGACAAGGTACTGCTGGTAGGGTCCGGCGGTCATCAGACCGGCGTGCACCGCGGTACGGCAGTATGTCTCCTTATCGCCCCAGCAGAGCTCGCAGGAGTCACAGGTGTCGGTCAGCGGCTTGGTGCCGGCGCGGTCGCCGACCTTGAAGTTCTTCACCTTGGCGCCGACCTTCACGACCACGCTGGCGCCTTCGTGGCCCGGTGAGCGGACGCCGAAGAACGACCTCGACGCGCCGCCCATGTCGCTCTTCATCACGTGGATGTCGGACGAGCAGAGGCCGGTGACATTCAGGCGGACCAGGACGTCGTTGGGCCCTGGTCTCGTCCGTCTTCGTAGTTTATAGAGCAAAGGAGGACCAACCTACCCTGGCTTTGGTACGGGGACCCTCCCCACCTTGACCTGGAAGTCGGGGCCTTCATTGACCACGACGCCGGCTTTGCAGTGGGAGGGAATCTCTGAGAGTGTATCCATATCTGTAGCTGTAGTGTGGGCTGTCTAGTCTCTACCTCCGTGTAAATTCCTGTCGCATACCCTCCATACTTATGCTGTCGACATCCGAGGCAGCGCGGAAATGGTCCGCAGCTTGGCCCGCAGTTTACCGTGCCCGTTGAGAAGCGAGGGAGAAGGATATTCGGTTGGGAAGAGATATCCGATCCAGTCCTATCCGCTGCGTGACGCGGGGTCGCCGCATGACCATCTGCAGGAATGCCAGGAAGAAATGGCTCTGCCCTGATGCCCAACAACATGACTCAACTGTCCTTCACTCTCCAGACACGACTCCGTTGTTATATGATGGCATGGTGGACCCTGCCGAGCGGATATCCCGGACCCACCTTCAGCCTCGTCTGAGAATTCTGACTCTCTCTCTTCGTATTTGAAACTTGTCAGGAAACTGAATCTGAGGAACGAACATGTCTCTTTCAACTCGCTCAAATGCCGTCCTCGCCGCCAGCAGCGGCAGCATCATGTGGGAGGTCATGGCCAACCTCTATGACCCCGTCACCAACCCCACCGGCTACTACAGCGTCGGCGTCGCTGAGAACGTGCTCATGCACGATGAGCTCCTCGCCCATATCCACGACCACTTCCGCCTCACCTCTAAGTATCTGACCTACAACGACGGTGCGTCCGGCTCCAAGCGCCTCAAAACCGCCATGGCCCGGTTCCTCACCCAGCACCTACACCCAACCCGTCCGCTGGACCCTGGCCATCTCCTCCTCACCAACGGAGTATCCGCAGCCGTCGAGCATCTCTCCTGGGCGCTCGCAGACGCCGGTGAAGGCATCCTCCTTGGCCGGCCATATTACGGCACCTTCATTGCGGATATCGGCCTGCGCTTCGGGACGGAGGTCGTGGCTGTGGACTTCCAGGGCCAGGACCCGTTGGGTACGACCTGCGTCGACGCATATCGGCGCGCGATGACGGATTTCACGGCGCGGACAGGGAAGAAAGTGCGCGCACTGTTGCTCTGTCATCCGCACAATCCGCTGGGGCGGTGCTATCCGCGGTCGGTGATCATCGAGCTCATGCGACTGTGCCAGGAGCACAGGATGCATTTCATCAGCGACGAGATCTACGCGCTGTCTATCTGGGGCTCAACAGACGCAGGTACAGGGTTTGAGTCTGCCCTCTCCATCGATACGACGGGGATCATCGACGCCGACCGCGTGCATGTCCTCTGGGGTATGAGCAAGGACTTCGGCGCAAACGGACTACGGCTGGGCGCGATCATCTCGACCAACGACCGTGTGCGTGCCGGCGTCGACAGCGCTGCGCTCTACTCGTACGTTGCTGGTCCCTCCGACCACATCTCTGCGAGTGTCCTCGAGGATGACGCCTTTACCGCCGCGTACATCCACGCCAACAACGAGAAGCTCGCCGCGGCGTACGAGTACACGGTCCAGCTCCTAGAGCAGCACAATATTCCCTACATGGCGGGCACAAACGCCGGGTTCTTCATCTGGGTGGACTTGGGCACGCCTTTCCTACAGCGGCACCCGGAGGCAGTGCATGTGAATGTCAGTGACGAGGTCATGCAGCGACTGTTGAAGGAGCGGGTGTTCCTGGCGTCTGGGGCCCTGTTTGGATCGGAGACGCCTGGATGGTTCCGCATCGTCTTTGCGCATCCGCGGGACTACCTGGCCGAGGCGCTGCGGCGGGTGGTGGCTGCCATTGAATAGATTCGTTATATACATTGTCAATTACTCGTAGACCAACCATCCCGTTGTGCCTGTGACTACCGCCGCCAGCATCACTGTTAATATCCCGGCCCCCGCGTGGTCGCTTCTCGTGATCTCTCTGGTTAGCACCTTTGCCCGGGAACTGGCCGGCCCGGCGCCCCCCTCCGGGTCTCCCTGCGACGTCCCCCCCGTGGCATCCGTCAGCGGTGCGTCCGCAGACCCAATCAGCGTCGCCTGCATCACCTCCAGCGCGCTCATTTGCAACCCCACGTCTTCGCTTCCGTCCCACCGCTGCTCCGTCCACTTCAGCCCGCACGCTGCCCCGTCCACGCCCCCCGTGCACGTCCGGGCTGCCGCGGCCGCCGACGCGCGTAGCCGTGGCAGCACCCAGTCCGCCGTGAAAGGCGCCATTTGCATGGTCGCGGCCATCCACCGTGCCAGGAAGCCCTTGAAGGCCCGCTGGTCTGTCTGGCACGTGTCGACGGTCTCGCACGCCCGCTCGAACATGACCCCGCCGGTGAAGAAGGCGTCTGTGGCCTGGAGGATGTTGGCTGTGATGTCTCGCCAACGGGAGTCGGCTGTCTTTTATGCTATCAGTATTCCCGATCAGTGCCAACCCCCCTCCGGAGGGAATAGTAGACATACGATGTTGTACATAGTGGCCGCACCGAGCAGATACACGCCCGAGTTATACGTCCACTGGATGCGGTTGAATTCCGAACACCCATCGAGCACGTCGGCCCCGTCCATGAACCGCCAGTCGTCCGTCACAAAGCCAACGTCCATTGTCCAATCCCAGACGCGCGTCGCCCACTCGGCGTAGGTCGTATTGCCGGTGTACCGCGCCAGCCGCGCGGCCAGGTGGAAGAAACACCCGTTCGAGATGGTGTTCTTGTAGTTCCAGCCGTTGTTGAAGCTGAAGATCTGCCAGCGCAGCCCGCCGCCGCACGTCGCCGCGTCCCACCGCGCCGCCTGCGTGTTGAACACCGCCTGCGCCATCGCCAGCCACCCCGGCCCGCGCGCGGGATTGGGGAAGTTGCGCTCCGCTGCCGACATGGCCGCGAACGCCCAGAAGGCCTGGTCGTCGTTGCCCTCCGTCTTGGTCTGGTTCGTCGGCATGAACGTGCCCGTGTCGCCGGCCTGCCACGTCAGCGCCTGCATCGTGATCTTGTTCCACTGCTCGTCCCCCGTCAAATACCAGTAGTCGATCAGCGCGTTGAACATCGCCCCGGCTTCCCACCAGTAGTACGGGTCCGGCAGGTTGCCCGGGTTATCGCCGGGGTTCATCCCTGTGTAGTGGGAGAGCATGTTGCGGGCGACATCGTGGGCGGCTTGTTTGATCGAGGCGGGATTGTCCACGTCGAGCTGTAGACAATGCACCGCGGGGAGTATGGACCAGTACGTGTAGAGCTTCATGATGTTGATTGATGGCAGGGAGAAGGGATGGGGAGATGTTGGTTGTTGATACTTGACGGCGGCATTCCAGTAAATGTCAACATTCCTCCTTTCTTGGCATCAAACAACCGACACATAGAATAGAGTCAAGCATAGCATACATACATCACACGCCAACCAAATACTTTATTGTTATTTACACAGAATCAAGTCCGCCGCCTTCTCGGCAACAGCATACGTGGCCGCCTGGATATTGCCCGCCGGCTCCAGCGGAAACACACTGGCGTCGACGACGCGTAGATTGCTGGTCCCGTATACCTTCAGCCTCGAATCGACCACCCCTCCCATCTCCCGCGGCAGCATGGCGCACGATCCCGCCGGGTGGAAACACGTAAACAGCCGCTCCTTGACTACCCCCTTCGCATGCTCCAGATCGCTCAGGTCGGCTGTGTTCTCGGGCATGCGCGCGCCCTTGAGCAGGTCCGCGAACGGCGCCGTCCGCACAATCTGGTCGACGAACTGCGTGTGCCGCGCCAGGATCTCCAGATCCAGCGGGTGCGACAGGTAGTTCGGGTCGTAAACGGGCTTGTCCGTCGCCCGTGCCGACGAAATGTGCACCGACCCCCGCGAGAACGGGTGGTTGTGCAGGACCATGATGCTGATGTAGTTGCCCGGCAGCTGTTTGGCCAGCACGTCCGCCATCGTCGTCGGCCCGGGCTTCATGTGCAGCTGGGCCGGCAGCAACAAGTACTGCGACGACGCATCCGAGCCGTCCTGGAGCATCCTCCGCAGCACGTCGTACTGCTTCTGCAGCGCGGGCGCGTAGTCCTTGCCGTCGAGATGCTGCGCCAGCAGCTCCTCCACCTTGTCTGCTGGCACGGCACCCTGTCCGTCGACGAACGGGAGGTACGCCATGCTGATGGGCATGCCGGCTAGCGGCCCGCTCCGTGTCTCCTCGTACAGCTTCACCAGCGCCTGCACCACGGTCGGGTCGCGCAGGATGTCGCCCGAGACCTGCCCGTCGGCGATCTCGAAGTTGATCGTCGTCAGGCAGTGGTCTTGCAGGTTCTCGCCGACGCCGGGCAGGTCGACCGCCACGGGGATGTCGTGCTGGCGCAGCAGGTCCGCGTGGCCGATGCCGGACAGTTCCAGCAGCTGCGGGCTGTTCAAGCTGCCCGCGCACAGGATGACCTCCTTCTTCGCGCGGATCTCCTTCGGTCCATCCTTGGTGGACACCTGCACCCCGCGAGCGACCACCTCCGCGCCCTTCTCCAGCACGATCCTCTCGACCAGCGTCTCCGCCATCAAGTGCAGGTTCGGCCGCGCCGCCACCTCCGGAGTATAGTACGCCGCCGCGTAACCGCGCTTGCCCGTGGTCGCGTCCACCGACAGCGGCGCCGTGAAGGCTCCGATCTTCTTTCCCGCGATCGGATCCGCGTCCGACTGCCAGCCCAGCCGCGCAAAGGTCTCGTCCCACGCCTGGTTGAGCGGCCCGTACACGTCCGGCAGCGACACCGGCAGCGGCCCGTCGCTGCCCTGGTTCTGCGGGTCCATGTACCGGTCCACGCCCAGCAGCTCCGCCGTTGCCGCCGTGGGCGGCGAGTATGTGTGGAAGCGGCGCAGGTACGGCGCCATATCCGCGGCGGCCCAGCCGTCGTTGCCCAGCTCCTTCCAGGCGTCGAAGTTGGAGGTGGACGGGTACACGATCACGGAGAAGTTCATGGCCGAAGAACCGCCGACGACGCGCCCGCGCGGCTGGGCGATCTGCCTGTTATTCACATGGGGCTATCCGGTGTCTGTTAGTGGTTGAATGGCTCACCGCTGCGGTGGAAGGATTAAGCAGCTGCAGGGGTATGAACTGTAAAGAGCTGCGCGCAAGGGTCTTGGACGTGCCTGAGGAACACTCATGTAATCCCAGTCGAAATCCGGGTGGCCATACAAGGTCCCCATGAAGCCAGGGGTGTCGATACGAGGATCCCCCATGCGGTTGGCCCCGGCCTCGATCAGCAGGATCTTCACGGAGGGATCCTCGCTGAGTCGGTTGGCCAGCACCAGGCCGCCGATGCCTGCGCCGACAATAATATAATCGTACTCGTCCATAGTTGCGGTCAAATTGAGAGAATTGAGCCGTTTCCAACCTCAAACGTCAACAGAGCAGCGACAGTCGTCAATAGACATAGTACCTTGGTGCGATTCTACCCCTCCTGAAGGAAGACGCCAAATCCCGGACTGGGGGCCAAAGCCCAAAACCCCTTCCGGGCACGAACAAAGCCATTCATTGTCCTCTGGGATCAGGAGACTCTAGCTGCCGTTCTAAAGCCTAGCTCACGTCTCATATTCGGGTCTCACCAATGGCTTCGTCTGCGGAATCCCCACCGTCCGGCCGGCTCCACCTCCCAGCGCGCGCCCGTTTAGCTAGCGAGACGGGCAATTACCCAGAGTTGCCTAACGGGCACTGCAGGATTCTGCAGGATTCTTTGGCAGGCAGGAAAACGTTGCTGACTTGCTGCAAATCCTGATCGACAGGACCTGGACCTTTGGCCGCTCGGGGATTGGATGCCACAAGCCCGCAACCTGTATGCACTGTCATTTTTTCCTCATTTCCGAGGCAAATGGGGCCCCGGCGGCTGCCATCATCCCAAAGAGGAATTCGGCACGACCCCTGCATGTCTGAAAAGGAAAGGATGGACGTCGCTTGCATTGGCCGTGGGGACTATGGTGAAGCTTGTGAGAGCAGAAGGATTCGAAAGTCTCATACCAGTGGATTCCTCCTCCTTTAAAGGAGTCTGGGTCCCGAACTACGTTTCTGGTTTCTGTTTTCTGCACACAAGAGAAGGAACGAGACCGAGAGAGACAATGAGAGGAAGACGAAAATGGTCCAACTGTACGATGTCTTCGACTACCGCATTGTACGGGACCAGCTCATCGCCAACACGGTGCTCGTCGCCGTGGCCACCATCGTCGTGATCCTGCGCTTCATCTCCCGACGGCTCCGGCGCAGCAAGCTGTGGTGGGACGATTTCTGCTGCATCGGGTCGATTCTGCACACGTACGGCATGCTGGCCATGCAGTACCACTACGCGCGCGTCGGCATGCGCCATCACGTTGTCGATATCCCCTGGGGAAACACGGTCGTGATCCTCAAGATGCTCATCGTCTACCAAGCCGTCTACTACAACGCCATGGTGCTCGCCAAGCTGAGCTACCTCTTCTTCTACCTGCGCATCTTCGTCACCAAGGCCTTCCGCATTGCCGCCTGGGTCTGCATGGGCTGCGCCTGCGCCTACTGGGCCGGCAGCGTCCTGCAGATCTTCCTCATCTGCCAGCCCTTCGAGAAGAACTGGAACCCAATGCTGCCGGGCCACTGCGCCAGCCAGAACGTCGCCTTCTCGACCATCGGCGCCTTTAACCTCATCACCGACGTCTTGATCATGCTCCTGCCGCTGCACTTTATCTGGAGGCTGCAGATGTCCGTGGCGACCAAGCTTGCCCTCTTCGGCATCTTCGGCATCGGTATCTTGTAAGTCCTCCGCTGTGTGTGTGTAAGAGCGTCTGCTAAGAACCACAGTATCTCCGCCATCACCATCATCCGCATCCGCGTCCTCACCACCGTCGACTTCACCGACCTGTCGTACTCCATGATCTGGGCTGCCTTCTGGAGCGTCACCGAGCCCGCCCTCGCCATCACCAACGCCTGCGTGCCCATGCTGCGCCCCGTCTTCAAGGCGGCCTTCCCCACGCTCTTTGCCAGCGCCAAGGCCGAATATACCGCGAAGGTCGGGCAGTCTGGCGACTCCGGCAGCAACAACGCCTTCAAGCGCATCAACGACGAGTACCCGCTTACCCAGATCGAGGAGGGCGATAAGACTTTCAGTCACGGAGGCGCGTCCGGGTACGAGGCGTCGCTGAATGACCGCTCTCACGACGGGTCCGCCCGTCAGATCCCGAGCAGCGTGATTGGGAACGGGGCGAAGGCGTGGTCATAGCAATGTGCTCGTATTTCTTTTGTCAATCATTTCCTATGTATTACCAACAGGGTTTGAAAGCACTCTCTGCGGCGTTGTTAGCGTTACCCTGCGGATATCCATTCTTCAGTAGCGGACTATTCATGATCCACTCCCCCAGTGTTGTAGGCTGTAGCGCGTACATCTGCTCGGCGGATGGTCAATTCGTCTTTCCCGCGTAAAGCGGAGGGTGATTTCTTCTTTGGAAGGCTCTGTCGTACACTCGTCTAATTGCCTCAGTCAATCGCTTTACGTTTTCTAGTGTGCTGTTCATCTCGTTAGCAGTCAGCGGTCTCAAGTCAAATGCTGCTTGCTACCCCGTAGGCAGAACTCCCTTACACAGGAACATAGATGCGCCGCGCTGCATCCCCAGCGAGGGTCACCCGATCGACATTGTTACGCCACGGGGCGATCCCTTTCCAATATCAATAGTGGACCTGGCCCCGTAAGCCACCGTCGTCAACGGAGGCCGTGTCGCGGAGGCGGAGATGCCATGTACTCCGCGTTTAGTCTCCTCCCCCCCGACGAGGGTGTCATCCCTCGTCCCCGGTCACCCAGCCAGGTAGGATTTGACACGAACAGTGATTTTCGGGCCTCAGGGTTGGCTGGTGGGTCAGCCCCTGTCCAAATGGAGAATGTGGACGCTAATACCCCGGTGTCCAGCACTCCGGCGTATTGGGATCGACGACATGGGTCACTACATACTATCGGTATTCTTAGCTGCTAGCTAGGCTGGAAAAGGGAAATAAACTCCTGTGAATCACTACCGGTTGACAAGATGCTCGTTGGTTGGTTCGGATGGAAGGCAAGCTGTTCCTTAGCATGTTGGTTAGTGTATGGTTGGGAGAGGAACAGGGTACCTGGATAATAGGATGGACTTGTCACGGATAAACGGGGCCTGCTGGCCTTCTTCCTGGGATACGTCGGGAACGCGTTCTTTTTGTAAAGGATTGCTTCTTTCATTCTCGGTTGGCCTACTCACCAGAACAATGTACCGCGCCCATGACCATGACATGAAAATTCGTAGATGCCGTTCTGGCTGCCCGCTCAAGGGATGAGACGCCGTGGAGGACTTATATACACCGTGCACAACCCACATGGAAGACGCATACGTGTAAGGTGCATTGCATTGACTCCAGAAGGTGTATCTCAGGAGGAGTATGGACTGCTCCCTCGACATGATTGGCAACGCTCCAGCAGTACCTCACAATCGAACGCATCTCCGTTCTCTCCAGGTGGAAAAGCAGGATCAAAGGCCAGAGCTATCCGGGCAATAGTACTCCGGAGTTGCATCCATGTCAATTGTTTTCCGACGCATCCATACCGCGCTGACTTGTTGGTAAAGAAGGAGAGCCGAACGGGAAGACTCACCTATCTGAAATGGGAAAGACAGCTTCCACTTTGCCGTTCTATTAAGCCAGCGCTCAGATATATACTTATCACCCTAAGGAAAGTACTACTTATCCTCTTGCATGACATACTGTGGGACCACGATGAACGTATCTTTAGGATCCAGCCTTCATCTATTAGGAGTTGAATGAGGATTCAGAAGTGCCCCATGAAGATCCATGAACCTGACAGGTAACCTTCTATCTGTGAGGAACCATACTAACTCCCTTTGGTGGCAATCCCCCAGTATGTTTCAGTTTCCTGGAATGGATGGAGATCCCTGATATACCGTACTCTATCAATCTCTCCATATTAATGATCTATGTAGGTCGACTTCCAATGATTGGTAGACGGTATAGCCCCTCGCCCAAAGAATGTCTGAGCGCATCTCGCCCGGTTGGCGAATGACAGGGACAGAGATATTGGACAGCAGCAAGAATTCGTGGAACCATCCAGGACCAGGCAGGATTTGTGGTTGGGGGTGACAGCCTTTCCTGCAGTTGGATTAAATGGCTACACCCCCAACAGGCACTCGAATCCAAGACATCAGGACACGATGGCATCCGAGACAAGAGTACAACAGCCATACGAGCTGCTAGAGGTTCCACAAGTTCAGCAGGAAGATGATCCTCATGACGAAGATGCAAATGCCGAGTCACGGAACTCCGAGTGACCAGGAGAGCCCTTGCAGTATTAGATGTGAGGCCGTGAGGAATACCGAACTGCCCTGCGCCGTAGGGCATATATGAATAGGTCCATTGCATGCTACAATAGTGTTCATTGCACATATCTCCTGAATAAAGGACAATGCTTCCAACTAACAATACAAAGCTGTGCCGTTCTGCCGTAAGTCATCATCGGGTATGAACACGACATTAGGTCTGGTGAAAACCGAATCAAAGAAGAAAGAATACCTATGCGGCCTCAGTAGACACGCACGAACTGAGAGATACCTCCGAGCCAACCAACGTCGACAAAAGAAAATCGCGCTCTTGGACAACCGAAAACCAGGGAGTAATATCAGCAACGACCAGGCCAGTATCGCTCGTCTGCTGAACCGATGTACTTGTATTCAATGAGGTATGCAGTGCGATGGCGTCGAGGGGGAATAGCGCATCTTCGTGGATTAGCCCTAGCTGGCTCATGATGGCGCGAGAGTGCTGGGACCGAGGATTCACCACGACACTAGGGCTGTCAGTATCATCAGTAACATTGATGCGGAGCAACGTACCTGCTAGGAGAAGTATTGGAGCTGGTGAAGCTGGTCACCAACACATCCACCAGTGGAAACACATCGGGATCACAATTCGAGGCGGCATCGCACACGACAACAAAGCTGTACGCAGACGCCAGGGAGCGGATGCGACGAAGGGCTGCGAGCGACGTCTCCCCTGGACATTCACAGAACAACGCTCGAATGCGTCGTCCAGATGCCAGGGATATTTTCAATCCGTCTAGTCCGTCGGCAGTCCCCGGACAGAACGAAACCTTGGACCAGGAACTGCGTTGGAGGGAGCGTCGGCGTGCACTATACATCCGTCAGTCCTGCTGGTCAATAGAAAACAGACACAGCACGTACCCAAAGCTGACAACCTCTCGTGTGCCGGATAGCGACGCCAGCGCTCTCGAGACCGTGTAGAGGGCATTCCGTTTGTTCGGAAACAGAAACACCTCTGTGGCACTCACAGGCGCTGGTTGGGCTATCATCTCCTTGATAGACTGTTTCTCTGCCTCCCCGGATAGCACCGTAGGAACCCAATCAACGCTTGCGACGTCCAGCGCCGGCATCTTCCTTGGTCGCGTACAGTACTCCGCGGTGGCGGACCGGGACTCCAAGAAGTCCAAGCACGAGAGACAGTATTCCGCCTGGCGGGTTGATATGGCATCGCCGGTGTCGCGACAGTACGACATTACGTCAATTAAGGAGTGCGACTCGCAGATAACGGCGAAGAAGGTCGCCCATTCATCGGCTTCATGGAAGCAGCTGAGGACTGGGAGGTTGAAGCGGACAATCTCGGGGGGGAACTGCGACGACTTGCCCAGGGATTTGAGACAGCGACTGGCGCTGGCAGCTGTAGGAAAGATTATACATTGGAAGCGATCGAGATGAAGCCGTTGGAGGACTTGTTTGTTGAGCTGTTTGGTTGGATATGTGGGGGATCTCGCAGGTTCGGCGGCCTGTTTTGGCTGTACCACTTTATGGCCCAGGAGGTACCATTTGGATACCGGGGTAGTGATATCCTTAGAATTCCTCTATTAGAACTGAGTACTTGATTCACCTGAGACGATATTTACCTACTTTCTTCTCCCCCAGGGGACGTGGTTGCTTGTAGTGAGTCATTCTGCCTAGAGGGTCTGAAGATAGCGGACGACGGCACTATCCTCGAGGACATATATATATAGATATGAACCATAAATATATCTACTAGTATATCTACTAATCTCGGGCGTCTCCCCCCCTATCTCAACGGACTGACAGCCCAGCTGATAGACTTGATAAGCCCGGATCGCTGCAAGGGTATCGTCATTCACATTCCACCGGAACAACCTGGTTGGATCTGAAGCCCAGCTGACTGCAGTACGACCGGCGATGCTTATCTCTTTGGCTGGCTGAAAGCCACGGCATTACTCTCGAATCAATAGCGCAGGGAAGATTGATCACATGGACGCATCTCCTCTGCTCGATTGGAACTGCGATCATCATCCGGAGTCTCTGACTCCACACTATCTACCAGTACACACCTACACACGGACACGAGAGAAAAAAAAACCACCGCCCTACATATGTCCTCCGTCAGAAGCCCTCCTCGTCCACCGTAGTCCGATTATACACATCCAAACTATACCGCGCAAACCGGCTCTGCGCCCGGATCCGCTCGCCATACCGCCAGAACAACGGCGGCACCAGACAGAACGCCGTCGCCACGCCCGCCAGCACCGACCCCGCCACGTTGGCCCCCAGCGACCCAAACATCGCCGGCGCAAACAGTGGAAACCCCGCGCTCAGGCACGTCCGCAGGATCGTCTGCGCCGCAAACCCGCTCGCCGCATAGCTCAGGTAGCTGTCCGCCAGGTACCCCGTGAGCACCGAGCCGAACTCGTTCGCCGCGTAGCCCACCATCACCAGCGCCACCGCCGACCCCATCCAGTGCACCGTCGTGACCGCCGGCGGGATCGTCCACGCGAAGAGCCAGAGCCCTGCCGCGAAGACGGGCGCCCCGATCGCGAACCCGATCAGTTTGTCCTCGGGGCGTAGCGGGCGCCGCTGCGCGTGGTGCGTCATAATCAGATGGTAGTCGTAGATGCGCGTTAGCATGCCCAACATGCAGCCGAGCCCGAGCGCGAGGAACGGCAGGCAGGCGTGCGTTGGGCTGAAGCCGAACGAACGGTAGATGGGGGGGAGAGCCTCGGTGAACATGTAGATCAGCGTGAAGGGGATGGCGCTGATGACGGACACGAGGAAGATGATCGGCTCCGTGAAGAAGAGGTAGATCGGGCGGAAGAGCGCCACGGTCACGAACGTGTGTAGATCAGGCATCCGGTCGGGGTTCAGGCTTTGCAGCACCATCTGCTTGTCACCGAGAGCGTGGCAGAGATGTCGCACTTCTTGGTCGAGGAGGAGAGGAGGTCGCGATTCGCGGATGCCGAGTAACAGGCATGCAATCAAGCCGGTGACGATGGCGGCCACGTAGAAGACCCATCGCCTGGGTTATGTGAGTACCGCACGGGAGGATGGAGTGGAGGCATACCAATTGAGCGCGTAGATGATGTACGTGCTGTAGATCGGTCCCAGGGCCAATCCCCACGGGGCAAGCATCATCCACAACGACAGAAACCAGATGCGATCCCGCGCGTTAAACATGTCCTCGATACTCCCCGCCACCACGTTGGTGGGAATCGCCGACAGAAACCCGCTCAGCAGACGTCCTACCACCACACCCGTGTAGTTCGGAACCACGGCGATCAAGATGCACGACGCGCTGTACATGAGCGTGCTGACGATATACAACTTCTTCCGGCCGAAGACCTCGGAGTAGGGGGGGAAGATGATGCTGCCGATGCCCTGGCCGATGAGATACCTATCTGGTTAACCGCCACACTTCCACGGCTGAGAGCAAGACATACATCGGGACAAAAAGAAATATGGCCAGGGTCTTGCTTATGTTGAACTCCTCATGGCTCGCATTGGCCACGGCCGACTATCAGGTCAGTCAAGCTCGATAAAACAGCAGTTGATGCCATACTCCCGCAGCACTGATCAGGGTTCTGTGCTGGTCAGTGACAGTTGGACTCCGAGGGGGCGGAAACAAACGTGAACATCTCCAAGAGCAAGATAATCGACACATCGTGGCCCTTGCGCAGCTTCGACCAGTTCCTCGGATGGCGCTTGTTGCCCGGTTTCCAGTGCACGAAGCCATCTGGCGTGAGTTTGAGGCCCTGCAGCTCGAGCTGCTGCTGGAGCAGGCTCTCGCCGATGGACGACGGCTCGCTGGGAGGTTGTTTGGAATCCGCAATCTGAGACATTGTATCGTTGCAGTAAGACATGAGAAGAAGACTGCCGGGGGACTCATGTAGTCCATCATATTTGTCGGCACACGGTGCTGCTCCTTGATTGCTTGAACGGGATTATCAATCTCCGGATTCCTGAGATAGGATTTGGGCTATATTTGGACATCAAAGCGTAGGGATCACACCACCAGATACTATGTGAGGTCATTCAGGATACATCTGGGGCGTACGCGAAGGGGGTATATACGCATGCCTCGGGGGTTGAATATGGTTGATAGCACGGTCGTCCACTGGCTAGGGTCCATTCAAATGAACAAACCGGAGAAAATCCGCAGACGCGGCTTGTCCTCCTTGCTGCAACGTCGTCACCCAGGAATGTGAAAAGCATCATCCTGATCGGGTTGGACGAATACTTCCGAGCTATCCCTTGTTCCGCGACTAAGCGAGTGGTCACTGGAGTATATTTTCTGACCTTATAAATGGCCGAAGGACTTGCAAGACTAGGGGTATATCTATGTAGAATGTAGCCATCATGCGCATCTTTTCCATCCGCTGCTCACTGACCCCTGCATCGCTGTACCTGGAGGAACACAGTCAGCCCTGATGGCAGGGAGAGCAGGACATATATCGTGATGTCTACACTGAGCTTCCTCGACGACCTTGAGCGGAAACAATAAGGTAATGTCTAGGTTGATGGCCATAGTGAGAAGCAAAGCAGGCAGGGGCATATAAGATAGCCTCGTAACAGACTTTTGGCCGGCAATATGATATGTAAATGCACACCAACTCTGTATGGTGTCGAAAATGTGCAAGAAGCTTTATCCGATACACTAATATTCACCGCAGTCAATTGAGAAGTCAGTGTGAAGGACGTACTCATTATATCGTACGCTGTAAGCGCTAATCCCTCCTCAAGTTCGATAGTTTTTGAAATGTACATACTGTTTTACTCCCGATAAACTATATTAGAAGACACAAAGGTAATCACACAATTCAGCCAAAAAGGTATGCAGAAATCTCTACAACAAATTGTGAGTAGTAATTATGGGTGGTGAACTCATCTGCCTGGGTAAGGAACAAGCTGGTGATACCAGAAGCCAGGTATATTGGTTGACAATCTGGACCGACTTATTAGAAAAGCCATGAATGGTAGACAAAGGAATAATCCCTCATATATCACTGCTGAGAGAATGATGAGATTCTTCTGTCAGAGTCTGACGATCTAGGTGGTGCACCATCAGTCTATCTATCTCTAGACAGATATATATATCTTCGCTCCGACACAAGCATGATTCCAATGAAAACGCACTATTATTACTACAAACTATAATACCTTCAAGGTATCTAGACTGCTATACTATCCATCTGCGCATGTCCTCCATTTAGGACTTATAGTTGCAGACCGACAAGACCAAACACCACAGCAGCAATCCCCCAGTGGGATGGCACGCTCATCGCGGCAACGCCACCAGTGAAGAGAGACGGTGTGGTCGACGTGCTCAGGGTCGGTGTACCATTTCCTCCTTGCGTACCCGTTGCTCCTGCTGTACTGGCTCCCTCCGTTGCGGCACTGGTATTTCTACCGTTGCTGGTGGAAAGTTCATTTGTAGCTGGGTCGACTTCAACGGTAGGCGCGGATGAAGAGCTTGAGGTTGCGCTGCCAGTGGGAGTCGTACGGGTCGTTTCGCTGTGGCCGGTGGCTGACTCGCTGGTCGCGAATGGAGACGAAGTCTTGCTTGGGCTGATAGACTGCCCGCTCGTGGTAGAGACGGACGTCGCAGACGCGATAGTGGTGGTTGGCTCGGACTGCGAGGCAGATTGTGTGGGAGTAGTTGTCCCTGGTATGGTCGATTCGTCGTCATCGCTCTTAGTGGTGAGTACAGTTGCCGCAGGCGACCTAGTAAAGGCATCCGCCGAAGTCGTGCTGGTATTCTCATCGTCGCTTTCACTAGTGCTCGTCGTAGACGAGTCAGTCACAGTCACAGTCACTCTCTGCGACGTCACTGGCGTTGACACCTGAACCGTTGTAGACGAGTCAGTCACAGTCGCTGTCTGCGACGTCACTGGCGTTGACACTTGAACCGTCGTGGACGAAGGCACGGTCTGCGCCGCGGCCGTGGTCGTCCCGGACCCTAGCCCGACGCAAAAATTCAGGAACTGCTGGAATTCCGGCAGAAGGTCGTCAAAGGATCCAGAGTAGGGTGTCTGATGGAGGTCGATGCACGCCTTGCAGCTTGCCAGCGTGACCTTGAACGCTGAGCCGTCCTTGCAGATGTTCGGGTCCTTGCCGGTCTGTTCGACCTCCAGCGCCGCATCGTTGCATATAGGGTAGCACTGCCCAGGGATTGGCTTGGCGCCTATCACATCCCGATAGTGTAGCCTTCCTGCGGACCGCCGGAGGGACCGTTTGTAGTAATGGTCCTGGCCCGGCTGCAGGTCCGGGAAGCGGAAGATGTCGTAGCTCAGTCCGAAGATCTCCGGGTTGAGGTTGAAGTAGTCGCGGGAGACGTTGTAGGTGGAGCGAATCTCGTTGGAATCCACGGGGTCGCCCCAGAACTGGTCGTGGATCCTGGGCGGGCTCTTGATGCACTCCTCAGGACTGCAGAGGTAGCTTTCCGCCGGCAGATTGGCCTCGATGTTGCACCCTGCGTCGGCGCCGGTGTGCTTGGGCTTGCAAAGGTAGCCTGGCGGACAACCCCAGGTGTAGTTGCGGGGAACTGGTACCAAGGGAGTGTACGTCGGGTTGACGATGAGCGTGGGACAGATTGAGAGGGTTGTCTTGCTGGCTGGGAGGGTTGCCGTGGTACCGATGGTGGTCGCTGGAGCAGTGACGGTGACAGTTGTGTTGGATCCTAGAGAGATTAGCACGTGCTGAACTTGGGACAGGAGGATGCTTACCTGGCAGGGTAACGGTGTCATGAATGGTCGTACTGCGGATAATGGTCACGGAGACGGTCGCCGGAGGACCGGGAGGGAGAGTAGTAGTCTGGATGATGGTCGATCCTGGTAGGGTGACCACGGATCCCGATATAGTTACTGTTCGTGGCGGCTCAGTGAGTGTCGTGACCACTGTAGCTCCTGGGAGGGTGACCCCTGGGGCTGTTTGGATGTTCGTGATCGTCGTTGGAGGGAGGGTCATCACCTCAGTCGTGGTCAATGTAGTCCCGGAAATCGTCAATGTCTGGACATTTGTGATAGTGCCGCCGGGGAGGGTGATAGTTTCCGAGCTGAACACTGTCGTGCCAGGCAGGATGATTGTTTCAGTCTGCGTGGTACTCTCTGTGATCGTCACCACAGGGTTCGTGATTGTCGAGGTCAAGGTCTCCGTCGATGTCGCGACGTCTGTCACTGTGACTCCAGGATTCGTCACTGTGGCTCCGGGATTGGTGACCGTCGCGGTGGTTGTCTGTGTCGGTATCACTGTCTCTGTGGCTGTTGTGGTTTGTCCAGCATTCGTGATGGTCGAGATCACCGTGTTGATTGCGGTCAACGTTGTCGTGTCCGTTGTGGTCATGCCGGGAAGTGTCACTGATGTCGTCGCCGTCTCTGTTACCGTCGAAATATTCGTGATCGTCGAGGGGGGAGCTGCCATGGTCTGCGTTCGGTCCTGAGTCACGGTCGTAGTATCCGTCACCGTCACAACAGGATTGGTGATGGTTGAAATGTGGGTTTCAGTCGAGGTTGCGGTGATAGTTTGAGTGACCCCATATCCAGGGCTGGCAGTCACTGTAACCGGTGGTGGTATCTCGGTCGTCGTGACAGTGACTGTGCCGGTTGTTCCCTGGGTGATTGTGACTGTGCCTCCAGGCGCCGTGACTGTGTTGGTGATTGTCGGCCCCGGGTTAGTGGTGGTCACCGTGATGGTCACAACTGCACCAGGCGGGGTAGTGGTGGTTGAAGTGGTCATGCTCGAAGTAGTAGTCGAAGTAGAAGTCGAAGTACTAGTTGAAGTAGTAGTAGAAGCAGAGGCAATCGTGCTCGTAGGAGTGGGAGTCGTCGTCCTCGAAGTAGTTGTCGAAGTAGTCATCGTCGTGCTCGGAGGAGTAGGAGTCGTCGTTCTCGAAGTAGTACTCGAAGTACTAGCCGACGTAGTAGTCAAAATAGTAGTACTAGATGTAGGAGTAGGAGTGGTTGTCGTGGTTGTCGTGGTTGTCAAAGTCGGAGGCGCCGGATGACTAGTAGGGGTATCGCTGCAAGTACACGATGTGATTGTCGACGTCGTTGTGATCGTAATGGTGATATCCGCCACCCCAGGAATCTTCATGGCATAGGGAACAATGCCAGGAAGGTCTGCAATGGTGGGATAATCCGTGGGAGCACAATCTGGACATACCGTGACAGTCCACGTCCGCGTGGACGTTGGTGTCGGGTCCAGTGGTCCTGCAGTTATTAGAGGCTCCGGAGCCGTGATATCGTGTGGTGGACTGGATAAAATGGTCACCTATGCACGGTCAATGTCTGTCGAGAAAAGGATTAGATCAAGGGAACCGACCTCTCCTCCGGTATGTGTCGCGACTGGATTGTCGCTGGTCGCCGTCGGGGTGACTGTTCCTGGCGCACTCGCTGTCAACCCCATCAAAGCCCTCGAATCCAAGGCATGCAGCGTGGGAGCTGCCGAGAGTGCCAGCAGAGCAATTCGAGAAAGCTTCATGATGCTCGATGGCAGCCAATGCAATACAATGATACAATCCGATCAAGAATCCTCTGCAAAGGCAATTCGAGCGCGGCAAGCGAAGACGGTTTTAGAGATGATCATGCCGACATGCAGCTGCCCTTCAGCGAAAGAAGTGTGCCTCGAGGCACGGGAAACGACTGTTGCTGCGACGCTGGACCTCAAACGAGTGTGGCTGAAGGAGAGACAAAGACTCGAAACGCACTTGAGTCAAGTTGCACTACATCCGACGATTTGTCGCGGTGAACGAAGACCTAGGAAAACGATGGATGAGAATCGCAGATTATAGAGAAATCTCCGAATCCACCAAGACCATTTGCCATTGATAACCGTCCTGGCAGCTCGATGCCGTATCTGCAGATGCAGACTCCAGGGCTGGAGCGACTCGACGCTTGGGCCGTAAAGACCCCCTGCATCGTGAGGTTGTTGTGCATGACAGTTGCAGGAAAGACTGCAGAAACAGGATGCACGGCAGCCAAATAGGCAAGTCGACAGGGCTGTGGATGCAACGTCAGACGATATGGACCAGGATAGGCGGAATGATTGGCATGGAGGAGTCGTCCGGAGCAGTGAGACCGTCAATGATAAGAAATATGGAGAACTGATGCTTGTCTGAAGCCGTTCATTTCTGCTGTTCTTCCCGTTCTCAACCCCGCTCTGCTGATGGACTGCATCTTGTCCAATATCAACGTCCATCAAGATACCCCTCCTTGGTGATTTCGTGATTATGGTCACATTGAAGGACCCCTGGTTGCTCATCTTACCAGACAAACCGGATCGGATCCAAGTCAGACTCATTCCCTACGGTCAGCATTGGCTCTTTGTCTGACTTGCCCAAGGGCTCCCACGCTATGAAAGATTGAAAGAAATCCAGACAAAGAACGAGGCAATTGGAACACGAATACAAGTCGCTGGTTACACAATCTTCGCACTGACTCGAGATTGATCTATTCATGTCTGATTCCCTCAATTCCATCGGACAATAGGAACCTCGTCCCTTTCGGGATGACTAGTGTGCACCTCTATCTACCCGAACCCTGCCGGCTCCAGCAGACACGGCTCCAGGCAACGACACTGTGCACGACGGGCTGGATGAGAGCCACCGGATTCATGGATGTCTTTTTCTTCATTCACCAGCCGAGCCTAGTCTTCCGAGCCTCATCCGTCGTAGCTACGTTAGTGTGGCCTTCCCCTCTTTCCGGAGCTTCCTTTGTCTGGCTCCCTTGTAGTTAGTGTATTTTCCCAATCAGTATTCCCCTCGGGTGATCGGTCAGATCGCGATTTATTTCTTTCAATCAATCAGGCTTAATTGTAGTGACACGACTCTCCCAAATCTCTGCTGCCGCTACTGCTCTGGAAAACAAATAAAACAAAAAAACAAAAAACTAAAACAAACACAGGATGAGGATGTGTTGATTTACACTTCTTCATCGCAGGACAGGATGAGACTCCACTGGGGAACAGTCGCTGGCTTTGTGGCTGCAGTTACCTGTGTAGCAGCACAGGGCTCCAGTGTGAATGTGTCGTTATGTAACTGGGACAAGGTTCGAGGTAAGTTGGCTGTCGACTGGGGTGAATTCATGCTGATGGAATAGTCAACACCATTCGCGACACCGTCTATCTCGATGGCGGCGACATGTGGTGGAAGCGGTATGACCCCGTAGACTCTCCAATGAGCCAGCATATACATATACTCATTGTCGCAGCGATTACCCCGACGGACGGTCAATCTCGGAAAACAATGGTAAGTGACCGTCGCTTATAGGGGAGCGCGCTGACCATCCAGGCAATCTCGCGGGATTGCTCTTCTATCTCAATCTCTCTACAGCCTTTGATACGACCACCACCAACCTCACTGCGCTATTCGGCAACTTCTCCAAGGCCAACGGCGCCGCGAGCAACATCGCGCCAAATTACCGGGATGGAGCGATGTTTGCCAACGACAACGAGTTCTATCTCTATGGGTATATCCGCCGTCACCGTGAACAAAGACCCTAGCTGACAGTCCCAGCGGCCTTATCCGCCTCACAGACGACGAGGATCCACCACCGGCCAACACCGTGCTGGGCTACGAGCGATATCAATATGGGCCGGAACGTGAGGCCTGGATACCGGGTTTCCACGCCGACAACCTGAACGGTGGCGTTACCCGCTACGTGACCAATGGCGCCGGCGTGTCTGCACCGAGCGAGAACTTGGGCTTCTACTTCAGCGGCATGCGCAACATCACCTGGGGCCCGATCGTCGACGACATCGCCGACTCGGCGAATGTCACCTCTCACCGCATGATCAAGGTGGACATGTCGGCCATGCGCGACAATAAATGGTCCAACCTCACGCTGCCGTCGTATGTGCCGCCGCGCGTCAACGCCGAACTCGTCTGGATTCCGGTGTCGACCGCCGGAGCGTTGATTGCCATCGGGGGCGTGGATCCAGCTGTCATATATAGCTCAACGGAATTGACAAGCGCGCAGCAGAATGCCAGTAAGAGAATAAGTCCGGGGTTCATGGAAACGGTGTCTGTTTACGATGTAGATAGCGACAAATGGTATGCCTCCTCGGCTCTGCTGGGAAGAGTACGCGCTGACCCATCAGGTACATCCAAAACACCACCGGCGATATCCCGCCGCAATTGACAAAGTTCTGTTCTGTCTACGCCAGTGCGGCCGATGGCTCCTCACACAATATCTATATCTACGGGGGCTTTGACGGGCTCAGTGACGCGAGTGTTCCATCCGACGACGTCTACGTGCTCTCGGTTCCCTCGTTTAGTTGGATCAAGCTGTACAGCGGCCAAAGCACACATGGACGCAGCGGACATAAATGCGTCAAGCCATACCCGGACCAGATGCTCGTCCTTGGGGGACTCCATATTGAGGCCACAAGGTGTCTGGACGGGGGCATCATCCAAGTGTTGAATCTCAACACCGGCAGGTTCCAGGACACCTACGATCCAAAGAAATGGAGCGACTATAAAGTTCCAGACCTCGTGACCGCGGTCATTGGTGGCGAGTACGTTCATTCTCCCAATAATTTGTGTATAGTCCTAATGAATACAGGGCCGACGGTGGTGCGACCAAAACATCTCCCGACGCCTGGACCAATTCGTCCCTGGCAGACGTCTTCGCCACGAAATACACCAAGACCATCAAAACATGGTATCCCTACAACACCACAACCGTCGAATCCCCCATCATTACCCCCGTCCCCAATACCAAAGGTTCCTCCTTTCCCGGCTGGGCCGGTGCCATCATTGGCGTGCTCCTCGGCCTGGCTCTCATCGCGGCCGGCTTCCTCTTCTGGTGTCTACGGCGCAGGCGTAAGTTCCGCGAGTCGCAGTCCACCAGCCACGAGTCCACCCGATCGTGGATTCTACGGTGGATGAACACCGGCGGATCAACCGTCGGCGAGCCCAAGCCCAACGATAAGACGGCGTCGACCAGGTACAGCGGATCCGCAGAGGAGGCTTGCACGCCCTCGATGGCGAGGGCGGTGTCGCCGCGCAGTGTGGAGGCTGGCGGCGAGCCTGTGTATGAGATGCACGGTAGGCTTCTTTTTCTTTTCTTTTCTCCCACTTTTTCCCTCCTGTTGTTTGTTTTTCTAATCCGTGCGCAGATGATAGTACCGCCCCGCCGGTGGAGCTCCCCACGCCGTACAATAACAATCCCTTCCCGAGTCCGGTGTCGAGTGCTGGCTCGCAGGCGGACTACATGTCGCCCATGACGGCGAGCACGCCCAGCGAGGACGGCGACGCCAGCCCGCGCCGCCCGCAGCATCGCCGCCACGTATCGAGTCTATCGAGCGTCCCGTCGATTGCAAACGTGATGCGCGAGGATCACCGGCCGAGCTACCGGTCTGATATGTCCGAAGCGAGCTTTGAGTCGGAGGGAACAGGGCTGGGTCTCAGACCGGTTGAGCTGACGGGGACTACCGTGGGAGAAGCGAGGTTGGCGACGACACAGGAGGTGGATGAGAAGGAAGGACGGAGGGAGCTGCCTTGATGTATTCTATGAATCTTATATCCAGTCTTCTATGCGGAAGCGGTGTTACGAAATACACAAATTCCCAAGAACAATTCATCGAACCCTTTCCCCAACACCATTGTTCTTCCAGTCATTGATACTTCCTGGATAGAAGTCCACTTGTCCTCTAAACGACTCGTAACGCGCCAGGATGACGAGAATCTCCTCTCGTGCATCCAACAGCCCCAGTTTCCGAATCGAGTCCTCGGCCGCCTACACATCCACCATACAGGCCACCGGCATCTAATAGCATGGTTCGCTGCAGCTCCCAGAATCCAGACATCGATAGATACCCGGATAGTGGCATATATCTCCCGCCATGAGAACGAATGTATCCCCATCGGGCCCTGCAGAAATGTGCGCCAGAGCGGCAAGATGCCCAACTGTATGGCCCGGTGCGTTGAGGAGGTAGAAGCTGCCGTCGGTGAAGTAGTCAATTGCCTCGAAGCCGCTGGTTCTCATAGCATCAGCGCGAAAATCGAATGATAACTCGTCGATCGTCCGATCCTGCCAGTCGCTTTGGAGTAAGGGGATTCGGGGTTGTGCAGCCATCCGGGTAGATACGTGGACTGGAAGCCCTGTCCGACGATGGCTTTGGTTGTGGGCGGGAATCGGCTCAGATCGCCGACCTGGTCGAAGTGGTGATGGCTGAATATGACGGCTTTGATTTCCTCTAGAGAAACTTAGTTGGCGTCCAGTATCTCTGTGACATCCTGATTCACTGATATCTCCCATCCGGCGCTGGCGAGAAACTCTTGCACGGCGGGTGGAAGAGCGGTAAAGTCTGGTCGAAGCCCGAGGTCAAAAAGGAGCTTTCGCTGTGCTGTGGGACGTTCAATAAGGTATGAAAAGGATGGAAGATCGAGATATGGGAGTGCTGGAATGCTGGAATGCTGGGGTTCACCAAATGCGAGGACGGAAGATGCATTCGTGTCCCGTCGTCGATGAAGGATACATTAACTGCTGTTGAGCCTTTGGGGATGTGCCAATCGGAGAGATTCATTTTTACTTATTGATTGATATACTCATGGTGAAATCGAAGTTGGACAGGATGCGGACAAACTACGGCGTATAAGACGCTCGCATGAGTCATACGAGATACTTCGACCTCGTACATCTGGCATTTTTTATACCTTGTCAAACCAGATATAATCCTCCAAGTCTACCTCGAAGTGCACGCCCATGCGCACAGCCTTGTCCCCTTCAAGTTTGAACTCGACCTTAAGCGGAATATCCTCCCCGCCTAAAGGATCATGCAAGTGCGCAATGAACTTTGTCTGCTGGCACACATGATCGAATGTCATGGTGAACCCAAACGACCGATCCATTGCGTCGATGAACAGCTCTTCCTCTGTGACTTCGACCTTCAAGGTATGGTACCCAGGGTGTGAGTATTCCCCTGTGTAAGCCGCGAGGGACAGAGTCTGTGGCTCCGCCTGTTGGATCCCAGGACACAGCTGCTGCCGGAATTCCTCTTCTTCATCCGGGTTCTCCTCGGCGTTTCGCGATATGGTCTCGTTCCAATCCGGACGCTCAGTTGCCGGCACGCCAAGCAGCTCGTCGATCAGCTCCCGCGCAATGATACTAGTCACCAACGCGGCGGAATCCGAATTCCCCAGAACGACGGCACCGAAGTTGAACTCCGGCAGGAAGAAGTGCCGGCTGCCGAATCCAGGAACAGATCCATCGTGTCCGATGACCGCGTAGCCGCGATAGTAAAACACCTCCCAGCCCGCGGCGTATAGAATGGGCGAGCTAAATGGCTCCATGTTCTTCCCATCTGGGTCTTGAATCGTGCGTGGTTTAGTGACGCCGCTGTACATCGCCTCGGTGATCGGGCCCTCCTTGTACAGCATTGCTTTCACCCATTTGATATAGTCATTTGCACTGGTGATGATCGAACCCGCTCCTTGTCCTTCCGGACAGTCCGTCGCCGGAAAGCTTCGGTATGTGCTTGTCTCATCGTCCCAGGAGTGCCCCATGGCGAGGCGATCACCTAGACCCTTATGGCAGGCGCGTGAAGGCTGGAGGTTTGTGGAATTCATCTCCAACGGTTGGAAGAAGTGGTGCTCCAGATAGTCCGGGAATCGCTCTCCGCTCTTAGACTCGACAAGATGCGTGGCGACAGTGTACATCATGTTGCAGTACATGTATTTCGATCGAATGGGCGCTGCCACCGGCAAGTTGCGAAGGTTTCTGGTGATGGATCGTGCATCGTCTGGCTGTGCAGCCCGGATGCCCATGTACGAGTCATCGTGGCTGGCTGGTTAGCCTGTGTGGGTAAGAGGGTTGCGAGGTTCAATACCCGGGCAGTCCGCTCCGGTGGCTCAATATATCCTCCACGGTTACTCCGCCAGTGTATTCCTCTGAAGACATCACAAAGTCGTCCGGTAGGAGACTGGACATGAGGGCGTCCCATTGAACTTCCGGGTATCTTTCCCCATCGTCGATGAGCAACGCCACAGACGCAGCGGTCAACGATTTGGAGGAAGATGCAATATCAAATAGTGTATCCGCAGTGCATGCTGTTGGCGGGTCCAGGGATGCATGGCCATATCCCGCTGAGGCTACTTTGTCATCGTGTATGAGTGCAATAGAGATGCCGGGAACATGATGCTGCTGCATCAGTTCTTGGACCCGGGAGGAGAAATTAGGAGAGTGAAAGGTGTTCATGTTTACATGCGAAGAAAACGATCTGGTCGTTGATCTCAGCTCTTTATAGATCAGGGTGACTCATTGATTACACAGTACTGCAGTCAGCTTATGCGGCTAAAAGGAAGTTCCACAGTCTGATGCAGATCTCAAACAACTGATGGCTGTCACAGCAGCATTAGGCATCAAGATTGATGACTGTCGTCTCCAGTCTTATGGATCTAGGTTGATGGGAGAGTTTCAATTGCAGAAGAAGCTGGCATTCTAAACTCTATGCGAACCTATCAAAAAGAATCTTTTGATCTTATGGCCCGTCAGCATCATAGCATAAATAGATAAATGGCACTTACTTTGAGGAAAATGCGTCCAGTCAGTTCCATCCTCACGAAGATACACCCTGACTCTACCATCCACCAGTCGGCTCCTGATCTCCCCAGCTGGCCCAGGAGCTCGACGGACATTGCCCATCCGGCCAAGAACACGCAGCAACACCGCACCTGCCGTGCAGGAAATCATGCTCCCGAGACTAGCATGTGGCTCCCAGCCGCGGTGGATGTAGACATCCGCGGGACGGTCGAGACGAATCTTCAATGGATCGCGGAAACGGGACGCATCACGGTTGGCGGCGGCGACGTCGGCGAAGACGGTGGTGTTTTTCTCGACGGTTCGTATCTCGCCACCATCCATGATGCTGGTCTTATCAACTGCCGTGCGCAGGACGCCAAATACGGGAGACAAGCGGAATCTGTAAGCATGAGCATGAGCATGATATTAAGCCAGTAGATATGGAGCCAAACCCTTCCAGCGCGTATTTCTTCAATACGTCGAATGCCTCGGGGGCGTCGGAGCGTGAGAGTTCTTGAATCGCCGGCCAATGAGAGATATACTCGTCGGAGAGATAGAGGTCGACCATATGCGCCCACTACAAGCATTAGTCTAGCACATTCAGATGCAGATTGATTGACTCACCATCTGAGCCTGAGATGCACACATCGCAGCAGCCGTCGGGATGATCATCCAAACCACCTCGTCAATACTCTTCCCGCCTCTTAGCAGCTGCTTGATAAGCTGTGTGCCATAAGTGGTGACCGGGGACCTGGCCGTTCCTCGAACGAGTGCCTGTAAGACTCGATTGACCAGATTGTCTTCAGCAGTCGCCACGACTTTGGCCATGATAGCACCCATCCGCTGTCCCTCTTTTGTCGCTTTGGCTCGTTTCTGGGATGATTCACTCGGGTCAAGGTCCAGAAAGATGTGACCAAACAAGAGCGACAGCGTGTCAGATAACTCTCTTGGAGTATACGCATCAGGAGAAGGATTATTGGGCTCGGTGAGTGGGATCCGGAAGAATCGAGCGCAGAAGTATGCATGCGCGAGGTTTGTAACGCTGACTTGTTAGCGTTGTTCCATTCAATTGTGGATGACTTACTCTCTGACAACGTCGACCTGGTATGTATCCCCGAGTCTCCGGCTGTGTTCACCGAGAAGGTCCGTGATGATGACCTCGTATGTCTTTCGCACTTTTTCGAGGGCGTCCTCGGAATCTTCGAAACATTCAGTTATGAATCGTCTCTGGGCCTCTTGTAAAGAGACCTGTTCACTGAGAGCGGAGCCATGCCCGGCCACTTGGAAGATACGTTGCCCCCCTGTTATCTGTCAATAGCTGCTAAGAATAGGGTATGAGCACATACAGAGAGGACAGACTCTCTGGTCCTCCAGCAGCTTTGTCACGCCTGCCCATGTCGTGGCCATGACGGGGGATGGCATATACGACGGTTTCCCAAAGTCCAAGTCCTTGATATTCCCGTACCTGTCCATAATCTCCCGCGTCTTACCAGGCGTTGTAAATGGATATAGAGCATACACACTGTTTGACTGGTACCATCCTGGGAATGCTTTCATGAGCAGCTTATACATGACACCACCGCCGGCGACGTTGGAGTCAGAATCAGCCACATTGAACCTATACAGACTTCAGTCCATCTGCTGTCGGGATATATTCCCGACTGAACTCACCCAAAGCTGGTCAAATTCGCCGGACTGTAATCTACAGTATAGAACCGATCACCCCGGACCAGCGCCACCGCATCGGACAGGATGGCTGCGGATATCGTAAACCCGGGACACAATCCTGAGCCCGGAAGAAATGGCTTCTTGGCCTCTTCGGCCTGGATGCCGACATAGAGTTCAATATTGTCAGGGTGGCCGTAAAGTCCTTCCACTACGGCTGTTAGCCAATCTTCCAAGCAGGCGAAAATGACTTACAGGCTCCCGCAACAGACGGATCGGAGTTCACCTCCTCTATAACGCGTTAGCTTTGCAATCAACTGTAAATGTCACCCACCAAAGGTCGAATATGGCTTCAGCTTGAAGAACGTGCGGAATTCGTTCAATGTGGCCAGTCCCCACTGTCGACCTTGCTGAATCCCCAGCATTTCGATCGCTTTGATCACTTTCGGCGTATTTCTGGCTCCGAATGCGCCTTGAACTGTCAACAGGAATTCCAGTCAGGTGTCTTAGAGGTGACCTACCTGCAACATTATCGCATCCCTCCTGCAGTAGACGTACAATATCGCTGTCAGCAAAGCGCCCATCCTTTCGCCGTTTCAGCCCACCGAATGTCCACAAGGATGGTCCGTCCGGGGCAGAATCGCGAAAGTAGCGTCTCAGTCCATCGAGGAAGTCGGACACAGAGAGTTTGCCTGAGCAGTCAGTAGCCGTCTACACTGACTGAGATATGCTTACTGGCATCTACACTAGGTCCAAATATCTTCCGGCACAGATCATTCACCCAGGCCTCGTCCTGGTTATTGATGGCCGCATGCCACCGGTATATCATGTTGAACTCGGCGCTGACCTGGTTTCCCACGCCGCGCGGGAACCCGCCCTTGTCAAACACGTCGATGCTTTTGCGCGGGTCAAGCTTCCAGTCTGAATTGACTGGGTTCTCGTTGAGGTTCAGGATCGTGCGGAGGTAGTCGTTAAGGATGATGTTGACGTATAACCCGCAGGTGATCCTGTACTGGTTAGTTTGAGCAAGCGGACCAGCGAATGCAAGACCTACAGTCTTCCCGTCTGGAAGAGATCGTTATCCCTCTTCTTCTGTGCATTGGCGCATGCTGGATCATCCGATTTCATACCCGGGGGCAGGCTGAACCGCCCACCCTCGTTGATCGAAGCTAGCTCGCCAACCACCCAGTTGTGGAATCGGTTGAATGCGACCAGCAGCGCACATACACCCGGTGGCTGTGAAAGGAGTCTCTTCTCTGCAAAGGTGTCGGGCTTGAGCAGGCCGTTGTTAAAAGTCCGGACTTGGTCCTGCTGCTCCTGGTTATGGCCATATAGGGGGCCCAGATCCAGGTAGGAGGAGTTCTTCAATTTGGTGCCGTCGTGTTCGTCCGTGTGGAAGAGATCTAGAACGTGAGCTGTGCAGGTGAATAGGGAGGAGCAGCATACCATGGATGATGAGCGTGGCGAGATAGAAGAGGTTACTGGATATCTTGCTCGGGTGCTCTCTCGCTGGACCCTCGCGCGCCAGCAGTGCTGAAGGGATTAGCCTGTCTTCAAATGACGGGAATCGCGTCTGTAAAGAACCTACTGTCAAAATTGAGTGCCGGGTCTGGAAGCACAGCCGGTCGTGGATGTTGAGGCGTCACAGTCCGCGCATAATAGCTTCCGGCTGCCCCCAGATGGGGATACATGATATTCTGATGGCCGTTAGTATAACCCCGGTCTATAGAAGCGAGACTCACATTATAACTTCCATCAGCCGCGCGATACTTGAATTGGTCTCCCAGATAGGACAGCGGCGGGTGCTGCAGGGTATCCCATAGGGTACGGACGAAGGTATCCGTGATCTTATCTCGCGCGTTCGAGGTGTTGGGCAGGGACGCTGCCACTTGGATGATGTTCTCTATCTGCAATATGTCAGAAGGATCGAGACATATCTGTTCAACCTACCAGGAATCTGCGATCATCCATCAATCCTCCATTTAACACGGTTTGAACAAGCTCTTGGACAGTCTTCAGGTTGGGAACAATTCGTCCTGCCTGACTGACGAGGTCTTGACGAGCATCATTGAGAAAATTGTGAGGCTTTTTGTCTCCCCCAGTGGTACTTGTTTCGATCAAGGAAGTCATGTTGAGATGAGACAATAAGAGTATCCTGAAAAATCACACACGATTCAGAACTGACCGTATATGTCCAATTGTCCCTCGGGGAAGGACGTATCTATTATAATTGGAATAGTGCATGACTTCATTTGCGGGTATATGTTCCGTGGTGTTTCGTTGAAGCATCAGCATGACGACTATAGTGACATCGGTGCCTCTATTGGCAATGAGTATGGAATTGTATAATGAGGCCATGGGATTAACCAATGCTGGTCGAAGTAGAATATGCCGGCTACAGAGGACTGTTCATAGACATGATGGAATAGTCCTAGTTAGGGTATTGTTTCCGTGCTGATCATGTCTCAGCTACCAGATCACATATACTGTCCTTGCTATGATCACGTACTAGATAGTGCCATTGTTTAGCATCATCAATTCCCCTTAATCACACTCAATGAAGACATTCGACCGGGATGAGTGATATTTGGGGCTGAATTGAAGCTATTCGACCTGCATGGCCCCCAACTATCTAGACCCATCCTCGCTCAAAGGAGCTATTAGTGAATGGCACTGCAACCACGGGTAATCGATAAATGAATCCTGATGAGGATCAGACACACCACCAATCGCAGTCCCAATTCCCCTTGGCTAGAAGCATTCCTGATCTGCAGACGGTGAAACCGGGGTTCTGAACGATGTCCCATGTCAGCCTGCAGATCCGCGGATGTCTGTCTTTAAGAACTGAGACTGCCTGTCTGGTTCCTGATCCCCTACTGCATTGATCTCGACAGCAGCCACGATGGGCATGGGCATGGGTATGGGTATGGGTAGAGCAATTGTCGCTATATCTGCCGTGCTGCTCACAGCACGCGCGCAGAACATTGTCAACTCGCCCGGCGACACGGCCATCATTCCTGGATGGAGTATGCAGTCATCGTTGCGTGCACCGCCTAACCTCTCTTCCCTGTCGCTGCCTGGCGAGGACGTCGACCTCTCCTCATGGTACCGCGTCAGCTCGCGCGCAACTGTCATGGCCGGTCTCGTGGAGAACGGCGTCTACAACGACACGACCCTCTTCTACTCGGATAACATGGAGACCAGCATCGTCGACCGGGCAGCGTTCGATGCGCCCTGGCTGTACAGGGAGGAGTTCACCGTCGGGAAACCCGGCAAGGGTGAGCATCTCTTCCTCAAAACGCACGGTATCACCTCCAAGGCGGATATCTATCTCAACGGGGCGCTGGTTGCGCCGGCTGCCGTCCAGCAGGGGTCATACGGCGGCCACACCTACGACATCACAGGGATTCTCCGGCCGGGACAGAATGTGCTGCTTGTCCAGGCGTGTCCGACGAATTACCTGCGTGACTTTGCGCAGGGGTTTGTGGACTGGAATCCGTACCCGGCTGATAATGGAACGGGCGTCTGGCGCCATGTGGAGGTTTCGAAGACGGGACCGGTCTCCATCTCGTCCCCTCGCGTCCTGACCGACTTTGCGAGGCCAAATGGGAAGCCCGTCACTGTGAATGTTCTCGTGGATGTCACGAACCATGACACCCAGGGAGTCAAGGGGCTTCTCCAGGGGACCATTCAATTGGACTCGCTGGACATCCCTATTTCGCAGACGTTTTCAATCAAGGCACACGAGACGAAAGTGGTCACGATCAATGCGAAGATATCCAGCCCAGAGATCTGGTGGCCTGGGCAATGGGGATCCCAGCCACTGTACACTCTCAGCATCAACGCAACCGTCGCGAATGCGGTATCTGATGTCGCCCGTCCGAGGCGGTTCGGCGTCCGCCAGGTAACCTCGCACCTCAACGCGCACAATGACACCGCATTTACAGTGAACGACGCGCCATTCCTGGTTCTCGGAGGAGGATACGCGCCCGACCTGTTTTTGAGGTTCGATCGCGTCCGTGTCCGCAAGATCTTCCAGTACATGCTAGACATCGGGTTGAACACTGTCCGGCTGGAGGGAAACCAGGAGCATCCGGAGCTGTACGATCTGGCAGACGAGATGGGATTGATGGTGATGGCTGGCTGGAAATGCTGTGACAAGTGGGAGGGATGGGATGTGAGTTCTCTGCGCGCCGCCAGTCACAATCATCAAAACTGACCAGACAGTATAACAATGAAGCCGATGGTGACAAATGGACCGCAAAGGACTACCCCGTCGCCAACGCGTCCATGATCCACGAAGCAGCCATGATGCAGACGCACCCATCCATGCTGGCCTTCCTCGTCGGGTCGGATTTCTGGCCCAACGACCGCGCCACGAAGATATACCTCGACGCGCTGCATCGCATGGACTGGCCTGTCCCCATCATCGCGTCGGCCAGCAAGCGCGGATACCCGCAACCCCTTGGGCCATCGGGGATGAAAATGGACGGGCCGTATGATTGGGTCCCGCCAAACTACTTCTACGGCGATCAGATGGGCGCAGCGTTTGGATTTGGGTCGGAACAGGGCTCAGGCGTAGGGACGCCCGAGCTGCCCAGTCTGAAGAAATTCTTGTCCCCGGCCGAGCTGGAATCGCTCTGGAAGAAGCCCAAGCAAGACCAGTACCATATGTCACGCTACGATTCGTCCTTCTACAATCGCGCGCTGTACAACAAGGCGCTCTTCGCCCGGTACGGAAAGCCAGGGAGTCTGGACGACTACTTGCGCAAGGCACAGATGATGGATTACGAGACTACGCGGGCCGAGTTCGAGGCGTTCTCTGTCCGCCAGAATGCGACGCGTCCGGCCACGGGGGTCGTCTACTGGATGCTCAACAGCGCCTGGCCGAACCTGCACTGGCAGCTGTTCGACTACTACCTCAGTCCCGCGGGGGCGTACTTTGGCGCCAAGGTTGGGGCGCGCATGGAACATGTCGCCTATGATTATGAAGCGCAGGCCGTGTATCTGGTCAGCCATGCGCTACAGAGCAGTGGTGCGCGCGTCGTCGTCTCGGTCGACCTTGTTGATCTGCAGGGGCAGTCGATCTCGCACCAGGAGGTCACGGTCGATAGCTCACCGAGCGCGTCCAAGGTAGTAGCGACGGCGACAGGCATCGACCAGCTCAAAGACGTGGGATTTCTTCGATTGAGACTGCAGGATGTCGAGACTGGCGCCGTCCTCAGTCGAAACGTGTACTGGGTCTCGGCTCACAACGACGCCCTCGACTGGGATCATTCCGACTTGTACTACACGCCTGTGACGAAGTATGCCAACTATCAAGCACTGGGTGCCATGTCCCCGGCCAGCATTACTGCTTCGGTGAAGCCGCTGCCGGCCCAGAACGGGCTGAACCAGGTCCAAGTCACTCTCGACGACGCTTCCACCATTCCTGCATTCTTTGTGCGGCTTGCAGTGTTCGACAAGGACACTCAGGAGGAAATCACGCCCGTATATTGGTCAGACAATTACGTAACCGTCTTCCACGGCGAACAGCTGACTTTGACGGTCGCGTTTGCGGGCGACGTGAGTCACAGCCAGATTGTGCTGTCGGGGGGGAACGTGGGGAGAACCGTTCTATCGCCTGCGTAGTGAGCACTAAATACCTAGTTACGAACTAGCCTTAATCTAATTTATTAGCCTATCCAATGAGAGAATTGTTTTCAAGTGGCAAAAGCACCAGAAAGTCAAAGCGCTCCCACAGTCTGGAGTTGCCGAGAATTAGCTGACCAGACAAGCGTTGACTCGGTACGCAGACTAGATAGAGAACTGCACACCCTCAACCACGAGCATGGACTGAGCATCCAATGCAAGACTACGCACCTGCACAGGCTGGAGTCTCCGCCGCCGATGGGCGTCATAGTGGCCATTGCGGCGCCGGAGGGCAAGACTCAGCGTCAGAGCTGGCAACGCAGGGCTACTTGAGCTCGATCCGGGAGTTGCGCGAGCGGATTGCCGAGGTGCGAGGATGTATTGCCGGCGACCGCGATCTTTCTCTTTGTCTATGTGGTTAGTCCTGTTGGAATCGAGAACGGATGGCGAGGATGCTGATCTGACTCCATCTAGAGCTTCCGGTCAGAGACACCGCCCAATGTTGCTTCTGGCGAGGATGATCGACGCATTCTGGATGGGAAGATCTCGCTGCTCATCCGGCGTCGTGGATAGGCGTTGGGAGGTTGGAGTCTTTGGTGGATGTTGGGTATCAGACTGACTATCGATGGTATCTTGAGCCTTGATTTTGGGGGTATATTGTGGGTGTATTGTTAGAAGAAATGATACTAATACAGGTGAAGCTGTCAATTCATAGGAAGCTGTATGAATTTTAGAGTCTTTACTTCAGGAAGCATATATATCGAGTTTTACCAGTCGGGGCCCAGCAGTCGGCTTCATTTAGCATTCTCATGGCGATTTACGAAACAATTTCAACCCATTCTTCGAATATTCGTCCTTGATCTAAATTTCCGTCTCGAATCCATCTGCCTCAATCTGACTGTTCCACAGCTATCTCGCGTGAATCTTCTTCCCGCTCTCCAGAAGCGACCTTGATCCCGCCGTCTCTCTCCACTCGTGTATCGTTGAACGGCATGCTGTGCAGCCCGATAACTGGCCAAGATGCTAGTCGTGGAAGCACATATCGGATATAGTGTCATTGTCACATTCCCGAGAAACGCTGACTTCATAAGTACCCCCTTGGGTGCAATACCCCGTGGTGGTGATACACATTTTGTAAAATCCACAAGGCAAGCCATAGTCAGGGCACACCCGAATATGCTGTCCTTGGAGGTATTCAAGCCCCCGGAAAAACGCAAATGTGTTCGGAGGCGGGGTGACGCAGGAATCGTTTTCAATAACCTCGATGACAATCGGGGTGCAGGTGTTCGTGCCCCCAACGCCCATGGTGATCTGGTCCGGTTCCCCGGACTGTCTCGTTGTGAGCGATTTCTTCTCCGTGCGGCCATCCCGAGGGAAATGGGATCGATGGATGAACACTGCTTCCACCGACTGGTCGATCATCGTGACGACCCAGGAGGAGTTGCCGAGCATGTTATACTTGAACAGTGGCCATGGCTGGGAGATGTCGAGGTTCGGAGGCGGCGGAGATGCTGCATTGATCCGTTCGATGGTCTCGGTGAGATTCTCGAATTGTACAATCGGGTCTTTGGCCAGAGTGAATGATGCAGCAGAGGGCTGGCCATTGGCAAGTGGTGAGCAGAGGCAGCCAGCAACCATTGCGGCGAAGGTGAAGGTGTGAAAAGCATGCATCGTGACTGGTTGAAAGGAGAGTTTTTTGGAAGTTGAAGCCTGGTACAATCTATTTACTCTGGCCTGGGAATTCCAGCGGGTTTTATATTGTAAACAAGGTGGAGGTCGTTGTTCTCTAACCGGCTCATGGAATCCAGTGCGGCCGCTAGACTGGCCAGCTGTGAGAGCAATTTAGATATCCCGTGGGTTACTGTGGATAGTCAGCATCGAGTACGATGGATGCTGACTTGAGATAACAAGTTGAGACACACGCCGAGGAAACTCTCTATCCAGCAGTGATATGGATGCTATGGGCATCCTGACAACATGTTGGGTCTTGCATTATGTGTTGAATGCTCATGCTGTAGTGAGATGGCTTGCTTTATTCGTATCCCAGACTCGGTGTATTTTGACTACGATGAACCATAAATCAGTAGTATGGAAGAAGCAATAACCCAACAGATATTGACACGCGGAAGGTTGAATTCGTCTCCACTGCGGACAAAGCTACGCCGAGTTCACCCTCCTCGGGATGAATGCTATATCAGAGCATCCTACGCTTACAACGTACAAGGCAACTACTTCAAGTCCCCAGGAAGATCCTATAACCCATGGATCAAAAATGAAGAGGGTATAAATTCCTTCGTGCAATCCTGTCCACGACAACCAACTACTTCAGCAAAACAGCCTCGATGATCTTGGCATGCTCCATCAATGCCTCATCCTTGAGTCGTCGGCCCGTGATCTGCACGTGGCAGGGAGCGCCTTCCACCTCCTTGGGGAGATCTGTCACGGTATGATTAGCATGTCGTGTGAAGAAGGCAGCGGGGGAATGAACTTACATGGAGGGATGTAGGTGACGTCGCGGATAAACTCGGTATCGGCGGCTTGCTCAGCCTTGCTGAAGGGAAGCACGCAGGAGGGGTACTGCATCGTCAGCTGGATCGGTATGAGCGAACAGGGGGATACGTACATCGATGAGGTTGCCAAAGACAGTGTATGGCGCCGCGCCAAAGGTGTCGTGGGGCACCGCACAGCTCTGATACCCAGGCCCGATGATCACGTCGAGCTTGTTGTCCAGGAACGCCTGGCGCGCCTGGGCGGTGATCTGCGCGCGCTGCACGTTCATATCGAACACGTCGCGCAGCGTCAGCTCGGGCATCTTGCTGTCGAGGTCGAAGGTGAACCGCAGCGACGGGATCGGCGGCTCGCCACTGGCCGAGATGTGCGACAGTGACGTCCGGTCGGAATCCAAGTTGAAATACCGGAAGGAGAGCTCACAGCTCTCCGCGATGCTAGGTAGTTTGCCCGAGAGGTCCACGATGCGATGGCCGGCGGCCTCGAGCTTCTTGACGGCGAGCGCCAGCGCCCGCTGCATGGGCGGATGCACGGGGAACTTGGGGTCCTCAGCCATCACGCCAATGGTGAGGATGGGCTGCGAAGGTGCGTCTACCCAGGGGAAGCCCACGACGTTGTCGTCCAGGTTCTCCGGCTGAGAGTTGAAGACGGTGCGCAGCAGCAGTTCCGCGTCCCGCAGCGAGTGGCTCAGAGGTCCAGCGCAGGGCCCGATGCCCACCATTCCTCCGCGGGCCCCTGTTGTCTGGCCTGCGTACGGCACGCGGCCGACAGATGGCTTGAACCCGACCGTGCCGCAGCACAGCGCCGGGATGCGGATGGAGCCGGCAATGTCGGTGCCGACACCGAGAACAGAGCCGCGGAAAGCAATCAGAGCGCCCTCACCCCCCGAGCTTCCCCCGGCCGTGAGATTCCGGCGGTGCGGGTTTAGCACGCGACCAAAGACGTTGTTGTGTGAGTCAGCGGTCATCATCGTCTGGGGGACATTGGTCTTGACATAGAGGACGGCACCGGCGGCGAGGAGGATGTCCACCAACGCTGAGTTGGTGGATGGGTTCTCCCGATCCAGGAACGAGACGTAGCCTAGACTCGTGGGAATGCCTTGGACGCTGAACGTCTCCTTCAGACTGATGGGGAGGCCATGCAGCGGTCCCACGGGCTTGCCGGTGGCGGCCAGATGGTCGTCCAGTTCCTTCGCGCGAGCCAGCGCTCTGTCGAAGAAGGTCTCGGTCAGGCAGGAGGTGAGCTGCTGCGCGATGGCCGCGCGCTTGCTAAAGGCTGTGGTGACCTCGACGGAGGTAAGCTCGCGCGCGGCGAGTTTCTGCAGCAGGGCAGTGGCGTCGTGGTTGCCGGTGATATCCAGTTCGTGGGCGGACAGGATACCCGACTTTGTGGGGATATCAAGGATATTAGAGTCGTTCGCCGTGGTTTTGAGCAGCTCAGCGGACAGTCTCCATTCGGAGGGGATTTTGTCGGCGGCTTCGGCCTGCTTGGCCTGAGCCTTTTGTTGCCAGTCAAGAATAGCCATGGTGGATGTGAGGAAGGAGAAAGATGGGTGTAATCTGACCGCCACATAGGAGTCGCGCGTTCATCCCATTTATATTCCCCCCCCTGGACAGGCATCTTGTCTCCCTCGGATTGAAATAGAACGATAATCATCCTCATACTAGTATCGCACTACATGAGGGGTAGGTCCATGCGGGCAACGCCATCATGGCTCCGGGTTGGCGATAAGGCTGCCTGCCTCAGGCCAATCAAGTGCTTTTGCGCCTCCCAAGCGGAACTAGTCCCTCGTGAGGAGAACGTCGAACAATTCGGATGAGGAGATGAAGGATTCGGTCAGGCTGCAGTTTCCTCTAGAGGATATTTAACTTTCTTAGCATTCGGGATTGAGCATGGCGGAATGAAAGTAGTGGACTGAAGGGAGAAGGGGAGAGAGGATGGAGGAGAGAGGATGAGGAGCTGGCAAGTCAGCTGATCAGTCTTATCCTTATCCTTATCTTTATCCTTATCGATATGGGTCTTGCTTATCGCTCTATCATCCACTCTCGTCTGGATACAATTCCCATTCAGACAATGAGATTATTGAACAGATTAAGATCTCTGGTCTGTCTGGATATCCTTGCATGGCGCAAACCTCTAAAACCATAACTGATGCGCGAGATGACAGACTGAAACATACGGAAGCGCTGAGATATATCATGGCGCCAAAAATGACCCATGCCCAAAACACGTCAGACTTGCCCGCGCCTGCGATGAAGCCGTTGTCTTCCCTATAAATTCCACATCAGCAAGATTGTCCCAGCTTGCGAGAGATCTCAGATGCCACGTATGTCTATATTTCACTGCCTCTACCCAAAGACAACGCTATTGACATTGCCGAAACGACAGAGCACCGACTACACGCCCATCGCGCAAGCCCGCTTCCGCCAAAGAAAGGATGGACACAGGTTCAGACTCTCAAGAGCTCAAGGAGATCCCTCCTGAGGCCGTCACAATAGCAATCTTCTGTGCTCTTTCGTACGAGGCTGCTGCGGTCAGATACACCCTCGACGAGGAATTCGAATGTCATTTTCAAAGCATTGGCCCCAAAAGATATCCCTATTCTTTTGGCCGCCTGAGGGACCACATTGTCGTGATTGCTCGACCTCACCGAATGGGAACCGTTAAAGCCGGTCAATGTGCCGCCACCGTATGTCAACAGTTTCCCAATATCCAATTCGCCCTAATGGTGGGTGTCGGATCTGGCATTCCAGACCCCTCTCGGCGCGACCTCCGTCTAGGTGATGTCGCCGTCAGTATTCCTGGAGGCAATCATCCTGGTGTGGTTGAGTATGACTTTGGAAAGTATGAGCACGACCGATTTATACTCGGAGGGAATCTTGATAAGCCGCCGGGAATTCTGATCAGCGCTGATGGCATAATGCAAGAGGATGAGATAATGGACAAACGTCGGCTGGAAAAAGTCCTGAGAGGGATCACGAAAAAACCAGGATTTGCACGTCCAGATGTCGATGACATTCTCTACGATAAAAATTTCCACCATATCAACAAAGGCAGTGACTGTAGCGGATGTGAAGTAGCTGATCGGAGAAAGATTGTGTCGCGTGCACCGCGTCCTCATGCGAACCCTGTAGTCCACCGGGGACTTATTCTGTCTGGCAATAGTGTTATCGAGAACCCAGAGGATCGCGATCGTTTGCGGAGGGGTTATGAGGACGCCATCTGCTACGAACTTGGTGCAGCCGGTATCATGGACGAGATTCCTTGCCTCGTTGTCCGAGGAATATCTGACTATGCGGATACCCACAAGCAGGATACATGGCATCATTATGCTGCGGCTGTCGCTGCAGCCTATTGCAAGGTTCTTCTCCGCAAGGTTGATGGACCCGATGTGAGAGGGATCAGTAATATTTACGACAGCCAGCTCTTGGCACAATTGCTCTCTTTCAATACAGCCACAGGAGATCGGGGGAGCGAAGCCAAACTTCTCCCAAATCTTGCAAGGCAATTGGGGTTCGATATGCCCCAACTCTTACCAGAGAGTAGGGGACTTTCTAGGCCTTGATTGGATATCGCATGCAGGCAATCCCCTCTTCACTGATACCCAGCTCGGGAGGTTGGGCGTTGTATTGCTACTACCTAATCCATTGCGCCTTGCGAGTATGCGGCAGCTTCGCATACTTATGCTCCTAGTGGTGCGTCGTCCTGATTTGGGAAATATATATGTTCTCCAAGTATTGATAGTCGATTCTATTTCCCTTTGGAAATCGGATGCATCTGTTTCAATAAATATAAGCTGAAGTAAAAAAAGGGTAGTATCACCTCGAGAAGAGTCGGTATTATTATTTCACACAAGTGTGACTGGCACACGAGACAGAGTAGTAGATCGTTAGTATTCAGAATATGAAGCTATTTGCCACCGCACGTTTGGCTGGTGTTGACCTTCTTGGCAGAGTTCCACTAGCGATGTAGGATTTTGAAGCCATCTGTCCTCCAAATGTAAAGAGGAAGCTTGTCTGGATTCCAGTACTCAAACCGACGTGATAAGGAGCGACTTCCATGCTTACCAGGTCGAGTTCCTCTACTATTATTGCTGTTCCTGAAATGCCTCCTCGCAACGTCTGTCGCCATACGGCAACATGCTATGAAACCTCACCATATGCACCCGAAGCTGGATACGTGCAACCAAGTCGAAAAAGTCGGGCAGACGCCGCAAGGCCTGCAAAGACAAAAGATCGAACGTCAGCAGCTAAGCTTCCAGATCACAGCATCTTTCCTCCACCGCTGGTTCCGCCTGGCGATGATCTAGCATTAGATCCCGAATATCCACCGCAATCCTTTCAGGATTGGCTGGAAGATGAGGACCGTAATGAAATCACTCCTGACAGGAAAGCAATCTACATTCTGGCTCCGCCAGAAATCGGGGAGGATATTGCGTTCATGCAAGGCTGGACGGCTCCTAGAATGCAACAGGGACAGCTGCGGTTGAACGAACCTTCTGCTGAAGATATTGTAGAATATCTAGCAGCGTTCTACCATGGCCTTCCCGTTAAACTGCTTGAGATCCCTGATTTTCGGTTCGTTGCCTGGGAGGAGCAGAAATCAAAAACTGTACCTCGTCTCGTCGGCCTGGCTGTCTCGGACGAGTGCACTGGGATTCGCACACGGCCGTGTCCAGATAGACTCTATCCTCGTCAACTTAACCTTGACGATCTTCTGGATGTGGCGATAAGCCTGCTTCCCCAGGATGCATATGCCCTATGTCTCTTGGTGAACCATGATTTGTATGAGGACAAGGACGACACATTTGTTTGCGGTCGTGCATACGGGGGTAGTCGTGTCGCTGTGGTCTCCAGCGCTAGATACTGTCCGGCCCTCGATGATGTCCAGTCGGTGGAGAGGGGGCACGCCTGGCCCGCATCCCATTGTATGGATTATGTCCAGAGCGTCTGTGCCGCGGGTAGCACTGCGAAAAAGCAGAAAACGATAAAGAAGCACGGGGATAACACCACCACTCCGCTGAGAGCATCCATGCTCACAGTCCGTCCTCGTCTGAACGACTCATCGAACCTTTCGTTATTATGGCTTGCTCGAATGTGCCGTACGGCGAGCCACGAGCTAGGTCACTGTTTTGGGATCGACCACTGCGTTTACTACGCGTGCATCATGCAAGGAAGTGCTTCTCTCTCTGAGGATGCAAGACAGCCTCCGTATCTGTGCCCGGTTGATCTTGCGAAGCTCCTACACGCGACAGGAGCCACAGTTAGAGAACAATACATGGAACTCATCCGCTATTGCTCGAATGGCCAAAGGCGAAACGAGTCTTTCTTTGATGCTTTCGCGACCTGGATGAGATCAACCCTTAACACCATGCCGGGTTGAAAGCTCCTCGAGACGACTGAGAGGCGGCGTCATTATCCTCATGTCAGATGGCAGGTGAAAGGGGGGATTTCGGTTTTCACAAAGGAGAGCTCTTGACTATGAATCGGCTACCTGAAGAGTTTGCTAGCCCGTGTAAACCAAGCTGAGCACATTGCGCCCTGTCCATCCGAATATATTCTTCCAGTCATTTATCGCGCGAATGTTGATCCTGGCCATGAAAATAATCGAATCTCAAGAAGGATATAGTTGCGGGATGGTCGAGATATTACCCGATGCGGAAATTGTTGCGAACACTAAGTCGGTGGATCATTCTAAACTTCCCCCATTCTTGGCCCGTCATGCAGATCGATATGAGCCACGCGAGCGAATTGTGATGAGGGGGATGTCTCCATTAGATACCAGATCTAGCGGTCGATCTCCAGATGTCCGAGGCAGTTAGTTATACGGGGTGAGATCTCCCACACCGACAAGGGCAACATCCTCCCCAACCCTCACATGTGGATTGGCTTTCCCAGCAATTCACTCTTCGGCACCGGAATCGAAACGCATCATGTCCTCTATGAGACAATTAAATTCTGTTGGGATATAATATCTGCATCTCTTGACGTCACGCAATGCTTTCGCTTGTATTCACATGTTGTAGCAGCCGTGAAGAATACCCGACTCGTCTATTTAAAGTGTAGCCGGTCTCTTTCAGGTTTGACAAAGAGACGAAGCACGGGAAACATCACCACCATGGAGAAAGGTAACCCCAGGGACTCGATGAAATCCACCTGGCGTACGGCCGCCAGGGACACCTGGGGCTACCGACACTGGCTCATCCACATACTCAACGTCTACCCGAGTGAGCTCAACCAAGAGGTGCCGGTGCACTCCAAGGACGAACCCGTTCCCTACATGCCCCAGTGGTCGCTCCACATCTGGATCCTCTTCTACTCGTCTCTGCCATTGCTGTTCCATCAAGCCTACGCATCGTACACGGGCCGTCACCTGGGACCCTTGTCGGTCTTCAACTTGTACTTCTTTGCCTTCAATGCGATTATCATCTGCCAGGTGCACATCCTCCGCCGACTCGGTCATATCTACGGCTTCCTCGACGGCGACAACCATGAGCGAGACGGTATCCCTGATGTTGGGGTGGGAAAGGTCGTCGGATCGCTGTACAAGACTACCGGATCTCGTCTGGCACTATCGATATACCTTTCCCACCGGACGAGCCAACTCCCCGCAGACCTGAACTGGTACTGGCTGCCACTTGAAGTGGGACTGTACGGGATCGTGCTCGACTTCTATTTCTACTGGTACCATCGCCTGATGCACGACGTGCCCTCTCTCTGGAGATTTCACCGCACGCATCACCTCACCAAGCACCCCAATCCGCTGCTGGCCGCGTACGCCGACCACGAGCAGGAGTTCGGCGATATGGTCGCCGTGCCTCTGTTGACCTACCTGACCCTGAAGACTTTCGGTCTGCCAATGGGTTTCTACGGGTGGTGGATCTGCCATGCGTATGTTGCCTTCGCCGAGGTACTCGGTCACAGCGGCCTCCGGGTGCACTCGACAGCGCCGTCGTCGCTGAGCTGGCTGCTGCAGTGGCTGGATGCGGAGCTCGTGATTGAAGACCACGATCTGCACCACCGCAAGGGCTGGAGGAAGAGTCACAACTATGGCAAGCAGACGCGTCTGTGGGATCGGGTCTTTGGGACATGCCACGGGCGGATTGAGTCGGTGGCTGAGAATGTCGATTATGGGAACACGGCCAGGATGCCTTTGTTTTGAGTCTGGTTGGACCTTTTATTTAGTGAATTTTCATATTTCATCTATGGTCTTTTGAGTCAATTCGTTATCAATGGCTCCCTGTAACCGCTCCCCAGATATAGGCCGCCCAGCTGCCGACGGTCAGTAGCATGAGCGCAGTAAAACAGCAGATGGAAATAGTTCTGCTCTGCGCATAGTTCGTTTGCAAGTAATGGTCCCGAAGCATGCTGATATGTTCTGGACCCAGGGCGAGTCGCTGCTTTCTGGTCCACTGCAACGGAGCCAGGCTGTCCGTGAACAGCGCCCCGATGAGGATCAGCAGGCCAACGGCAACGGAGCCCGCAGCGAGGAAAAGATACACCCGAACGACCCGGTGATAGGAATTTTTGTCTGCGTCCTGCAGCGCGCCGGTGATGATTCGGATAATGATGCCCATCCTGCTCTGGTGTTAGGGTTTGCAGCTTGACGGGGGATGTGGAAGCCTCACGCGTTGTTCATGGTCACCTTCAACGCATAGGCAGAACCGAATACGGACTGATGCCAGAGCGTTGTGCGGATACTGTCAATGATGGACGTCGGGCCCAGGGACAAGGCGATGGCATAGATACCAAATGATGCAGCTGTTCCCGCTTTGGTTGCGGCGAAGTTGACCAGAGTCATACTTAGTAACATGCCGATTCCACAGATGCATACTACCAAGCGTTAGATTTTGAAGTCAAGTGTCATCACTTGAATGTCAACATACAAACAGACGCGCGGTTGCCGAGAATATCAATGAAGACGCCCAGGCAAGGGACCAAAAAGAAACCTGCGAAATTAGTACGCGGTCGATCCCATGAGAGATGGTGTACATACCGGCATATTGCGACAGGGAACTATACCATCCAGCCGTGATCGCATCCACATTGAACCGCTTCTCAGCCAGCTCCGTTGCGTTTTGACTGAAGACAACCGCGGTAGTCGTTTGGAACATGGAGAAGGCCATGATCGACCAGAACATCCACGGCAGCTGGAACATCTTCTGAAGCTCGAACTTCTTATTCTTCTCCGTGAGGATCTCCCTGGTGGCTTCGTCCTGTCTGCCTCTGAAGTGCTTATTGCAGTATCGATTGAAGAACCAGAAGACGACCGTCGCAGCATTGGTGAAGAGGTTCATAAACACAGCAGTCCAGAAGACCCAGGCGAAGTTACCGGTATTCTATGCCAATCAGAATTTACTTTTATCCCAGAACATAGAGGACAATACTGACCTTGGCGATGATGTTGGCCGTCGACTTGCCAACGAATCCTCCGACCTGGATAACGGGGTAAGACGATGCTTCTCTTTCGAGCCTGGGGAGAGTTTACCTTTCCGACTGCCAGCTCGAAACCAAGGGTCGACGCAAACCCGTTGCTTGGAGCAAACCACGAAGAAAACATCTTGTATTGCGCGATCTGGGTTGCAATGTCGCCCAGAGCCAGAACCACTCGACCGCCTATCATGAAATCGAACGATCGAACCGTTGCTGCCGCTGCGACTAGGATCGACCCAATGGTGTAGATGATATTCCCATAGACAATCATCTCTGGATCAAGGGACAGGTTAGCTATCTGAGTATGAGAAAACATACCACAGGGACGGAAGAATACTGACCGGCACCTCCAACCCGATCTGTAATTACACCGCTGGCCAGCAAAAGCAGTGTGGCCATAAAGTCCTCGCTGGCCTCCAACAGCGAGAATTGGGTATTGGAGATATGCATTTGCTGCAGTCATTGCTTAGCTAGGAATTGCAAACGATGAGCACCGTAACTACCTTCTTGATTGTACTCTTCATGGCTCCGGTCACCCCGGAACTCCAACGAGAGCCGAAACTAATGCACGCGATCAGAAAAACAGCGAACAGCTTGGCCACCAGCGGCGGCGGACGTTTTCCTTCGGTATCGCTGGTAGGAGGATCATCTTCAACTGGTGATGCGACGATAGCCTCTTTGGTGTCAATGACGGGTTTGACGGGTTCGACGGGTTCACCCATGGCGCAATGGGCTGTTTCTCAGAGCAAGAAGTGACGGGAGGTATAGAGAAGGAAATCAGTAGCAAAGAAGTCTTCTGGGGGGGGTTGGCCTGGTACTTAAACCAGCCACGTGGGCCAGAGATTCAATGAATGGGGTCATGTCTCACGCCGCGGGTGGTGAAAATTCGATCAGATAAGCGCTTGAAGTGTGGTGGGAACCGTATGATACACAATGGTCTGCAGTTTTTTTTATTTTTGACTTCTAAGCTGAGACATCGGCGGGACCATCGCCCAGTCTCTGGCTGGCATTGGTCTAAAACCCGCAGGCTCCAGCAGCCAAGCCATACTATTGATGTTTATTGCCAATTTGACTCGGAAAATGTCTTTCCCATTGGATGACAGGACGAATGGAACGCTGATTGATAAGATTTGGAGCCTGCCCGAAATTTGAATGTGTGGAGCTTTGCAGTTCTGGGCTTGAAATGGTGGATTGTCCCATTCGCGCAATTGAGGATATTCACACAGAGGAAGTTCACGACCCAAGATCCTGCCGATCAGTGCCGAATAGTATGGATTAAAGTAATAGAGTCGGAAGTGCAAGTAGTAAACCGCGTTCGAGTATTCTCAGTCAGCCAAAATCACTCTCGAACTGGTCGTGATATGCTCAACCCACCTGCATCAACTACTAGCGTCATAATCTGATGAGAGATAATTGTCTCAGTAAAGGGATATCGAATTGAGAAGAAGAGCTTGCTAGGTCCAGTAAATGCAAGCGTGGGAGCTAGCAATTGATGTGGGCGGTTTCGGCATATATGGAGGCTGACATGCTACCATTTAAGGCGAGCTCGAGCAATCCGGCCAAACTAATCAAGCCACTGGTGGCTTAGCACTGAAGGATATCCGTTTAGGACATTAATGCGCCCAGGTACATATGATATCAGGTGTCTTCCAGAATAATGTTGCGTGGCTCTTACGCGCCCAGCGATATCAAATCGGGAGTCAATATATTGCATGTAGTGACTCGGTGACGCATGAGATATAGGGAAACGATTAGACCAATACTGCAGGAATCAATGCATTTTCAAATTTCAACCTCAACTACACTATACAGGAGTGAATTGAACTTAATGTAAGGAAATGTCTTCATATCCTACCTATTCGTTCTTGTATACCCTTTATATAGCCAGTGTCACCATGCTAATGGCAACATCTCACAGGAGATCGCGTGGGCCATGATTTCAGACCTAGGAAATGGATACCTGGATTTGTCTGAGAGACGGAATTGGTTCAATTGTACTACAGCCATTCTGACGATGTATTCGTATTCTGTCGATCTACAGATGTCGTGTCCCTCTTCCAGTGCTTGTTCAACTGTGATTTGCGGCCACCTCGTAAAGGGAGAAACCTTCGAACCACCACAACTCTGAGGCTGACCTGCAGATGAAGCAAGAAATATATGTAGAGGTCAGTAAGCTACGAAGATAGGTCATATGCGGACTGACTGGAAGATGAAATGGTCTGATGTCAGCTTACCCCTTCTTTTACGGACTTTCATAGCACATCCCAGCCTTTATATACTGCTATGGAATGCCTCTTTTCTTTTCATCTTCGCTGGCATCTACAGGCCATTCGCACTTTCAGTACACTATCACCGATACTCCCAAAACTCTATCAACATGCATACCCCCTTCAAACTCTGCCTGGCCCTGGGTACCCTTGCTAGCATCATCCCAAGCTCACTGGCTACGGACTCTCCGGCCACAAAAGACTCGACCATCCTTCGTTCGACGGTGAGCTGTCCGAGTTGCCCAGAGCTCAATTGCTACAAATGCACCCTCGGAAATGACAATACCATCAAAGCCAGCACGGGTGGGATGTCCTATGTCCGTGCACTCGTCGGGTTCAAGCTCTCGGACCCCGTGGCCGATATCACTTCCTGCTCCGTCCAGTTCCCGGCCTTTGTCCGACTGCTTGAATCCCCCGTGACGGTCACGGTGGCGCGGGCGCTGTCTTCTGACTGGGACGAGGGCACGGTCACTGCAGAAAATGCCCCCGAGGCTGGTGATGTCTTCACCCAGGTCACGGTGCCTGCCCTCAGCAACTTGCCGGCGCTGGATGTGACTGAGGCCTGTCAGGCTGCGCAGACGGATGGGCAATTTTCCATCTACCTGGGAACGCAATTTGACAGCATTGAAATCTACTCCAAGAACTCGGGTAACCCGGCTATTCTCCATGTCAAGACGGCTTGATATCTCGCCACTGGGATTGCTAGATCGAATCATGGCCATGTTAGTAGTCGGGAGGAAGCACGATCTATGTTGGACTACTGTCAGTAGTAAATGGGCATGTCCATTCGTTGTTTCGCTGTTTTATATAAAGGCCTCCTGCACTTATTATGTTTAGAGAAGTGAAGTATCAATCGTCGACGTCATGGAAGTTTATACAGATGAGACCATATTTCCACATCCTAAACCCTTTATGCCACTGGATTTCGACACGAAAGTAGATTGACGGATCAATATTGATGGTGTGTCACTATCAGTAATATTCGTGGAAATATTTTCCACACGGCATCACTCATAGTTATACTCACTTTCCTATTACTACTATAGTCCAGTGATTGATCGATCAACTGCATTCTGCTTCGAGAGATCGAATTGCAAGTAATACAAATGCCGTATCCCTTTCTGTCAACTGAAAACCTAGCTTGGATCAGTGCTCCATGATGTTCCGCCTGCAAATTAAGCACCTTCTCCATCGGGTATGCCTCCCTTGATCTCGGTCAGCAAAACATTCTAACCCCAGTTGATAGCCACTGTCTATCTTAAAGCAACAAGTCCGACAGCTTAGTCTCTTAGAGCATTATTCGCACCAGCTTCTCGAGCAAGTACGACCTGCATTCTCCTCAACCATTCGAAAACTTATGCTCTCTGGCAGTACTCCATCCCAGTCCCGAAAGGGTTCGTGGTCACAACTCCCGAGGATGCCAGGTCCGTCGTATCATTGATCAGTATGTAACAGGCAGTCTCGAAGTCTACATTGCTAAATGACTACCAGATGCACCGTCGGTGCTCAAATCGCAGATCCTCGCCGGCGGCCGGGGTAAAGGACGGTTCGGGAGTGATGGCAAGAGTGGTATTCGCATCGTTAACACGTACGTGAGCAACATACAGTTGGCTATTCCATCCCTAACCCTCTACTAGCCCTAATAAAGCCTACGAGAACGCTGCGAAAATGCTCGGCTACTACCTCACAACAAAACAGACGCCACCTGGCGGGCTTCTCGTGAAGAAGCTATACATCTATAAAGCGGTGGATATTGAGCACGAGTTCTACCTAGCGCTGACGTTTGACCGGGAAAGATACTGCCCCGTCATTTTGATCTCAGATCAAGGAGGTGTGGATGTTGAATCTAGCCAGGATCAACTCCACAAGTTCTGGTTCTCTCTTTCAAAGGGTGTCACGACCGATATCCTCACCAAGATCCAGAGGGAAATTCACTTCACGGAAGCAGAAATGAAGACAATCCAGCACATCGTCCAACAGATGGTGAAACTGTTTCAAGAGAAAGACGCAATCCTCCTCGAGTTGAATCCGCTTGTCCGCACGCCAAAGGGAACCTTCGTCTCCCTCGATGCCAAGTTTGATTTCGATGATGCCGCGCGGTTCCGCCAGCCAGACATCTTCAGCAAGGAAGAGTATATGCCGGACCAGAGAGATGAATACGAAGCCAAGGAGCATGGGCTGGTTTACATACGCCTCGACGGAAACATTGGGAATATCGTCAACGGTGCCGGTCTAGCAATGGCCACCAACGACCTGATCAATCTGCATGGTGGGAAAAGCGCCAACTTTCTAGATATTGGGGGCAAGGCTACCACAGATACATTGCTCGAGGCCTTTGAAATATTGACCAGAGACCCACGCGTGCAAGCGATTTTTATCAACATCTTTGGTGGTACGTATGTTGCCGGTGCATAGCCAACACACCACTCACTGGGTCTAGGAATCGTTCGCTGTGACATGATTGCCGAGTCTATCTTAGAAGCAGCATCAGTATTGGGGGGTTTCAAGGTCCCTGTCGTCGTCCGGCTGCAGGGCACAAACTCCGAACAAGCCCTGAGAATGGTATTCCCGCTCCTCGTATTGGAATGTGCCATGCTGATACTCCCCGACAGCTTGCAGAATCCGGAGTTGATATACACACAGATACAGACTTTGAAGGGGCTGCTCGGGATATCATCAGATTAGCGTCTGGTTCAAAACACTAATCAAGCTATCTGCTTCCATTACTGTGCTGCAACCAGATGGAATGAGCATTGGGCACATGTAGGCCCCTTAGGATAATCGATCTTCAAATTTATGCTTGGATTGAAATATACTCCGAGATTATGTCCTATCAAATCCATACATTTGGGAGTTGATGCCTCTAATCCAACAAGGGTAGATACTCTTTCCTAGAACGAATTCCTCATACACACTCAGATCAGTACGGGTTTCTCGCGGTACAGGTAGAACCCACTGCGCAGCAGTAGGCCCCGTGCATCCTCGACCTCCACACTGACTTAATTTGTGAGCTCGAACGAAGATACGTGAACGCTTCCGCCCAGCGCAGACGTGGCGTAGTTGAATATGCCAAACCGATAGCCCATGTAGAACTCCCAGGAGTTGTTCAGAGTGAACGCATTCCCGATGGAGTGGAAATGCGAGCCATCGGTACTGTAGTGGAAGGTCGCGGTGCGTCCGCTTCCCGGTCGAATATCGGCGGATGCGCGCAGCCAGATCTTCGACGTTCCACCGGGTAGATTGACGCCGGCTACTTCTCGTCCGGTTGAGATGGTGGCCCACGTATTGCTCATGGCGAGTCCGGAGACCATGGTCACTCGCAGGGTGCCTCCGTTCTTGACCACTCCGACATACGCGGAATCCTGGCGCAGCATGGCCAATCCGGCGCGATCGCCGGGCTTCATGTTGGTCAGGGTCATCGCGATGGTGCCTGTAGATGAGGGGCCGAGGATTCGGTGTGTTAGCGTGTTCCGGGCCGCGTAGAGGTCGTGTGTGACCGTGGCGGTTCGTAGAGTCAGGCCGTTGTTGACCGTGTAGTGATTCGGGTCGGGGTTGTGATTCCACTCCCATTGAGGGCTGAGAGATGTACCGGCGAACGTATCAATTCCGGTGGGGCGTTCCAACGGGCGTGGAGTGGTAGGGTAGGGATATGACCGGCCCCAACCTCCATTGACGGTTTTGATGGCTGGGAAGCCGTCAGAACCCCAGGTGATGGGCGCCAACACGGGAGTTCGACCGCCGGGATAATTGTCGACGAACGCCATGTAGTACCATTGCCCACTGGGGGTGTCAACAAGACCTCCCTAGGAGGTGTCAGTTAGAGACCGAGGAACGGGATGTAAGGTCAACTCACCTGATGAGGGATACCGCTCCCCGCGACGGGAGATGCGATATTCTCCTGCAACCGCTTCTGAGTATACGGGCCCCAGGGATTGCTGGCCTTGAGCACATATTGGGCATTGGCAGGCTTGGTCACGAAGATGTAATAATGGCCGTTTCGTTTGTAGAACCGAGACCCCTCCAGAGGGATTGAGGAAGCAAAAACTTGTTTCTTGGTCACTTCACGCAACCCGTCTTGCGACAGCTTGGCAACTGAGAGCTTTGTATTACCATATGCCACGTACATGGTGTCGTCGTCGTCAATGAGAAGGCCCGCGTCGTAATAACAGGTATTGATCATGGCGGCCTGCTTCCAGGGCCCAGTGGGGGATGGGGAGGTGTAGACATAGGTGCGGGAGTATTCGATGCATCCGATCCAGTACCAGAGACGATTGCTCTTGCGATACCGCATCGTGGAAGCATAGATGCCTTTGATATAAGCTTGTCCCCCGATGAGGCTGTACTTGTCTCCCCATGCCAGGGTAGGGACTGAGTGTCCGATGTACTTCCAATTGACTAGATCGTATGACTGGAGAATGGGGGCACCGGGGGAATAGTGCATAGAGGAAGCAGAGTAGTAATAGGTATCGCCAACACGGAAGATATCAAGGTCAGCCAAGTCCTCCCAGAGGACTGGCTGGCTGAAATCGGCAGCCCATGCGGTAAGGACCAGCAGCGGAAGCAACAAGAGCTTCATCGTGAAGAAGATTGGCAATGATGGTGAAGGAGATAACTCAATTCCAGCTGGGGTGCAGCCTTCATATAAGTTGTCCACGGCATTGCTCACAACTTTTGAACGATGTCCCAACTAAGAAAGAGTCCACTGATCATCAACCGCAGAGATGCTCTCTGACAAGTGACCACCATTCACAAGACAGTCAAGGGGCATTCTGATACATGGAATATCCCGCCTTCAATATACCGATTCTGGAAAATATCCATAGAGACTCCGGATGGAAGACTCCGGTGGGGTAAAGGATGATAGAGTGTGTCATATTATAGGGAGTGCGTCATACGATAGGGAGTGTATCATACAATAGGGCTTATTCTACTGGTTAGCACCCACCTGCTAACTGCTAGGGCCCATGCTAAGCTTCTATATGAGTACTGCACATTTAGTCCATGTACATAACTCACCTGAGCTATATGTGATTCTCACTGTCTCACATGAGCCGTCCCCCTAATACATGACCTTTAGGATAGTTAATTCCTAAGTACTTAATAACTACTTCCTAAGCTATTAATAGCGGTGCATTCGGTCAGTTGGCGCCAAACCTCTCAGGTTTCAAGTCGAAATTTCAGGACTCGGATCCCCCTTCCTGACTGCAACGATCCCTCAGAGAGAGTGTGCATAATGTGTCTGGGTTGTTGATGAATGAGACCGCCAATGACAATTTCCATAACTTTCTGCTGTCGGGAATTGAAAGATGAAGAGATGTCCATCTGTGCTGTCTTCACATGGGCTCCGCGCCTAAAATGGAAGAATCGTCCTCAGATCCTCTTGTGCTTTTAGCCTGTATGATGTTCCCGTTCCTTCCCCGCATTTTCAATCTATGTACGGAGTAATGCTGAAGAATATGCGGATCTCTTGTCCGAGGTTGGAGGATCTACAGAGTAGGGGATAGGACAAGATGCTTGACATTTCTTCATATGACAACCTCACCACACGACTGTAATTTCACACAAGATGAGGAAGAAGGGAGTAGCGAATTCGGAATTCGATACCACATGATCTTTAGATTCGTCCTGCGGGGACGAAACCATTCATCCAGGGAATCTTGTCCAAACAAGATAGGAATTCATCGTCTACTCTGCATGTTGTCTAACGAGAAAGCAGACCTAAGAGAGCATTTGCATTGTTAGCTGACTGTGCCTGGATCTAGTTCGTCAGCAACCAGCTAGTGAGCCAATCACTTGGCCCGGCGTAGATAGCGAATACCAAGCGATTTAGGCGTCAGTATGCCGGCGCTCCAGTTCATAAAGGACCTCCTTCAAATCTGCCCAGCTAGGGTGGCATTCAGATTCCCGAACGTCCCAGGGGACTGAGAAACCGGCCAGAGCTGAACAATTACGGTTATACACATCTTAGCGCAATCAAAGGACCTTGGTCATTCGGTTCGATCATATAGATCAGTCAGAATCTAGTAGTGAATGGTTTCAAGAGGAAAAGGTTGACAAAGTTGCCTTTTCCCTTTGGCAACTGACAGAATCAAGCTCATGCACTGCTCACCACCTGCTCACAGTGATGACAATGCAGTGTATTGGGAGGCCATCCCAAAGGGGAAAGACTTCTTCGCTACCTTAGTACCTTAGTTTACAGGTGAAATGCCAATGAGAAAGTTGAGTACTTTACAATGATGGAGGCATGCTGTACTAGGTGGAACGAATATATATATCATGATCCCGTGCTATGGGGTGCATGGACTCTGTAGATGAGATGGGATATATATATTAATGCACTACATGTATATAGCATATATCCATATATAACCTTGGATTCGAAACTGCCCTCTTGACATTCCTCAACTTGCTTCATGGCTCATGTTCCTAAGTGGATCACAGCCATGCTGATCCGATCAACGTCCCAGATCGATCGGATCTCCACGAGTAGTGATCGACAATGGAACAGACATTGAGCTTGATATTTACCGCTTCCCAGCGACAGGGGAAGTGACCATGTAGAGGCCTATCCAACACTGAATGCAATCTTCAACCACAGCTTCCTGAAACCTGGGGCCCGAGGCATCAAGGCAGCGATGGCCGGCGACTAATCGGGAAGTCCCGTGACAGACAGCCTGAGGCATGGCTGCAATCCATCTGTGACTGCGATGATTGGCTGGAAACCGGAATGGCAGGGGTCTAGACTGAGCCTAAAATCTGCATCGGGACTAGCGGAATCCCTTCCAACCAATCACTCTCTGCAACTGCTCCGCCATGACGTCGGGGGATGGCAAAAGCAACAGGTCAGTTCCATGTTTTTGTTTTTCTTTCTCCCCCAGTTTCGTCTTTTGCCTCAGGCCAGCCTGCTCTTTTTTCTGCCGATCGCGGGCAATTCTGACTTCCATTCTTCCCCCTCCTACCTGTCAGTGGCAAAATTCCCCCTGTGAGAGATCGAACCGTAAAAGAAAGAAGAAAAAAACATGCACATCACATTCTAGCCAGATGGGTTAGTCTGTAGTGTTCAGATGAGAACTCCGCTAAAAAGTATGAGATGCTAGAGATTGCGGAATTCAGTACTGCTGGTCGAAGTCCCTTGGCCGAGACCGTCATGGCGCAGGAGCGTGAATTCTACAAGTATGTTGTTCAGTATCAGAGCTAAGAAACCCCCTGGGAAAGGACAAAGTCGCTAACCCAAAGACCAGGTATTGCCAGCTTCCCCAGCGCCCTGGTCTCCTGCATCGCCCTCCTCCGTCTCCCCGGACCGAGATCGATGCCGATGAGTTACTGCCGCAGTCTTCGCACGACACCACGCTCACAGCATTGGCCCAGCTCGGCGCCCTGCGCTTGAACGTCCAACGATGCATGATCTCCCTCTTCGATCGGCACACCCAGTACATCCTGGCCGAGTCCACCCGCACATTGAGTCTGCAGGATGACCGAGTCCACGTTGAAGGGGATGCCTTGTGGCTGGGCAGCAGTGTCATCGCGAAGCCAGATGGGATCTGCCACTACGTGTGCGAGGAGGATCAATTGAACGTGGGATATAAGGAATTGGAGGGCAGGGGGCCCTGTGCGCTTGTCATTTCCGATATGACCAAAGACGACCGGTGTCGCCAGCGCCAATACGTGGTCAACGCGCCACATCTGAGATTCTACGCCGGCGTCCCCATCATGAGCCGCAGGGGTATTGCCATCGGAGCCTTCGCCGTCAGCGATGGGGAGCCCCGCGATGGGTTGGACCCATTGGAGGTCCGATTCATGGTCGACACCGCTGCAGCCATCATGAACCATCTGGAGATGGTCCGCTCGCATGAACAGAACCGTCGGGGAGCGAACATGATTTCGGGTCTGGGCAGTTTTGTGGAAGGGGCTACCTTCCCGTCGAGCAGTCTCCGCCGAAGCAGACTCGCGTCGGACGAGGATGAGGACCAACATTCAACGGATGGACCAGGCCCTCTTTCGCACTTGCGACGCCATCACCAGGCACGACCAGAGAACCGTCCGATGCTCAAGGACCGGATGCACCACAAGGAACCTAGTGCATCTCCATCAGGTAGGTGGAGCTGGCTCGAGCGACAGTTGACTTGCTACTCACAATCACCATCACTCTAGCATCCCCAGATACGCGACAAACTCCTCCCCCACAAGCCACTTCGACACCGAAACCGGTCCGTCAACCAGAAGTCACACTGGCCTCCGGTACCAGAGAGATTATCGGGCGCGCCGCACGTGTCCTGCAGAACTCCCTCGAAGTCGAAGGCGTCGTTTTCTTCGACGCTAGTGTCAATTCCTATTCGGCGCTGGTGCAGAACGCGGATGATCGCCATACGGACCTGGAAAGCAGTAGCAGCAGCAGTAGCTGCGCTATGGATAGTATATCGAGCAGCGACAGTGACAATCCAACCACGGGCCATTCATCAACCGAGACCGACGACTCTGCCGTGTGCGAGGTGCTGGGCCACTCCATGGTCCAGGACGATTCCGGCCGATCACTCAATGGCATGCGCGAATCCCTCCTGCGATCCTTGCTCCGCAATTATCCCCGCGGCGCCATCTTCAACATCGATGAGAACGGCGGCGTTTCGTCTAGCGAAGGCAGCGATAGTGCCTCAGGTAACTCCGTCTCTCGCGAAATCATTTATCGCCGGTACGAAGGATCCAAGGTGCAGCGACAGTGGAAGCAACGAAAACGGGAGCGGTTGAGCATCAAGGAGGAGAACAAGGCTCTGATCAGGATCTTCCCCTCGGCCCGCTGTGTGACGTTGTTTCCCTTGTGGGACTCGCGCCGCAACCGGTGGTTCTCGGGGTTGTTTGTGTGGACTTCGTCCCCGCGTGTCTTCAGCCTGGGGGGTGAACTGGCGTATCTGTACGCCTTTTCCAACAGCATCATGGCCGAAATCCACCGGCTAGACATCGAACTGGCGAACAAGGCGCACGCGACGCTGGTCGGAAGCATCTCGCACGAACTGCGCAGCCCGCTGCATGGCATCCTGGGTAGTACCGAACTTCTGGGCGACTCCGCCATGACGCCAGCCCAGGTGGCTCTGGTCAACACCATCGAGCACTGTGGCCGGTCGCTGCTGGATATCATCAACAACATGCTGGATTTCGCCAAGATCAACCAATTCACCCGCAAGTCCCGCTCCTCGCGCTTCAAATCCTTACATACCTCCCGACGGAGACCAGCATTGCCCGGCCGGACATCTTCCAAGGATAAGCCTAATATCGGGGTGGTCAATCTCATCTCGGACGTCCAGCTGGATGCAGTCCTGGAAGAAGTCATTGACAGCGTTTTTGCTGGCCATTGCTTCTCAGCCAAGAGTGGACTCCTCGCCCGGGGTGTATCGCCTCTCCCAGGCCGGGACAAAGATGGCGATGGGGCAATGAATGGTGCCACCGAACGCCCGTTGTCGGCATTTAACGAGTCTCTTACCGTGATCTACGACGTGGAACCCGCCGCCCGATGGCTCTTTGAAACGCAGGCCGGTGCCTGGCGGCGTATCCTTATGAACCTCTTCGGCAACGCCCTTAAATATACACGCTCTGGATTTATCTGGGTGTCACTGAAGTCGAGCGCGGCAACAACCGCCAAGACGAGACGATTATCCCGCGGAGACGGAACCCGCGAGGAAATGGGCAGTGTGACGCTGACCGTCAAGGACACGGGCCAGGGTATCGATAAGCAATACCTGCAGAGCAACGTCTTCAAGCCTTTCTCGCAGGAGGATCCCCTGTCCCCCGGTAGCGGACTAGGCCTCAGTATTGTTCACCAGACGGTGCTGTCATTAGGCGGAAAGGTCGACATCACCTCCACAAAGGGCTCCGGGACCGAGGTCACCGTCACGGCAGATCTACCGCGAACCCCTCAAGCGGAAACCAACGACTCCGATCGCGAGATTAGTCTTGTGCGCCGCGCCAAGGATCGCGTCCGAGGCAAGTCAATCGGCTTGATCGGGTTTGGCAATCCCTCGCGCGAGGAGGACGAGGCTTCGGCGCGTCTGCGCCCGTCGCTCATGCGCATGTTTAAGGAGCATTTCGGCATGGATGTTGGGCTGGTCTCAAGCCATCTGCCGGATCAGCCGTCCTACGACCTGTACCTGGTCAGACAAGCCAATCTTGACCAAGTGGACCAGATCTGCCAGCAGGTGACCATGGCCGAAAGCGACTCGCGTAGCCCGCCGATGATCGTCATCTGCTCGACGCCCCAGATGGCGCAGAAGCTGTCCACGAGCGCCAGCCAGCGACCCTCCACCTCGATCTACGAGTTCATTAGCCAGCCCTGCGGCCCGTCCAAGATGGCAACCTCACTCCTGGCATGCCTGAAACGCCAGAAGGATCGCCAGGTGCGGACGCTGAATGGCGTCGAGGCCAAGGCGAAGAGCGCCGTCCAGATGACCACGACCATCCTGGCCGCCCAGCGAGCCAGCCAGGCCATGCAGCAGAACGAGGCGGTTTCGCGCGTCGATTTGTCTCTGACTCCGCACAAGGCTACGGTGTCTGTGACGACGTCGGACGTCGACGATTGCGTCGTGGAGGTGTCCACCGTCGAGGCCGCGAAGACTCGACCCTCCGTCTTACTGGTGGACGACAACGACGTGAACCTCAAACTGTTGGTCGCGTTCATGAAGAAGGCCAAATTCCCGTACTTGACTGCGTCAAACGGGTTAGAAGCGCTGGAAGTATACAAGGCGCATTTTCCGCAGGTTCCTGTCGTTCTCATGGGTGAGTCGCCGTATCCTCTAACTTTCTATCGATTGTTCTCGTGACTAACTAAGTGCAATAGATATCTCCATGCCGGTCATGGACGGTCTCGAATCCAGTCGGGAAATCCGTCTCTTTGAGCAAATGCATCGCGAAGGAGGCAGCAATGCGGGCCATTCCTCCTTCAAGCCCACCACCATCATCGCTCTGTCGGGCCTGGGCAGTGCCCCCGTCCGCCAGGAAGCGTTCAATTCGGGCGTGGATCTCTTCCTGTCGAAGCCGATCCGGTTCCAGGAACTGGTCAAGCAGATCGATGATTTGATGCGGTGATATCGTTTTCTTCCTTGTCTTTTGTTCGTTTTGTATGGGTACGCATGGGCGGTGGGAGGAGTTGGGCGTTCGGTTGGGAACCAACGGTGGGATGATAGGACGGGTCAGCCTTGGGTGGTATTTCATTTGGATTTGTGTCTTTTGTGTGCTGCCATAGCATGGCCGTGATGCATCGTGTGATACCAGCCCAGCCCCGTTCAGCTTAGGATATACGTTTGAACATCAGTAGATAATGCAAAAGTCTCTACTTTATAGGACACCTCACTATGAGTTACCCACTACATCTTCATTAGGTTCACTACGATGGAGAACGCATCATAAGACAATATTAATTAGCGCAAGGTAGACTATGATACACATATGTCCTCGCTGCTCGAGTGCAGGGGGACCAGCGCCGCTGAACCCCCCCCGGTACCCCTTCCTATCCCCAATCTGAAGACACACCAAGTCACTTTACCAAGTGGCCGTGAGCTGGGGAGACATAGGGCAACCAGTCGGGACGGTATACACCCGCTTCTTGGTCGACTCCCAGGTGATCGAGCGGTCGGGCTCGACCTTGTAGAAGCGGTACTCGATCGTCTCGCCGGGCTTGAGCTCCTCCACCGACGCCACCCACAGCTGGTTCGCCTCCGTGTACAGCGCCGAGCTGAGCGCGTAGCCCGCCGTCGTGTTCCAGTTGCCCAGCGCCGTGGTGTTGCCCGTCATGAACACGTTCTGGCCCCAGTACGTGCTGGCCGTCAGCCAGAAGGTGACGGGCACGCGCTTGGCGGGGATGCACTTGGTCGACGAGAATGGGAAGGGCGGCTTCGCGACCGCGTACGTCCCGCGCACCGTCACGGCCTTGCAGGTGGCCGGCACCGTATTGGCGCGCCCGGCGCCCCACGACCCCGGCACGATCGAGGCCCGCCGCTGCACCGCCGACAGGAACGCCGCGTACGACCAGGTCAGGTCGCCGGCGGAGATGGGCGCGCCCGTGTCGCGCGTGTACTGCTCCGCTAGCGAGCCGTTGCGAGGAGTGGATTCCTGCACGAGGCTGGTGAAGCCGTCGGCGTAGTTGCCGACGGCCCGGGTCAGCGACTGGTAGGTCGCCGAGTTGGCCCGGTAGGTGCCCGGCTTGATCGTGTCGGAGAAGTCACGGAAGAACGGAAGCGAGATCTCGGTGACGGTGAGTGATCCCTGCTTGCGCCACACGTAGAGGGCATCGTACAACTGCTCGGCCGCAGCCAGAGTAGCAAGATACCTTGGATGCGCTGTCAGCTTGTGCTTGTGATTACAAAAAAAAGGGGGATGAAATGAAACGTACCATGGGTTACCGCCCTGATAGACATCCTCCGGGTAACGACCGACATTGGCAGGTTGGCCCTTGCCGCGTCCAGCGTTGGCCGTGTAGATCGAGCGGAAGGAATCGACGTAGACCTTGTGGTTGGCCAAGGCCTTGGAGGAGCAGGGCTGGAATGTAGCATCATCACAGCCCGCTTCAGGGTCGAACATATGAATGCTGGTCAGGACGGAGTTCAGGTCGATGCCGGTACGACCATTGTTCGTGTTGATGTTGGAGACGATATTCTTTCCGTTCCAGTAGGTCTGCAAGAAGCAGAGAATCTGGGGAGCGATCGCGTCGTAGGTCTCAAAGGGCTTGCCGAGAGCCTTGGCCACGGTGCTGGCTTCGACCATAGCGCGGTGCTGGGCCGCGCTCGTGAAGAACGAGGAGCCATCGACCTCTTCCCAGAGATCGAACCCGGTGCTGTTCCAGTACTGCGCGACGTAGGCCAGATCGTTGGCAACCACAGGCCAGACAAGGTCGGAGGCGACGGACTTCTCGCCCTTCTTGATCAGGTGTTGCATGTAGGTCAACATGGCAATCGCCCGAAGAGCAGGACCATCCCGCTGAGGGCGGCCCCAGGCTCCGGTGTATGGGTTCAAGTTGACCTCGAACTTGGGTTCACCAAGTCCAGCGCCATCGGACAGTCCGCCAGACGGATTGGTGACATTCTGAAGGATGGCCTGCGAAGAGATGTAGTCCTGAATGTGGCCCTTGAGCGGCTGATAGTCGATTCCCAGGAAGTTGTTGGCAGTCAGGAAGATTTCGATCAGGCCCTGGATGGTCAACGCAGAATCACGGGTCCATGTGAAGAAATCTGGGAGGTGTTCAGTCAGTCTGTGTCCGTAGCTCCCAAGGAAGAACACCCACAGTCTGGGTTCACAAGGCTTGGGCTGGCAATGAAGAGACCAGCAGCCGTGCCCGGAGCATTGCTGCCGGTGTTGCCAATGGCCTTCAGGATGTTCTGGTACGACAAGAGTCCCTCCTTGGCGATGAAGGCCTCGAGACGCAGGGAACGTTCAGAGATGTCACTGACAGGCGAAGCACCGGCCAGTTGGCCGAGGACACTGGCGATGCCCACAGCGGTACTGAGGAATCGCATGTTGCGGGATATGCGAAGGTTGGTTGTAGAAGAGATTTCTTGACCACAGGCACTGCGAGGTTTATATATGTCGCTACGGAGGACGATTGGGTACTTTGTCCTTCTTGCTCGGTGGTCAGGTCGGCATCACTCAACCATTCGACCGAGGAATTTTGGTACGTTCCGTTGATACCCCGAGATGAAGCCTGCCATCCATAGACCCTTTGAGTATTGTCCCTTTGCTCCTCCATTCACCACTCCAGCAATATCATATCCGGTGAGCTCTTTGTTCTCTGCAGAGATCCACATTGACATTCACAGATGCGGAGAGACGGAGAACGCGGCGGGTGCAGTACTAGTAGTGAACAGACTAATTTAGGGCCAATCTTGCTAGCCACTACGGTCTACGCTACTTCACTCAAGCATTTCATTCGTTTCCCCCACCGCGCGTTAGTGGATTGGAACAAGGACGCGGAAATTTGTCGCTGATTACAGTCATGCAATGGCCGTTCTGTGGCCTCACCTTACTCCAAGACCTGCACGCTATTTGGCATGGGTCCAGGAATCCAGGTTGTAGTCGATCCGATCCTCTCGATCCATCCTCCGCAATTATAATGGGTTCGAAAAGTTGATCGCTGCATTTAAGCTTTCTGCAGTGCTTGGGTGTCACTGTACGAACTGGTAGACCGAGCTGGTCGAGATTCGCATCGAAGTCGAATGCAAATTCCGGTATACTCGTAAGCTCGAGGCGAAAAATGCAGAGGGACTAAAGGAGGGATGCGATGATATTGCAGGATATTCTTCGGGAGTACCTGCTTCCCCACGGTGCAAGCCATCAAGCCATATCTCGGACTTTCGACTGGCTCAAGTCGCTAGTAGGAAAGAATTGACCTTGGCCTGTAGTACTGCAGTCCTTCCCTGCATGACTGATCAATGATTGGTGTCTAAGTAGCAGAATGGGCGGCATAGTCATCGCGACTCGAGGCACCGGCAGGCAACTTGGACCAGGGCTTCTTCCAGTCAATACCAGTCGAGGAGGCCGCTGTTTCGACCGGGTTTCCATCCATGCACCCAGAGACCGTAATGCGTGCATACAGCCAATGAGTAAAGGAGATCTCTCCAGCTGCTCCGGAACTAGATTCGATGTGGATGGGAAGGCTGGCCCGCCCTTGAAGCCTTGGATTATGAAACAGACATAGGATATAATCATACATGGGGAGCAAAAGTTAGTTAGATACCTTTCGCCTCTGAGGAACAAAACAATTGACCGGACTAGTGTGGCGTAGCCCCGGGCCTAGATGTCCAGAGACAGTGAATGCATTGACCACGGACGGAAATTGAAGAACACGCCACCTCTATTTACGAACCCGTAGCCCTGGAAGCAATGAATGAGAGGAAATATAGACATAGAAACCAATGAAGCACAAAGGGCCAAGATACCAAGTCTGTGTACAGAGAAGGACTCACCAGGTGTGGTTGATACGACATCATGATAGCCTACCGAGCAGTCCAGAGCTCATGATCGCCATAGCGATTGATAATGCATCTCATCCCTGTGCACTTTGGATGACAAGTCGACAAGGTTTCCCAAACGCTAAGAAAAGCCCCCGAGAATGACCGACGGCTTGAAGGCTGCTGGGATAGTGAATTCCTGCATTGAGTCTGCATGCCGATATGGAAAGTTAGCTAACATGGTCTCAGCCGCTGCTGGCTGTGTATATAAACGGCGTCTATGGGATACGCAATAATATCCTTACCGGAGTAACGATTCCCCTTCGCTTCGTCAATCATATGTTCTTTCGTATTTCAGACTTCTGATATCGGACTTATCAGTCTCGCACCGCGGTTCAAAGTGAATTCGCCAATATACATAATGACCTTGACAATAGACATATTCAATTAGTTACCGAAACTGGATAGTGTTTGTGCATTTGCTGTTTGCCCATCACCTAATGATACTGGGATTATATGGACGTGAGATTCTCCCATGCCGCCATGAGCAGCCACAGTTTCAGTTGAAGTTACAGTCAGCTCAGCTGCATGCTCTGCTCGTATCTAGTACATCCACCCAGACACTATACTGATGGTTCCTGAAAAAGCAGCAATAGCCAAGGATCGACATCAGTGCTTGCATCGGCTGTCGTATCTCGCCAAATCGGTAGGCTCACTACATATACCGCTTCAAGCCGTTGTCCTAGCTACACAAACAAGAAAGATATAGCAAAAGCCACGCGATCAAGAATGTATGAGATGTTGATAGATGGAAATGCAAGCCTCAGCTGGAGGCTCAGCTGGTAGTCCTAGACGATGCATGCCGCTTCGAGCTGCCAATCCAAAGTGCTGTATTAAGCCCCAGCATCAGCTGAGCGAAAACTTCAATTAGAAGATTTGGATCATGCCATTCATGCAAATGCTGACAGACCTATCTCAGCTGCACTTATGCTGAAAATATGTTAATTGCGCCTACCTCATTGTCGTTATGGGAAGCGATTGGTCTTCAACTTGCCATTCTGGATGATATCCTGGCCTGGTTTTACTTTCTACTCATTTATGGCTACAGCAACGTTTTGGATCGATCTGAAGACACAATATTGATTGTAACTGTGGAACTATTACACTCGATAATGAATGCAAGTTGGCATTCAAACATATGAAGGGTCAGTCATATCCCGACATCTACCTCCCAAGTTCAACAACAACTCCTCCACTACAATTCCCTCCTCCCTCTCGGCATTTTATATTGCCTCCCAGGCAAAGGCCCTCGTCATGTCCGACATCAAAGTTCTTTCCTCTGCATCCGTGCAGGATGGCAACACCTACTCGATCAAGGTTCCTGGCGGCGGAGCTCTCAGCGTCGTCCCCGGAAGATACCTTAACGAGGAACTCCATATCCACACCTGAGAGCATAGCAAGAATCAGCTCTGGAGGCGGAAGCAAACAATGGCGGCTGCGGCTTTCTCAACGCCGACACGGGCAAGCTCGTGGGCGTCAACAAGAACGGCGACATCGCAGTCACAGCCGACAAGCTGGATTCCTGGGAGAGATTCAAATTCCATGGAAGCGATTCGGGAGTCCTCTTGTATGTCATCTATAAGGGTGCGCTATCAGCTTTCAGATTCATCAGGAATGAGGTCAGTAGGCTCTCTCACGTCCGGCGATGCGTTGTACTAATTTCCGTGGAATCTATAGAGTCTGACCCTGCTATGTGGATTGGCTTTATGATGTACTGAAGCATGGTATTGATATGATTGTTATTTGGACGCATAGTTATAGTGAATGACAATTTCTCAACACTGAACTGCCTTTCCAGCACACTCCTCTTTATATATTCGAGTCAGTATGATCCCCTTTAATTTAAATCCATCAACAGTAGAACTGTGAAGCACAGTTAGAGAATACCAGAGACAGGCTGTATATATAGCACCGTCCCGCTTTCGCCGATTCCCGATTTACGTGGGTTTCTCTAGAAAGTTCGAGCATAACAGGACTACGTGTCCAAACTGCCTGCCAGGCAGATATATATCTTGCACCGTCATTTATGAACTGTCAACTCTGCTCTGATATTCTTCATGATATTCCTGACCGACCCAGCCCTTGCCCCTTTCCCTGGCTTTGCACGCGTTTCTGAATGGTTCTGTTTGAAGAGCGCATCCAGGATTGTCGATGCAGAGGCTGTGTCGAGAATGCTGCCGTTGCGCGACCACTCCTGGTCATCAACCGGCGCATTGGAATCTTTTGTGTCCGTGACGCCCAACTTTCCCTCGATCCTATCGAGCATCCTGGCACTCAACTGGATGAGAATCTCGATCTGCAGGTCGCAATGCTGGTCGAGGCTGAATCCGCCAATCTGCAACCCCGGAAGTACTGGAGGCATTGACGGCGACGTGCTATCTGTTCCTGCGAGCAGGCTGGAGTATATCTGCGAGAATATAGTATCATAGGCCTGGAGAAGCCAGGTATAGCAGGTGAGGATGGTCAATGTGGTGGGCATGTCTATTGTCGGGGAGGCGGCAGAAAGATCGGAGGAGTCTCGGTTAGAAGAACTCGCACACATGTCGCTCGAATCCCGGAATTCAGGTCTGGCCGATGTCGAGTTGTAAGTCATCTCATCGCTGATAGGAACAAACTCGTCATCTTCCCAGTAGTTGGAATAGGAGCACTCGGAATCAGAGGACGAGGTCGGTCTTGGATCCGGGGCGAGTCCATGCAGGATGTCTAGAAACGTGTGGGAGCTCTCCAGGACTCTTCCAATGATGTTTTGAGGACAGTCGGTTGCCTGATTTGGCGCGGTCAGATTCCGGCATGGCGAGAAGGACAGAAGATCTGGCAGCTTCACGGAATTGGTGTTGTTAAAGTCATGAAAGAGTCTGGAGCTGAGACTTGTGAGGCGCCGAAGACAGCACTCTCTTGTATCTAGCTCTTGAGCTTTTGTATTGTCAAAAAGGCTCTCCCCCACTGTAGGACCGGCAGGGGGTTTCTGATGGGGCGAGAACAGGACATCCGCGAACAAATCATCGCCATGAGAAGGCAGATCACCGCCGGAATGTGGCTGCATTGCAAAATCCAAGTCATTCAAGGCAAAAGGTTCCGCCTGGGAGAAGATCGGACTTCTCCTCGTACTGAATGACGGGGCATCTAAGAGTTCCGTCGGCGGGGAGCCCGTACCGAAAGGGTGTATATCCCTTGATCTTCGCTTCAGAGGCCTCGCCTCGGGCTGTCGATGCACGTTAGAACCCGAGCGATGGTCTGGCAAAGGCATCGAAAGTGAGCCAGTCACTGCATTGGCGTCATTGATACCTTTGTTTTGACCAGTCGGTGGAATACACGACTTCGCAGATCCAGATCCAGGCCTATGAGAGGATGCCTGCTTGGGAATTAAAGGCTGCAAGGGTAGGTTATCAAGCTGACCAACAGAAGTAAGGCCAGACAGTCGTTCTACTCTGGATAACTTCCTTGGTGGAGGCAGTGTACTGACACATGGGGTGCCTGCCCTCGAACAACGCTCACAAGGCTCAAGGGCTTCGATGTTATTGGGATGCTCACAGGCCCCGTGTTTCAATGGCCTAACGCAACGGAGCTTTTGGCGTCGACATCGATCACAGGCACTTCGACGGTAAAGATCCATGTTCCTGACCATGTAACCGTTGAAGTCAATGGTGTGAGAAGAATGATATATGAGGTCGTCTATAGAAAGATAGATCCGACATGCCAGCGTCGATAGTAACCTCAGATCGACTATATTTGAGTAGCACGATGAATGCGGGGAGAAGGCTCCGAAATGAGCCCAGAATAGTCTAAATTCTGACATACGGCATCGCATCCATTCACGTAATCACAGATTTTCATATGGACACAGCATGCATGCATCAATAGCTCCAGTGGGCTCCTTCACGTCATACTCTCAAGTTGTCCAGGACAGTTTCCAAAATATACGATCAACACTATCGACTGCTATATGGAGCCGGTTATCAAGATAAGGTATTGTACCAATCAAGGCCTTGTTTCATATGCAGCTCCCTCTAACGCGTGTCCCAATTTTCAGACGACTTGCTTTTCCTGTAGGGCACAGCTGTAGGCTGATGCTCACACGCAAGAAGCAACGGTTCATATTCTTGACCTGAGATGGTCTAATGTATCCAATAGGTGTAGTTCCATAGCTCCCCCGGCGGCAGAGATAACGGCATTCAACATGGGCCATCATGTTACTCATTGATTGGTAACTATTTGTCCTCCTACTACAGAGACTCGCAGGCATAGACTGCTTGTCGATCACAGTAATGGCAAACTCCGCCTGCCTGATAAAGCTCCAGGAGCGGCTGATCGGCGCTAGCTCAAGGATTCTGTATCACTCACCCATAGGTTGGGCATCATTAGTAAGGGGTCTACTCCGTAGTATCTTGCTCACTCCTCATCGACTCATGCTGGGAGGAAAAGCCACGATGTGTCTGAGTTGCCAATCAGAGCATCGCGGTATCCCTGATCGACGATTCCAGACCGACCAAAGACCGCAAGACGCGTTGATAACCTACAGAGTATCTACTATCTAGTTAACAATCACAGAACAGACTATCATGGACGGTGGGGGGAGAGAGAAAGGCTATCGGCTACGTGGCCTTAGAGGCGTCTGGCTTCGGCAGGCGGCTAGCTGACACACTACTAAACCTGGGTTGGACCTATCCGACGAATGATACAACACAAGGCCGTTATGTCTCAAAGTACGCACTACGCAGCAGGTATGTCTCAGACCACTCTCCAGAGGGGAGCCTGGTCCTTGTACGTACAAATGATCTACCTCGCCTGCACCAGGACCCGTACGTCTACAGCCCAAGGTGCAGCTTATCTGATTCTCCTCCGGCAGAACCGAGTAGGTGGCTTACCTCGTCATAAGTCAAAGTGATATGAAAGGCGCCATGTCCGTGTTTTCTTTTGTCTCTGTTGTTCTATTTTTTTTTCTTTTTCTCTTGAGTGTTGAAACCTATTCGGATTCCATAGCCTTGACTATAGATGCAAATTATGACTCAAACCCCGCTCACTTACCGCAGATGCAGGCACAATGGTATCATCTCGCTGCATCAGGGCGGGCCCTCCGGGACTGGATGTTCTCATCTCGGCCATTGCTAGCATCGTTGGGTCTTGAGAAGTTGAGATTCACCAGATCACACTGCATGTGAGACCCAGAACGGAAAATGCTGCGCGATAGACGATTCGGCTCAATGTTTGATAGCGTCGTGATGGTCCATGGCATCATGCTGCAGGTCTCAGAGCAGGGCCCTGACAGTCACAAAGTTTTCAGGGCTGGGGCCAAAAGTCATCTTTGGCAGAACTGCACCAATAGTCCAGATTCTACGGATATACAAGTTACTAACTACCCCCTCGGACCCGCCTGCGGAGCCGTTACTTGGGTGTGAATCGTGTACCAGTTCCCCCTCCGTCACCTGCCGTGGAGGTCGCCTACGGCATTATTGTTAAGTGGCTGATTGATCTACAGATACCCCTATTGAAAAGTCCCTCTGGCGTATCATTTGTAATGCGAGTCAAGCCTATCGTCAAATATACCGTCCTACGCAAGATCAGCGCTTGTCCATTCCCTGGTAGTCTCCCTTCTCGCGCCACTCTTGAGTGATTCTCGTCCATTCAATAATCCCTTTGGGGAAATACGCCCAGCGAGCAGGAATTTCCTCCGGCTTCCCCTCCCGGTTGTAGTAGCCGGGTGGACAGGACTGGGCAAACAGCAGTCTCATCTCACTGCCCTCCTCATTCCGTCTTCCCCACTCCTCTTCGGCCTCTTCCGTGGGCTCAAACGCCTGGTATTGCCCGTCGCGCAGAGACTTCGCCACGAATTCGGCAATGTGATCCCCGACTGCATAGGTCGTATGGGTCCAATTGGCTGTCACACCTGTCTGCGCGGGACCTACATACAGCAGATTGGGGAACTCCCGGATGTGTACTCCGAAGAGGGTCGACGGGCCCTTCTCATCCCATTTCTCGTCGAACGTCCTCCCTCGGCTGCCGACCAGCTGAATCCCGGTCCGCCGATAGAAGTTTGCTTCAACGTCAAAGTCGAAGCCGGTCGAGTAGACGAGAAGGTCCACCTCGTATTCCCGCCCATTTGCAACGACTGCCGTCTCGGTGAGGTAGGAGACTCCCTGGCCATCCGTGTCGACCAGTTCCACATTCGGATTGTTGAAAGCAGCCAAGTAGTCATTGTGAAACGTCGGTCTTTTGCACATGAACGAGTACCAGGGCTTGAGTTTTGCCGCTGTTTCCTGATCCTTGACGATCTCATCTACCTGGCCCCGAATCTGCTGCATGAGGCGAAAGTCGGCCAGCTGCATCAACTCGGGAATCTGCTCGGGCTGAACGGTGACGCCGGCATCGCTGGCTTCTTTTAGAATGGCCCTCATCGTTAGCTCCTGTAGCCCCTCCAGTGCGTCGCAGTCCTGATCGACGACTTGGCCCGTGAGGATGTTGGCAAAGTCCGTCATCCGCTGCCTCTGCCAGCCGGGCGGCAGGGACTTCTTCAGGGACGGAGTATCGTAGAGAGAGTTGTCCCGGAATCGAATTGAGGATGGGGTGCGTTGGAAAACGTAAAGTTTCTTCGCATCCCGTGCCAGTTTGGGGACCAGCTGGACGGCGGAAGCTCCCGTCCCAATGATACCGACAGTCTTGTTCGCCAGCTGGCTCATGTTGCCCGTCTCATCACCACCCGTGATCCGGTAGTCCCAACGACCACTGTGGAAGTGATCTCCTTTGAAGTTTTCAATCCCCGGGATGCCCGGCAACTTCGGCTCGTGGAAAGTCCCCGTGGCCATAACCACGAACTGTGTGATAAAATGGTCACCGTGGTTGGTCTTGACATGCCATCGCAGGATCGATTCATCCCATGTCATGGAGGTAATCTCGGTGGATAGATGTGATCTGCGCGCAAGGTCCCATTTGGCCACAACACGGTTGACTTGCTCACGAATCTCAGGGCCATAACAGAAGCGCCTGGACGGGATGTAGCCAGTTTCTTCGAGAAACGGAAGATAAATCAAGGACTCGACATCGCATGCAGCGCCTAGAATCTCGCATGTTAGATTGGGGTTTGCTTTCTTTACGAGCAATATATCATACCAGGATATTGGTTCCAATACCAGGTACCCCCGAATCCAGCCGCCTTATCCACAATCCGAAAGTCCTGGACGCCCTGCTGGTCCAGTTTCACCGCGGCTACCAGGCCAGCGAACCCGGCCCCAACAATAAGCACCTTTGTCTCCGCCTCGATGGGCTCTCGAGATTGAGGACGAGCAACATCCTGCCGAAAACGGTCGTAGGCCCCGCTACGGGCAGATTTGAACTGCGAAACACCGTCTTGACGTAGCCTCTTTGCTCGTTCAGCTTGGTATTTCTCCAGAATCGCTTCCTTGTCGAATTGAAGCGTTTGCAGGGGGTGCACCGGCTTTGGTCCAGAAAGGAGAGAAAGTACACTGGACGGGATTATAGGGCGGATAATCCGCGTCGCTGAGCGTAGAACTATAGACAAGAGTGAGCCCATATTGGCCGTATAGTAAGTATGTCACTTCGCGAGCTAAGCGCTGGCAAATAAGTAGATCCAATTCGGATGTGCTGGTCAAGTGTCTCACAGTAGAACCGGACATAAGGGCATTGTCAATATAGACACAGAGTGCATCGGTAGCAGCCTGCAGAGCCAATTGGAGTCGATACAAACAAACGATCTTGAGCGTTTCTTGCCACAAGCTCCCGGTTGCCTGGGATCTTCACTTTGCACCTCCCCTCTCCGATATCCGATTAAAAATATAATTTTGAATCCACAGACGAGTTTGCATATACGGCGGTCGGAGACACTTCGGATCACCGAATGAATGCTTGTTTCTATTGGTGCGGAGGGTCCGAATTCCCGATATTGGGCTGAAAAGATGAGGAGGAAGTAGCGAATTATTGGATATCCTGTGAAGGATGTACAAAATGGATTCGAGGCACAGTGAAAAAAAGAGGACAAAAGTGCGTCAGTTGATAGGAATCCTTTTGAGGCTTGCAGATATACATCCGCTATACATTGAACGCAAAGAAAGATAAAACAAGGCATAGCTACAATTGACCGAGAACAGCTACGTATACCAAGACGAGGTTTAGACACAGAGGAATTGACAGTTCAACCTGCCTAGACTACGTATTGGTCAATATAATTCCCAATTATGTATGGTGACTCGTAGAAGGTAGACCATGTGCCAACCTGGATCTTCTGAATGACAATGTCGAAGTGCATAGTTGACAATAATATTACATCCTGCTGTGTCCCAATCAGACGTCAATTAGATTCTTATACTGAGTTTAACGGCCAAAGGAAGACACAAGGAGGCTAGAGGAATGTCTTGGAGAAAAGGATATAGGTACAATTTAAGCACCAGAACCTATGTGCTTGTAGCTATGTCTGTGGTCATATGTACACTAGAAAAAGCTCCCTTGCTGCACGAGCCGCGGAAGGACGAGAGGAATGCCAGAGACGCGACGGAGATACTCTCCAAGCAGAGGATGCAGCCCCTGTCCTTCTGCGCGCAACACCCATTCCTCGAGCGGGATGCTCTCGAAAGACTCGCCCGTCTCCCGTTCTAAAACGCCCCTAAGATCCGAAAGAGGGATCTCGCGATCCCCCGCCTCATACAGATACTTGACGGTGCCTGGCCAGGAATAGTCCTCGTAGACCTCATCTGCGATCTGCATGGCCACCCGATCTGCCGATACAAAGTCCAGCCAGCCTGTCCATCCGTCGGTCTGTGGGATAGCCCGCAAGGTTCGAGAATAGCCTAGGAGGCTCGCCATCATGTCGGTGTCAGGGGCACCTTCTCCAACAATGGACGATGGACGATGGATCCAGATAGGGAGACCGCATTGATCGCTGACTTTCTCGAGGTAGCGCTCGCTGGCCCACTTGGATGCGACATAACCATCTTCAGCCGATGGGGGGAACGCACTGACGGAGCTTTGATCAAATGACTCCTGGCCGGCTAGACGGGTGACGCTTGCACTGGAGATGTAATGGAAGGAGAGGCGATGAGGAGCCGACAAGCGAACCAGTTCTTTGGTGGCTTCAAGATTCGCCTGTTTGAGACTCTGGTAAGTTTTCATGAATGACACATCCGCTCCATTGTGGATGACTGCGTCGGCTTCAGCAAAGATCTCGGTGGCAGCTCTGTCGGTGAGTCCAAGTTGCGGCAGGGTCAAATCGCCTCGGTGGAGGACAACTTTCGGTGACTTGAAATCGTCCGGAAGGCTGCTTGGGTCGCGACGGACAGCAACACAGTGGATCTTCTGCACACTGCAATCCTTCAGGAGGCGGTTGACAATTGCACGACCCAGGAAGCCCGTCGCACCCGTCAAGACAACAACCGCCGGATGGGCGAAGAACCGCTTCGTGGCTGGGACCTGCAGTAAGCTGGGGGAAATCGTAGTTTCGGTCTCCCAATCGACTTCCGATCTCTGAGACGTCGACTCCGAGTGGTCAATCAGGGAAACCATACCCGTAAGCGAGCTTGCATCAAAGAGCTGGAAAAGCGAAATGCTGGTGCCAAAGACCTTGTTGATTTCGGTTTGCAGACGCACAAGAAGCATCGAGTCTCCGCCCACCTGGAAGAAATTGGAAGCAGGACCAAGTTCGAAATGAGCTAGGACTTCTTGCGGGATGACAGTCGCCCAAACGTCCCTCATTTTGGCCATGGATGGAGACTCATCGGTGCCTGTGTCTGCAACATGCGACCCGGGTGGAAGAGGTAGTGACTTGAGCGCGAGACGGTCGACCTTATTGGAGGCCGTCATGGGCAGCTGATCGAGCGTGATGATGTTGGCTGGGCGCATATGTTGTGGCAATGGAAGCTCTTGACGTATACGTTCAAGCGACAAATCGCCTGCATCTAGGGTCGTGACGAAAGCCATCAAGTACTCCGAGCCACTGTCTGCGGACTCCCGTACCGTGACAGCAGCGTCGACGATCTTTCCATCCCCACTGCTGAGAATCGCAGATTCGATCTCCTGCAGATCGATTCGGATGCCCCGGAGCTTGACCTGGGTATCACCGGCGATACGTCCGCCCAGAATCAGGTTCCCTTCCTGATCAAGCCGACCAAAGTCTCCCGTGCGATGCAATCTGGTCCATGCGTTCTCAAGAAACATCGTGTTCATGAAATTGTTCCTGGCAAACCCACGGGCATCGAGCTCACTGTGAACGTACCCAGCAACCACCCCGGCGCCACCTATCAGGATCTCTCCAGGGATGCCAATGGGCACAGGCTTCATGTGACTGTCCACAATGTAGACCGAGTAGTTGGGCCAGGTCCGGAACGCCGGGCTCAAGATGTCCCCCTCACCGTCGTACTGGACTTCCCTCCCGTGCGAGCAAAAGGTGATTTCCGTAGGTCCATAGCAGTCAATTAATCTCAAGTCTGATTTCTCCAGCTGTCGAAGAAGACCCGTCAGATTTGTGGTGATCGTCTCCCCCCCGCTAACGGCGATACGCCATTTTGATTTGCGAAGGTCATCCACATCGCCATAGCGAAGCCAGCTTATGTACTCCGATGGGGTAGTTTCTGTAAATGTAATCCCCTCGGCAGTAATCAACGAGGCTATAGCCTTGGGGTCACCTCGAAGCTTCTTCGGCACGATCCGCAATGTACCTCCGTTCGACAGAGTCAGAAACGTCTGAGACAGAGACATGTCAAAACTGTAAGAGCTTTGCTGAAGCGTTGTTTCACGTCCCTCGCGGAAGTCCCACTTTTCCGTTGAGGTTTCGATGTTGTTCCGGAATGTATGGTGCTGCATGACAATTCCTTTGGGCACACCAGTAGAGCCACTGGTGTACATGATCACTGCGGTGGAGCTGGGCTGCGCAGTGTTTGGGACGTGTTGCTGGTCCGAACCGGGGGAAACAACATCGACATTCAGTGTAGGACAAGAAAGCCCTAGCAGGGCAACGTTCGACAAAGTGGTATTATCCACCAGGAGCAAGTCGGGCTTGCAATCTCGCACAATTGTTGACAGGCGATCTAGTCCCATCCGACTGTCCAGAGGGATGTAAATGGCATCCAAGCGAAGAATAGCGAGAAGAGAGCAGATCCAACTGGAGCCTGGCTCCATGAAGACGCCGACCTTGCTACCTTGTCCAATATCCTGCCTCAGAAGGACTACGGCAAGGGTATTCACTCGTCGGGCCATTTCTGTGTACGACATCTTGCGTCCATCCCCGTCAATGAGTGCCACATGAGTAGGGTAGCGCTCCACAATTTCATCAATGCGTTCAGGGATCGTGGCTGGCCACTGATAGTTATATGCGGGACCTGTAGATGGAGACAGATTTTCGGTTAGAAGATGGGACCTGGAAGGGAAGGAATAGAGGGGAACTGACCGTGTCCAAGTTTAATGGCATGCTTCACTTCATCGGTATCATATAGGGGCGGGACATTGAGTCTGAGAGCAGGATTGCGGGAAAATGCAACCAGAAGATTTTGATATACTCCTCTGAGGACAGCGACATGCTCTGCGCCATAAAGGACTGATTGACCAGCCATAATGACATGGCAGTCGCCACCAGGGTTATCAATCACATCCAAACTCAAATCATAGGGCGTCTGGCCTTGTTCAAAGGTAAGGACCTTACTGTCACAGTTGCAGAAAGACCGACGCTCGGAGACCCCTGCTCGATAGTTGACGAGAACCTGGAACAGAGGGCTGTGAGTAGCAGACCGTGCAGCTCCCAGCTCGTTCACGATGACATCAAATGGCACTTTTGAGTGGGCAAAAGCTTGAACGGACTTTTCTCGCACGATATGCAACACGTTGGTGAATGTCTGATCCAACTGAGGCGTGAAGTTCAATGGCAGAAGATTAAGGTACAAGCCGACGCTTTGTAGCGTGTCCTGCTGGGAGCGGTTGGCGGAGCTGATCCCAATGCAAAGATTCTCGACATCGACAAGTCGGATCAGCATAGTGTAAAACACAGCCAGATGGAAATGGAAAGGAGTCACTTTCATCCGTTGACATGTGCTTTGAATGGTGTCCAGAGTTGCAGGATCGATGTGGAATTCCGCACTGTGAGTCTTATAGGCCGTCAACGGGGATCGGGTTGAAGTTCGAGCCATGGAAAGCAAGGGTAAGGGGCCTGGCATCGTCTGGAATTCCTTCTTCCAGAATGCCAGATCTTCAGCCCACTTTCCAGACTGGTAGTCCCGCCGTTGCTGCTCCGAGAAGTCGGCATATTGAAGAATCCGAGGGCTAAGGAATTTCGAATCATAGGCCATCTGTAGGTCCCGAAGGAGCACCTCCAAGCTCACGCCATCCATATTGATATGGTGGTAAGCAATGATGAGCGTAAACGAGCGGTTCGACCTCTTGAGGAGAATGATCCGTATGTTTTCTCCTTTTTCCAAGTCGAATGCATAACCTTTCAACTCTTGGTAGACGCCTTCCGCTTCCTCGTCGGTCGAGATAGTCCGTTCCTCTAGAGTGAGATTGGAAAGGGCCAGGACCTCCTGCTTCGTGGTACCTTGGGCTTCATCCGTGACGAAGCGGGTTCTTAGAGCTTCATGACGCTGTCCGACGACTTGAACAGCACGCGCAAAGTGATCGATCTTCAAAGGACCATCCAGTTGAATCGAAACTGTAATGTTGAAAGACGATGGGTCCTCCAGGTAGTGTCTCAAGAACCAAAACCTCGACTGACCAAACGCCATAGGAACACTCTTCTTGACCTCCACCGGTTTGGTCTTTGTAATGATTTGGCTGGCACTGGTGGATGAGCTTGAGGATGATGTTTCTACCTTTCCTTCGGATTCATCAATCTCGGACCACGAGGATGATGACATGTTTGAAGGGACGGGTTCCTGATCGGTGAGATGCTTCTCCTCTGCGGCCAAATCCTTAGCCACAACAATGTTCCGTGAGGGGTCTTGCAACTTTGATGGAGTCTCAAGTGCTGTTGGATATTGGCTATCCTTTGGTGCAGCCTGTTTCACTTCAGGCCGAGGCTGCTTTGCCTCCGCTTCTTTGGGCGGATTGGTCTTGATCATGTTCTGCACACCGGAGGATACTTGCTGAGACAGGGCTGGTTGAGGAGCCTTCGCTACATTCTGTAACTGAATTGTTTTCTTCGTCTGCTGCTTAGGTTGGACGGTGTTTTTGGGCTTCGACGGCTTTGCCTCCGCGTTGGGATCCAGGTTCGGGGTCAACTCCTTGGGAAGCAGTTCCTGGGCCTGAGTCACCATCTCGCCGACTGTTGCTCCGCTCAAGATCTTGAGGACAGGTATTTCCACCTGTAATTCCTTGATAAACCACGACCGGATATCCACTGCCACCAGCGAGTCAATTCCCAACGTGTCAGCCGTGAGATCAACAATCGGCCGATCGCCCTCAACCTGCAAGCTGGTCTTGAGCTTCGTCACAAAGGCGTCTGTAGTGTCAACGTTAGCTCGTCCTCCATCAAGGAACCGTACGATCGGACGCACCGGAGATGATATCGTAGATGTCTGCAGAACTGGAAGCTTCCGCAAGACGCACTTTGACCGGCGCCGCAGACGTGGACGTCTCCGAAATAAGGTCGACTCTTCCAGATTGCTTGATACAGTGCTGAAACACTGGGTTATTGAACCACGTAATTGACTCTGACTCGTCACTTTCCAGGATCTTCAAGCCAGTGGACAATTCCGGGCTGCGTCCCCGGTGATGTCTCCCGGCATATACGGCTTCTGCGAAGAGTCGTCGGAAGTCGTGCTCGGACAGCCAGAGGTTACCGACCTTCCGTAAGAATTCCTGCTGGACCAGAGTCAGTTCTCGAGTCACATAGCCATTTCCAAAGATGGCACCAATATGCACAGCGGATGCGTTCAGTCCACGTTGACGACGTTGGTTGGCCAGGCTTGCCATGAACATGTTTGCTGCGGCGTACGCTGATTGACCGGGATTGCCAGTCACTGCGGCCATCGAGGAGAAGAAAACAAAGAATTCCAGTTCAGTGTCATGGAATATTTCTTCCAAGTAGGTGCTTCCATCGACCTTGGGCCGAAGAACCTTGTTCATCCGCTCCATATCCAAATCCAGGAACATGGTGTCGTGGAGGACCATTGCTCCTTGGGCCACACCCGATATGGGGGGTAGTTCCGTGCGGATCTTGTTGTATACACGCTGAACGGAGTCACGATTGGAGATGTCACTATTTACACGATGATTAGTAGGCACTGAGATTCCATCGATGAGAGTAAAGACTTACTTAGCCACAACTTCGACGGTGACACCCATCCTGTTCATCTTTGCCAGCCATCGCCCATCAACTTTAGGGCTACGACTGGAGAGGACAATATATCGCGCCCCCTGCTGTGCCATCCACTCGCACAAGGAGAGGCCAAGTCCTCCTGTGAGCCCGACCAGCCAATACGTTCTGTCACTCCGGAATTGCACCCTGGCCTCAATGGGCTCCACGGCCACTGGAACACGCGAAGAGCTCTCGAGCCAGTTGATGATAGATGTTTCTGAGTCTGCTTGTCCTTTGACAATGTCGGTTAGATCGACAATCCTCAAATCCGGCGAGCTCGACTTTCCCCGAGTTCTCATCGCTCGGCCAATATCCATGAGGAGTGAACGGATATCAGGCAGTACGGTTGGTATTAGGTGAGCTTCATGGGCCGTGATACTGGCTTCTTTCTTTGCCTGCGTGTGGTCTGGAAGGCAGGCCAGGATCTTGGTAGCAATGGACTCATCGCCACCCATGTCAAAGAAGCAGGTAACGTTCCGGGGTATGGCATTCTGGACCTCCGTCTTTGATGCCTTTCGGTGAATATATGTCCATTCCGATTCAAGATCACTGGCCTGTGTCGACCACAGGTGGAGGGTGACACCTTTGTCCTGAGCAGCTTCCCGAAGAGCATCAGCAAGGAGAGAATTTGGCTGTAGCGCAATGGCAGCACTCCCATATGGCACATCTCGTAGTATGGACCGGGCAACGATCTCATGGAAGAATGCATCTAAGGAGTTCTCATTGATGGTTCCATGACTCGTATGTTGAGGCAATACAAGTGCTCTCGGGATTCGCACACGAGAACTCTGTTTGGGGGATAGGGCGATGAAACGATCTCCGGTATCTGTATCCCTACCAAGGATCAAGAACAGGTAGCATCCCGGAACAACTTCAACTGCCTTGCTGACGGAATAGTTGACATCCAGTTCCAGATACTTCGTGGAAGGCTCCGCTAAAGGTTCGGATGACGAATGGGTAACCTCTAGGAGAGACAAGCTGTTGTCACGATAGACTAGCTCAACACAGGTATCCGAGAAACTCTGTTCAGTTTCGATGCTCCGTCTCACAGAGTTGTACCGCTCATTTTGCTCCTTGTTCGGCTTGAATCGGGGTACCCAGCACCTTCCATCAGATATAGAAAGCTCCGGCTCGACAGAATGTAGGACGGCGCCATCCTCTGCTCCTTCATCTTCCCAGCTCCCACTTACTTCCAAGCGGAGCATCGCCTCAGCAATGGCAGATGCGTCTGGGCTGGAAGAAGGCGAAACGTCAAGGAACTGCAGGCGGAGATGCAGCATCTCCAGCACAATGGTTCGACCGAAGCCAACAACCATTCGAGCATACGGATCGCCCGACCGGGATCCCTGAGTAACCCACAGGACATTCTTTGATTGTTTAAAGATCTCTTGGAACCCGCGCAGTTTGTCCGCGTCCATAGACTTGAAAACGGGCTCGTCGAAATCGGTCAAAGAGAGTACGCTGCCGCCTACCGGAAGGACCTCCGAGCAGATCTTCTGCAACGAGTCAACCACCCTGAGCTGTCCACACTGTGGCTGAACCAGACTAGAAACCGCGTCGATGAGTTGGGCGCTTCTTCGGCCACCCCCACCAATGATCGTGAGTCGGGGAATGACTGTTGACCCGCGAATCGAGTCGAGGGGATTGTGGAGGAATTGAACTTTCTCGTTCACTGCCTGGGAGACAATAACCGACAGAGGCGCTGGCAGGGTATCATGATGCGGGATCGCAGTTTCTATACCCGAAAAACCATTTTGTTCAAGTACTCTGGACCACTCTTCGATATCGACGCATGGAGAAAAGGGGCGACCATCTTCATACCCCAGCCACCAGCCTGGAAGACCCCCGAAGATGAGTCCAAATCTCATCTGTTCGTTCTCGGTGATTTCGAGAAGCAATAGATAGCCACCGGGTTTGAGTAGCCGGCGGACATTTCGCACGGTTTGCGCAAGATCCCTAGTTGCATGCAGCACAAGAGACGCAATAATCAGATCGAAGGACTCAGGTGCGAAGCCTTGAGACTCAATGTCTTTCTCAATGTCGAGTACCTTGAAGTTCATCTTGGCGCTGTAGGAAGCGAACACCTGCGATGCCTTCTCGAAGAAGCCGCTGGAGATATCAGTGAAGGTGTAAGTAGAAAATCCTTCTCCTAGCTCCTTGAGGAAGGACTTGGTGGCGCCGCCTGTACCTGCACCAATCTCAAGAACGTTCATATGCGGATAACGATGGCTGATCTGGCTCGCCATCGCCGCCAAGTACTTGGTGTAGCGAGGCATCCCGTGGGCAATCACATAGAAGTCGTTCAACATGTTATCCTGTATCATCGGCTCCAACATTGTCAGTTGGCCTCGGACGACAGCTGGAAGGTTTTCGCCCACGGCTCTCATGAGTCGCAGGTCAATGTTGTCGGGGTACCTGTAGATTGCGCATGATTAGCCCGATCAGTACCACTAACTAGGGAAGAAAACACAACTCACTTCTGAAGGATCTTTAAAATGTCGTTCTTCGAGTCCGCTGCCCACTCGGGTCGCGCAAATCGGTTCACCCCTCTTGCCACCCGCGAGAGGACATGGTCGACGTACGCGAATAGTCGTTTGTGATGCCATTCCAGTCCATTCCTCTCTCTCTCGGGAACCGCTTCACCGAGTGACCTGAGGTAAAAGTAGGCTACACGTTCGAGCGAGAAAAGTAGTTCGGCGTCAAAGTCCTCGACGACTGTCGTGCGAAGGATCTCCTCGCAGTCGGGTCTGTCAACACCCCAGACCAATTCGGTGAAAATGTTCAAATCGCTGGCCTCCGTTGGAGATGACAGGGGCTGTGTCTGAAGCCCCTCCAACTGTACAGCCCGAGAGCCGTCGAGGCTATAAATGCTGACATCGCCTTGCAGACTACGGCCGCTGCCAGTCGACGCGCTTGAGTCGAAAGGAACCTGAACGGATTGACCAGCAAACTTCAAGCAGTTGACAGGATTCAGAGTCAATTTCTCAATGCCCGTTGGGAGGTGAATGGCACGCAGCATGCTGTCCCCGGGATAGCAATATGCCAACATGATGGATTGGATGGCTGCATCCAGAGTGGCTGGATGTATGAGGAGAGGCTGTGAATGATTGAAAGAGGGGGGTGCATTCTCAATCAAGCCGCGGGCTATGCCAAGCTTACGCTTCAAGGCCGTCAAGGAGCGGAACGGGCCAGTGTATCCAAAGCCTAACTGCCCCAGTGCATTGTAAAACCGATCTGATTCGACCTCTAACAGCGCAAAGTCGGCTTCTGCCTGCGGCTGCAGTAGGTCTACCGCGCTGTCGCCGACGGTGATACGCAATCGGCAGCTTGCATTGCGTACCAGTTCAAGGCTCTCACCACCTGTCGGGCATGAGTAGAATGCAAAGTTCGCGGAAATCGTCTGTTGACGATGCACAACTTCAGTCAGAGTGGCCAGAGTTTCGACCTCGGAGTTGCTATCATTGAAGACAATGGCCTGGCCGACGACGAACTCCTCCAGCTCAATGGACTCAACATTCTGTCCTACAGCTAGTCGCATGCTGGCTTCAGCACACGCCGAAACATACCCAGCACAAGGGAATACCATTTGACCTTGCACCTGGTGGCCCTCCAACCATGCAATTTCTCTTGGTCGCAAGATGTTCCGCCAGCGTAGCTGGTTTGGGGCACCATCGAGAACCTGCCGGCCAAGGAGCTCATTTGGGACGTCTTTACGGGTCCGAAAAGCCTTTGATACACGTGATTCATGCCAGAACACGCGATTATGATCCCATTGATAAGTGGGAAGCCCTTTGAGAAGCTGCGGCTGCGCAGCCGATCCAGAAGTGAATTTTTGCAATCGGGAGAAATCCACTGCCCCGTCTCCAAAAGCGGTCCAGATGGAGCCGAGAGCGGCCGCGAACGCCTCAACGTCGCTGTTTCCTCTGGATAGGACTCCGGTGTACGGGATGGAGTAACCAAGGGCATCTTGGATCGTTTGACTCGCAGGCCCTTTGAGGGCGGGATGCGGCCCAACTTCGACAGCAAGGTCGAAGGATCCTTCGAGGGAGAGCAGAAGCTGCAAAGCCTCGGCAAACATGACCGGCCTTGCCAGGTTACTACCCCAGTAGCGATCACTACCATCTTCCGAGAGTTGGTGAATATCCTGGACGAAGACACTCGAGATCCAGACACATTGATTGCGGTTCGGGGGCCGGAAGGTGACGGAGCATTGCCGCAGAGATCGGACATATGGCTCCACGCAGTCCTGCATGTGATGCGAGTGGTATGCTCGATCAACCTTCAGCAGCCGTGTGAACTTCTTTTCTTCATCAAAAACGACCTTGATCTCCTCGATCGCGTCGGAGTCTCCAGAGATTGTCACACTGGAGGGTGAGTTGCTAGCCGCCACACACAACCGGTCTTCAAATGTAGGCAGATTGCAGAGGTCCTGTGCATCTTCGAAAGTCGTTCCTACCGCGAGCATAGACCCTTTCTGGAGCGCGGACTTCAGATGTACACCGCGATAATATGCCACCCGGATGGCGTCTTTTGCTGATAGGCAACCGGCAGCATATGCAGCACCAATCTCTCCTGAGGAATGTCCAACAACAGCGGAAAATTGAATACCGGCCTCACGTAACATATCCACCAACATTATCTGTATGGCAGTGCAAAGCGGTTGTGATATTGACGCCGTGCTGACCATTGAGGAGGATGGCGGAGCGAGGAGCTGCTCACGTAGGGACCAAGTCGGTCGATCCTGCGGTGGAAGGCTCCTCAGGCTTTGCTCCAATGCGTCAACAACTTTGCTCGCTCCGGGGCATTGTTCAATGAGCTCCGCACCCATGCGAGCCCATTGAGCACCTTGACCGGTGAACACTCCAAGGATCCGCAATTCATTGGCGTTGGGCTTCCGGTGACCCGCGTCCATGAAAGTGTCGGAGCCGTCATAGTTCTCAGCGCGATCATCAAGTTTGAGGACCAAATCGTCTTTATCTGAGGCCGCAATTGCTACCCGAGAAGCAAGAGTCGAGCGTCGACTATTTAAAGTCCAAGCAAGATCAGTCAGGCGGACATCGCTTCGGGTCGATAGGAGGTCACGGTATGCACGCAAGCTGGCCACCAAGGCAGTTTCGGACGCGGCCGAGAAGGTAAAGGGACTAAAACTAATGTCGCGGGTACCTTTGTGGGAGTGGAGAGATGGCTCGTAGCTCTCAAGGATAGCGTGGGAGTTTGCACCACCAAAGCCGAAGCTATTGACACTGACCCTCCGCACGCCCCCACGGCTCAGCTGCGGCCAATCCTCGGCGGCCGCAAGGATTTTGAGGCTGTTGTAGAAGGGCTTGATTGCGGGATTCAACTGCTCGAGTAGTCGATTTGGGGGAATGGTGCCGGATTGGAGTGCCAGAGAGGCCTTGATGACGGCGGCCAAGCCAGCTGTTCCCTCTGTGTGGCCGACAACGGTCTTGATTGACCCAACAAACAATGTGTCCTTCCTTGAATCAGCAGTAAAGTTCAGGTCCGGGCCAAAAAAGGCAGTTTGGATGGCTCTCGCTTCAATCGGATCTCCTGCCGGGGTTCCCGTTCCATGTGCTTCAAAGTATTGTGGCCTGTCCGAACGATTACTGAGATCCAGCCCTGCCTTGGCGTACGTGGATCGTATCAGGGCTGCCTGGGCCGTGGCGCTCGGCATAGTGATTCCAGGGGTTTTCCCATCTTGGTTAACACCTGTCTCCCGGATCACACATTCGATGTGGTCTCCGTCTGCAATAGCCTGACTCAATCGCTTTAGCACGATTGCGGCCACACCTTCACCACGCGCATATCCATCGGCTGCGGCATCCCACATGCGGGAGCGACCAGTTGGCGACAGCATCTGTAGCTTGCTCTCGGCAATGTACTGCTCGGGGCCAAGAATCAGGTTGGATCCAGCGACGATGGCCAGTGAGGAGTCTCCACTGCGAAGAGTTTGCACCGCGTGGTGCATGGCAATCAAACTCGACGAACAGGCAGTATCGATTGTAAGCGACGGGCCATGCCAGTCGAAAAAGTACGACAGCCGATTGCTCAGAATACTGCGCGCTGTCCCAGTGGCAAAGTAGGTGGGAAAGGTCTCTGTATCCCGACCAACCAAGTCCGTAAAGTCTGCACTCATCACCCCGACATACACGGCCGTATCCGAACCTTGTAGACGTTGAATGGAGAGACCGGCAGACTCTAAGCCCTCATAGACCGTCTCAAGCAGCAGCCGTTGCTGAGGATCCACCGCATTTGCCTCGATCGGCTTTATCCCAAAGAACTGTACATCGAACTGGCGTAAATCCTCCTCCAGAAAATAGGAATGCCGCACATTGCTGGTGCCATGGTGGGCATTGTCGGGGTGATAGAAAGAATCGACACTGAACCGGCTTTCAGGAATCTCTTTGAGCAAGTCCCGGGGGGCTCGCAAGAGCTCCCAGAGTTTCGACGGGCTGTCGCAGCCTCCAGGAAAACGGCATCCGGTGCCAATGATGGCAATTGGTTCTGAGGAGTTCTGAAATGACCCCATAGCTGCAAACAAACAAGCTAGAGATCAACAAGAAATATGGTTGTGTGAAGCGTAATACTCAACTGTAGAAGTGCTATGACACTATACCCCATGGTATAATTAGTGTTTAGCTTTTTATTGTATAGCACATCTAACCACCGCAACCCTGCCATCCACTTACCTTCTTCGGGGTACAACGGACCACCCTGTCCGATGTGAATCGGGGACGATCATTGGTCTCGGAGTGCCGAACATCGCTATCCGACCTCCATCGGGAAAGCCAGCATTCGGGTTTGATCGTCAACGAATGCCTTGTGAGCGAATGTTGGTGGATTGTCGCAACAACCTGTACATAACAAGAAACCCGTGCCTTGCGTCTACCACAGGCGCAATGAGTGTGTCCGGACTGAATCGGCGTGCATGGACCCCGGAGAAGAGCCGTCCTCCAAACGGCCAATATACATACATCTTTTGTCTTAAGAGCTTAGTTTCCGCTCCGAGGTGCTTGAAGTATTCCTCCATTCGATTGCTACTGTTGGTTCGCTGGAGGGTTGTAATGAGTCAATCTGGCATTGAGCACTCATCTTTCCCGCCTCGCAGTGAGCATGCAGATATTTGCGTTAGTTGAAATACATGACTATCTTCGAAAAGAATTTTCACCGCAGAGATATCGTCAATGAAAGCAAGTCGTGGAGAAGAAAAGCAGTGGTCCTGAGCCTGGACTAACGTCGCTGTTGACCATTTCGATGTTCAAGTAGATGAACATGGAGTTCTAAAGCCTATCCTCTTGTGATTCAGTCAGTATCAAGTTAATAGGCACACTTGGTAATCAGCAGGCCGAAGGTAGTATAGTCGTCAAGTTAAAAGCCAGAAATACTTTCTGTGGTTGGTGTAGATATCTTCTGGCTCAGCTTTGTTGAGATTTCAACACCACGCCGTAGACATCCAGAAATAAGGATTTTTCAATGTACTGAGTGTACTGAGTGGATTTCTATAGGGCTTTGTTGGCAGCATTTTCTTCTTAGAAATCTCATGCACTAAAGGATTAAGTTAAGGTAAAGCCTGAGTGAGTCTGAAATTAGTATGAGACTCTATGGACAAGAATAAGAACAAGGCCAATAGTATGAAAATCTCCAAGAGAGAGAGGTCTTAAGGGGCGGCGGACAGGCTTATAATGCAGCGCACGGGCCATTCATAAGTGTAATGTCTACTAACATAGTATGTACTCTGCTCTTATGTGCTTCATTATGTCTCCCTGTCGAGTGGTCTGAAGGCCTTAAAGGAGGCATAAATATGATCCTCCACAGTATAAGTCTCTGTCAGTCTGCCTATGCAAAATGAATACCTACTACGAAGTAGCATTTTTATCTGGCCAAGTTATGGAAGGTAATATATATATATTTCACCTCTGACAGCAAACATATATTGATGTTCTGCAACATATGCCGAATATCCTCAGATTTGTAGTATTTCAGTTGATACGGCGTACTGAGGAAATCATCACTCTTATGAACAACGAACTCGTCATATAAAGTTCCATCTAAAGTCCACAATGTTCGTATCGCAACATCAAGACCTAAACTCCCACTCTCGTGCCCGCTGCTGCTCGAGTGACTGGATTGACGACAATCTCGTTTCGCATTTCCTGCCTCTGATGAGATAGTTGTAACCCCCTCTCAAGTCTGTTAGAACACAGTCAACCCGGTATCAATATCCTCGACTTAGTTTCGAGACTTGAACAGAGCCGCTGCTTTATCGTCCGGTGCCCATGTCCCATTAGCCAACGGAGTCATCTTGGGTGGAGAAGATCCCTCCTTCCTCTTAACATCATAGTTTTGAAGAATATATGCGAATGCAATCTTCAGAGTGCTATTTGCGAAAAAGCGGCCAGGGCAGGCTTGCGTGCCATCCCCCCATCCTGGAGAATCCGAGCCAGTGTTCAGCAGGTGGAACTTGTTCTCATTTCCCGGTACCTGGCGCAAGTCATGGAATCGATTCATATCGAATTCGTCCGGGTCCTTCCAGAGACTGGGAGAGCGATTGATGGCCGCTGCATCCACGGCGATGATGGCTCCGGCAGGAATCGTGGGGCCGACACTCAGCTTCACGGGCTTAGCCAGGACACGCTGAAGACTGACTATTTCAGAGATTAGCGTGAGATCTCAATACCAACATTGCGTGCAGGTGCAGATACTCACACAAGCTGACGGGGTGTAAACGAAAGGACTCGCGCAGAAAGCTGTCCATTCTCTTGAGCTCCTGCAAATGCGTCTGAGGAAGCTTTCCATCTACCATAACTTCATCGAGCTCCTGGCGCAAGACATCTGCCGCCTCCGGGTGTGCCGCGAGCTCGCAAATGACATGATAGAGCGCCGACGCGGTCGATGGCGTCGAGTCGAAGCTGATGAGGATATAGTCCACGATCAGCTGCCTAATAGTGGCCTCGCCTTGCTTGTACCGCGATAGCAACATCGCTGTCAAAGGGATCTTTCCATTCTGCTTTGGACGCAACAATTCAGATCGATCCTTGGTCTCTTTGAATATCGCCATATCCTCCTGCAACATGGGAGTCAGCAGCCGGCGCATATCCCATTGGTTCATTTTCGTGGGCAGGAAGGCCAGGGGCGCCAGGAGTGGCCGGAGCAGAGCAGGACACGCGTTCATGATCAGCACTGCAACATGAATGACCAGAGGCGACTGCATCACCGCTTTTACCCATTTGTTGTTCGTCCCAAGCTCTCTCCCAACAAAAGCACAGGCGTTGATCTTGGCGACAATTTCGAACGTGGTCATCAGCAACCCAATTTCTTTCCACTCTGGAGCGTATCCCACAATCGATTCAAACGCCATGCGGGTGTCCTGTTGCCGCTTGTTCACACGCGCAGGGATGACACGGGTGAGGTCTGCGATGATTGTCTTCAGAAGGGGCGTGGTCTCGTGGCCAACGTATGTCCAATCTCCTGCATTCATCGTGTGGAAGAAATCTTTCGCTGATGCGCTGTGCTCTGGAAGGCGTTTAATCTCGTCAAAGCAGCTTGGCGGATAGACAACGAAGCTGTGTCGATTGTTCACGGCGAGATAAGGTCTGTCCGGATACTGCCGTTGGTCAGCCACAGATTTGTCGCAAGCGATTGTAGATAAAAGGAACCTTTTTTCTGCCTTCGACGATTATATCTTCAAAGTGATAACTCTTTGCTTTGACTACCGGGAGCTCTCGCGGCATGACCGGTTGCCTCTCTCGCGTTGAGAAGTAGAGCACCAGCAGCGAACAGGTTACCGCCAACAGCACGAGGGTTCTTGGGCTTATCTCGTTCACCATGCTCCTCGCTATCAATTTCGTCATTTGCCATCTTGAGAGTTTCAACGGCTCAAGCGACTGCCGTAGCACTTGGTATGGCTCGATGATGTTGGACTGTAGGCTCCACATGTTGTAGTAGACTAGATAGATGGCGTTGACTCAATGCTAGCCGTCTTTGTTAAACTCCTTATTTGTACCTGCCTTCACCCTATCATTCAGTGTTTCCAAGCTCAGAATCCTGTTGACATTGTAGTGGTGATACTATAGGCATACCTATTCCTATCCAGCGTTCGGAACCTCCGATCCAATCGGAGTCCATTTTTATCCCATTCTGTCTTCGGGATCAATGATTAGTACCGTAGTATTAGGTGTGCACAATTACAAGAGACACTTGTCACTGTTTGTGATTCTTTTTTGTTTCCCTTCCTGCAGTAAACTCTCATGAATCGAGATGCAGCATGGTGCTGTCGTAGAATTCGCTAATTCACATATATTTTTTGCTATTGTAGCCACACAAAGTATTGACATTCAACAAGACTCGCGCGTATAAAAGGAACTTCTGAACGCATAGGAGTTATGGCCTTTCTTGCCTTTGAACAGTACTCATCCATCTGGAACTGACCAAATTGATCGTCCGACTGGTCGTTTGTTAAGCCAAATTGAGACTCATGCTCAGTCCTCAAGCGTAGATCCTTCCTTGTCCACCAGAGTCACCAACAGCCCCAGTCCCGCAAAGACGGTGCCAATCTGCCGAACGCGCTTTAGGCTATGCTCATAGAGGGTAATCATATCGCTGCGGATGGGCTCCGAAAAGGAGTCAATCAGATCTCGAGATGCTTGCTCAATCATGCGGAATATACAGAATAGCCGCTTCTAGACTTGTCAAACCTGAGAGGACTTGTTGATTGAATAAGACTTTTGAGCCAGGGGTGCTAGTGATGTACCTGCTGTTGTCAGAAAACAGACAACATAACAAGAAGGACGGGGGCTCATGATACACTTATATCCTCAAAATGGACTGTGAGGGTGAGTGCTCCAAGGACAATGCATGCTAATACTGCCCTCTAGTTAAAAACACCCGGTTTCCAGGGAGGAAAGAGAACAAAAAGCAAACAGCAGTGTCCGAGAGTCAAGGATTAGATCATCTCGATTGAGCGATATTATTGACAACACTTGTAACTCCTAGCCTTCAATAGACATATTTCGCTAAATGAGATTATTGAATGTTGCTCGGCCTTTGGTGACCTTCTTTGGACAATGTTCATCTACAGGCTCTTCCTCATAATGCCAAAACACTCATCCAAAAATCGGTATGTACGCTGATTACACAGTCGAAACGCTCCCATTTTCGCTTGCAGACTCCCCTGACCCTCACTTTCGGGAATCCAAAGCTGCTTGTTGCGTTCGGCCACGTTGACTAGCCCATCGTAGCACTGGCGAGTATGGTTGTCGACATCCAGATAAAGCGACTTGCCTGCTCCGGACAACAACACGGGGCATATCACGCGGGAAAGGAAGCCTTCCGGCTCCTCTTCTGTACTACGCAATGTGTACTTTTTCATGTGGAGCAGAATCTGCGAGGGTGAAGAGAGGCCAAAAAATGTGCCAGTGACCGAGATCTCCCAGCGAAGCTGAAAGGAAAGCCGAGACAGAAGGGCCATCAAATTGTCAACGAAGCCGCCGCTAATCCATCCCGATGTCCAGGCATGGATAAAGATTGGTGACACGTGCGCCGTGCCAAAATCCCACATATCGTAGAAGGGATCCTGTTCAGGAATCATGGATTAGCGATCTTGGAATACCGGTGCACCCAATGCATGGGGATGAGGAACTGACAATAGAGACACATGCTTTCACACGCTGATCAGCCGCTGCGCGAAGGGCGTAGTATCCCCCCATCGACGCTCCCGACACTGCGATGCAGTTCAAGTCCAGCTCCAAATGGGGGTTTTCGGCTGCATACTCCTCTAAAAAGTCGATTACTCGTCCTGTGACAGCCTCCCAGTCTGGCCTCATCTCCAGTCCGTATTTTCGCAACATGATACCCTGACCTGGACCATCGAACGTTACAACAGCGTACCCCTGCCCAGGGCCTGCTGCCGGGTTCAAGTAGAATAGTTCCTCCTGACATGAATCGGCACCGCCGCTATTCACAAGAATGGGAATTTTCCGACCGGGAATGCGTCTCCACGGTGGTGGCAGATACAAGTACCCTGGTAACGCATATTCCTCGTAGGGGATGCCGAGTGTATGTACAGATCCTTTCATCAGGGGAATCGCTTTTCGGAACAGTTCCCCTACCTTTTCAGCAATAGGAAGAGCTCGCGCATCCTGCACGAGAGCTTCCCCGCTTGACTCTGCCCGAGAAACATACATGTATCCGCTGGCGCGGGTGTAGTTTGAGGCACGTAGGTATCCGGCTAGGGCAGCATCGCGATCGCCATGCTCAAGGGCTTCAGCGGCAAGCTTTTCCGCTCGTTCGGCCTGGATGCGCCAGGCGGTTTCCCAGGTCTCTGGGTCGTTATTCTTGATCTGGTCGACCGCTTCGAAGACCTCGGCGACATCTGCGCCGCCGTAGCAGGTTGTACCTAGAATGCGTATGGCCTCAAAATCGAAGAAGGGGGCATTCTTGAAAAGTTTGTGCATGACGACGACGTTGATAATGATGATGAGAGTGCGACCGCAGTAAGAGACGAATGATCCACAGAAGAATAGAATGAGAGATACGTCCAAGCATTCCCTTGTGGGCTGTTATGCCAATGATCATCCCAAAGTTTTGGATGTGGTGTTGATTGGCCCGGAGGCCCCGAACATAAGGTACTTTCTGTATGGACTTCCATCGTTCGGATATCCGAAGAACCGAAGTGAAGATAGGCGAGCGGAGTAGGGAGATCCCAGGATGCTAGTGAAATTATGACGAACAATGTTGATATGCGACATCTAACGGCTAGTCCTACTGCTAAGCCGACTGTAAGTCCTAAATTATGCCACGTAGTTACTGCGGAATAATGGAGAGTTCTTCGGGAAGGTCAACGCCTCCGTCAAGGCAATCCCCTGATACTGAGACAATCCCACATGTCCCCCCCGCGAGTGGCCCGAGAAACCGCTTCCTCCCACTCCCTCGCCGAGGATGTACTCGAACCCCAGGTTTGCATGTTCCACGAAGAAGGTGTAATGCTGCATCCTGCCCGGAGACACAAGTTCCAACTGATATCCCGTCACCTTGTCCTTTAAGGTTCCAGTTACGGCACCCCCGTAAGTTTTAGAAACCAAGGCATAGTCGTCAACATCTGAAGCCTCGGCTCGTGTACTACGGAAGACGGGGAGTCCATCTTTAAAGAGGACGACCGACTGCCGTGTTTCGCCAGGGTTGATGTTAGATGTGAAGCTGAAGTAGGTGAGGACGTAGGGACCCAGCATGGTCCGAACAGCGCTGAGGTGCGTAAGACAGGTGAACCAGCTGGAAGATGTCAGCGTGAGCGAGAAAGGAAAGTTTCCATCCAACGCCGAAAGATTTTCATACCTAAACGCAGACCAGAACCGCTCATGACCACCCATTCCTTGAAACACCAATGGGTGGTCCTGAATCATCACGTCCACCTCCACATCCCCAGCCGGAATGGGCTCAGACCAGTGGTAAAAAGGCACTCCCTCAGTGGATGCGTTGTGTGCCGGCCAAACATGACCATCCGCCGTCACAGGGCGCGCGCGAGATTTGATAGCCACGGTTCCCTTCGCACTCGGTGAGTTCAGGAACACCATGGCTTCACTCATATCGGCTTTGATCTGGAACGAGAAACTGTAGCCATCCGCATCATCCACCCATTCGCCGCGTGTGCCCACAGAGCAGTGCTCCACCACTGACCGGGACGCGTAGTAAACCTCGTAGAAGCGCGTGCGATTGGCAAAGGCGAACTCAATAGAGAGCCGAAAGTTGCCCGTGCCGAGGATCGCATAATTCGGATCACGATAGAAACCAAAGACAAAGGACTGCATCCCATCTTCGGACACGCCGTCAAATTCCCACTGCTCTCCTGCGGTGCTATTGAGCGGGTTGATTTTGGGCGCCTCAAAGGATTCGATAGCGCTGGTGGTGAAGTCCACAATCTTGCGGCCTTTCACCATCTCGAAAGCAGTCAGGTCACTGATCTGGCACTGCTCCGTGAGAGGCATCTGGCTATCAAAAGTAGCAGGATTGTCGTGTAGCCAGTGTTCTGGCCATGGCTGCCAACTTCTAACATGGGCAAATAGGGAGAAACTGGAGAGTAGAATGGAGGTACGCATATCGATGCTAACGACACAATGACACTGCAGCTTTCTCTACCGTATTGGAGAATGGAGAGAACAGGAAGAGCCCTGATCTTTGCTTTGTTCTCTCATAATAAAGCCAAAATAAGCGGATTAGCTGATCCATGCGAGTATCTCCGAACATGCAGGTCGAAAATCCCTGCGTTGGCTTTAGTACTTCCGACTCCGAGCTGAGTAGTCCGGGTAGTTGCCTGTCCCCGTATGATTATAATATTCCAGTATTACAAGGACAATGATTACCCTATGTTATATCCGAGTCGAATACTAGCTCCTCTATCAGTCGAGATTAAAAATGACCGTACCAACCACTATCCGTCTTCCTTCAAAGCAGACCGTCATCCTTGAAGGTGATGACCTCCGTCTACGAATCGACGACAATGCTCCCCTCCCTGTTCTCCGGCCGGACGAAGTGCTTGTCCGCACCATGGCAGTAGCGATAAATCCCTGCGACTACAAGATGCATGAACGATTTCCCTCTCCTGGGGCAGTGGACGGATGTGACTTTTCCGGTGTGATCCTGGCAATAGGAGCCGGAGTCCCCAGCTTGGGGGTCTCATTCCAGATAGGCGATCGGGTATGCGGTGCGGTGCATGGGTCGAATCCCATTCGACATGATTCGGGCTCTTTCGCCGAATATATTGCCTCAGAAGCCGAGTTTACGCTGAAGATCCCGGACTCCATGTCCTTCGAGGAAGCTGCCGCTCTGGGAGGAACGGGACTGGCGACACTCGGCATGGCGCTTTTCCGGACATTAGAGCTACCCGGAACGCCAGAGGAGCCAGCGCAAAAGCCGCTGACGGTTTTGGTTCACGGGGGAAGCTCCTCGGTTGGGACGATGGCTATGCAATTACTTCGCTTGTAAGCAGCGATTGAAAGTTCTCATTGCTGCGTGAATCCAGCTAAGTTTCGTATACTAGGGTTGGTCATATTCCCATCACAACCTGTTCTCCACGGAACTTTGCCCTAGCAAAGGAATACGGGGCGGAAGAGATATTCGACTATCACGAGCCAGATTGTGGCCAAAAGATCAAGGCTTACACCCGCAACACCCTTCGCTACGTGCTTGATCCGTTTACCGATGCCAAAAGCATTGCACTCTGCTGCGGAGCCATGGGTCGCGCAGGAGGCCGATACGCGTGCCTGGAGATGTATCCAGACTATTTAGTGGAGAAGCGTACCCTCCGAGTAGGCTTTGTAATGGGTCCGGCGCTCCTCGGCCATCGCCTGGAATTAGACTATGGGTATGAGCGAGCGGCCGACCCAGAAATGCGTCAATTTGGCATTCGCTGGTATCGGAGCATCCAGTGGCTGTTGAGCAAGGGCCAGCTGAAGCCGCATCCTCTGAGAGTACTGCCAGGAAGATTTGATGCCATCTTGCAGGGGATCGAGATGCTGAAGAGCAAGAGTGTGTCGGGCGAGAAATTGGTTGTGAGCATCGGCATGTAACCATATTGCTAGCAACCAGTTAAGACAGCGAGTAGGAGCACCCAATTCGGACTCTATAGCCAATCGGAAACGCATCTTAGAGTTAGTTCGGACCCCGAAGACTGTGTCCAATTCAGTCTCATAATGTTTCTTGCGTCGTTCGCTTGAGTACTGCGAGAATAAGACTTTTCTCAAGATTATATTTTCTGGTACCACAGCATGATGATAACTCTATTCACTCTTGCTGTGGTCTCTATAGGCTTCTTCCTCTGGTGGCTCTTGACTGTCCAACCAGCTGTGACGAAACGTGCCTTGAAGCATATTCCCGAACTGCGATTCGAGGACAATGATACTCCGGAGCGATATACCCAGGACTCGCGGTCTCTTTTGTTTAGAGGTTACGACAAGGTATGTTCACCATTGCCTGCGGTGCTATCGATTGCAAAAAATGGTAATCGTACAATAGTACCTGCGCCATGGAATTCCCTTTCAAATGCGTCATCCCATCGAGGAGCTAGGCCCGCAGGTTCTGCTACCCATGAAGTATCTCGATGAGGTCAAATATGCATCAACGTCCCTGTTCAGCTTTCCCCTGTTCTCAGAGAAGGTAGCGTTCGCCCCCATCTGTATATAAGATCGTCAGCTGATCCGTGACAGGTTTTCCTTCTCAACTACAGCAATGCGCCTCGCCAAACAGATGCAGCAGCCCATGTAGTCCGTGTAGACTTGACGAAGAACCTGGGTAAGCATGATATCTCCGCAGCGCATGGTGAAAATAGCTTTTGCTCAATAAATCGCAGGTGCGCTGGCCAATGGTATGTACCAGGAAGCAATCGAAGGACTCAACCAAAGTTTATCAGCATCAGAAGGTAATCTGTCACAACCGTCAGCATATCGTTTGTTAAAGAGTCCTCTAACATTGGTAGAATGGAATACTCTCCCGGCGTACGACTTTTTGAGCAGCCTGACAGCCCAGGTGACGGCACTGGCGCTGGTGGGACCTGAACTGTGCCGCAATCGCGAATGGATCGATATCTCGCTGCAGACTACCTTTGCCATCTTCAACGCCGCGTTTACAATCCGCTCGCAGTATTCTCCTCGCTGGAGATGGCTGGCCCGCTGGCAGAGCGATGCCCCAAAGCGCATGCGAGCCATGCGGGCTAGAGCCGTGGAGCTGCTCGCTCCTGTCTACCAAGACCGGCTGGCAGCAATCAAAGAGCATGACTTTGGCGCATTTGCCGATTGCCTACATTGGTCGCTTAGGGGGAACGGAGGCGAAACATCGCTGACTCGCATTGCAGAGCAACAGCTATTCCTAACTGTTGCGTCCATGCATACAACGTCGTCGACTCTCACGGCGGTTCTGTTTGACCTGCTCATCCGCCCAGAATACTGTGCAGAGATCACGAAGGAAATGCAGGAAGCTCTAACCGAGTGTGAGGGGAAATGGACACTGCAGGAAGTGGCTAAGATGAGGAAACTAGACAGCTTTATGAAAGAGAGCCAGCGGGTCCATCCTATTGGTTTCAGTATGTTCATTCCTGTCTCCCTTTCTCTTTCATTTGAAGTCTGGGCCATCGGATGATAACGTCTCTAGTTACGGCTCAACGGATGACTGTTCGCCCACACACCTTCAAAGACGGCCTGCATCTCCCAGCCGGGGTCATCTTTCAATTCCCAGCCGATGCCGTGCACCATGATCCAGCCATCTATCCTCGTCCGGACCAATTTGCTGGGTATCGCTTCCTTCATCTTCGGGAGACGGTTGATGCAAACCGGTATCATTTTGCCTCCGTCTCCGACACCATGTTGGGATTTGGGGCTGGTTCCCATGCCTGTCCCGGGCGGTTCTTCACGTCACTTGCCATTAAACTGATTCTTGTGGTGCTCTTGACCCAGTACGAGGTTAAGCTGGCGGACTGTGATGGATCCCGACCGGCGAATGGTTTTAATGACTTTAATATGGGACCCAGTCGGGAAGCTACGATCATGATACGGAAACGAAGCGGTCTTTGAAGGGGTACAAAGTATATACGCTGTTGGGGGTGATTGATTCCATACTGTTGTTGTGAGTGGCCAGCACGATATAGGGGATAGATATATATATCTTATTACCACACGGAGACGACGGCAACGAGCCAGAATCTCCTAACATTGCGAACCTGCTTGTCAACCAAGATCTCTAGTGATTTATCCCCAACAATTATTCTCTGGTTGGTTATTCCAAAAATACACTATCTAGTAGTCAAATGGCGAAAGAGCGTCCATATGCTCCGATGATATTGGTTCGGCTCACCGAGTCTGAGACTCAACATCGGAGCCGCGGGGTGGAAGATCCGACAAACCCCTGCAGCTTGTTGCGGTTGGGCATCATCAGACATATTCTGTTCCCCCCATCATCATCTTTCATCCGTCGTCTTGGTCTGTTTATCTATCTCCAAGTAGGCCCTTCTTTTTTTCGAATCCGGTAGTCGCGACCGCATCCATTTCACCATGTCCGTTATCGAGATCGAAGTGGTCTATGATTTTGTTTGCGCGGTACACAGCGATGACCTTCCACCGTTCGAGGAGAGAAAGGCTGACAAGGGTCTAGTGGTGCTACATTGGCAAACGCAAACTCGACCGAGCCATCGCGCTGTATCAGAAAACCTACCCTGGCGGTCGATCTGATGTTTTCTCGATCAAATGGAGCCCGTATTTCTTGAACTACAACCCTCACCCTCACAGCGTGCCCAAGAGCGACCTGGTGGATGAACGGCTGAAGGACATGACTCCGGAGCAGCGAACCGCCTTGTTCAACCGGATGAACCAAATTGGACGTGCGGTGGGCATCTACTTCAAGGCTGGGGGGATGATCGGGAGCACCCGTGATGCCCATCGCCTGGTCCACCTGAGCCGGACCAAGCCCGCAGACGTTCAAAATTGCCTGGTCGAGAACATTCTCCGGGCCTACCACGAAATGGAGATGGATATCTCATCAAAGGACGTACTTCTGGAGCTCGCCTTGAGCGCGGGACTCGACAAGGCCGAAGTGACTGAATGGCTCGAATCCGACTTGGCCGGGGATATCGTCGACGAAGCGTCTCAAAGAAACAGGCAGCCGGGCAACACCGGAGTTCCACGGTATATCATTCAGGGAGTGCATTGCGTGGATGGTGCAGAGGATCCGTCGGAGTTCATCGAGGTGTTTGCAAAGGTCAAGGAAGGCGAAAATCAGGCTTAGGGGGTCACCCCTGACGAGTGCTTGGAACTATTACCGTAACCAGCTATTGGATCCCGGGAGGTTCTTTCGAATCATAGCAAATCTTGGAATCCACGATCAGGTCAGATGATCCCAGTTTCGTATCCGCTTCCGATGGTACTTTGGACTTGTGGTGTGGGTTGTTGAGATGGTGTTGGGATCGACGGATTCGAGCTCTGTACTCCGTACGGTCGCACCGCCCCCAACAACAAAGAACAGGGTGTTCTGGGGGGGGTCAAGATAAGTAATGATGGTTAGGATTAGTTAGGATGCGGATTGACTAATAATTCCTGTCTGCGATTTCTCATGCGAAGTCGGAGTTGATCCCTTGGGGGGGGGGGAAGATTGTGTAGAATGCAGATGCTTTTTCCGGCGCCCAAACTTCCTAAAAAGAAAAAACAAAGAAACCCGAAAAAAACCACCGAGTTGGAGAGTTGGAGCTGTCATCTTAACCCCTTAAAATAATATGAAAGTATTTTTGGATGCATAGCTCGGTTGTGAAAAATGCTCATCACAACAGCAAAAAACAAAAAAAAAAAAAGAAAATATGCTGATTAACTCATTTTCTAATGTGGCGGAAAAAAATGAGATGCTCAAATGACCAGACACACCACGCTAACTTCCTCCTCGACGGGGATTGTTTCGTTTCTTTCTTTTCTTTTTATGTCTCGATCGTCTATCTATCTAGCCTGGCTGTTTTAAAGGAGCGAAGATACGTTGCTCATCTGCACTAGGGGTAGATGTTCTAGGAGGTATCTAACTATCTACCCGACACAGGGGTGCAGGGTGCAGACTGCAGACTGCAGACGTCTAGGAGAAATAAGCCATGGACTCGGCACTACCGAGTCGGAGTACATCTTTATTTAGATAGATAGATAGATAGATAGATAGATAGATGGCGACGCAAGCAAGGAAAATAAATAAATATGCGCGAAAAAAAAAAAAAACAAAATGGTCTAGGCTGGTCGGAAACGGAGAGTGCAGACAGCGGACAGCCAGCCAGCTGCCAGCGAGTGAGGCTGAAAGAGTTTAGATCGACCAGACTAGATAGAATATTCCTTTTTTCCTTGTCCTCTGGTTCTATTATTCTCTTGCCACCAAACACCACTCCACATGGATGTGGATCCTCTATTAAAATTCTGAACCCACCGCGTGATGTAATGCGATAATCTGGTCATTTTCCGGCGGTTGAGCGGTCAATCCTGGCAGTGTGTCGGACCACAGCTGCACCCGGCGATCAAGCAGTCGAGGATTCTTTATGAACTGAACTGGCAGCCTCTCTTCCTCTCTCTCTCTCTCCCCTTCCTGGTCTTTCTTTTTCCCCTTTGATCATGACCACCATGGCTCCCCTCAAGCTTAACAGCAGGAACCTGTCGCAGATTTTTGCGGCCGGCAAGTCGCTGGTCAAGGTCCCGACTTACCAGCGCAATGGCGCCGTCAAGGAGGGAATTGTCCACATCGGCGTCGGCGGCTTCCACCGCGCGCACCTTGCCGTCTATGTCGACCGGTTGATGCAGGAGCAGGGTGTGACCGACTACGCGATTTGCGGTGTGGGCTTGCAGCCCTTCGATTCCACTATGCGCGATGCCCTGGCGTCGCAGGACAACCTCTACACCGTCATCGAGCGTTCGGCCAAGGGCAGCTTTGCGCACGTTATCGGCAGCATCAACTCCTACCTCTTTGCCCCCGATGATCGCGAGGCCGTTATCGCCAAGATGGCGAACCCGGATACCCGCATTGTCTCGCTCACCATCACCGAGAGCGGCTACTACTACAACGAGAACACACACGAGCTCCAGAAGGAGCACCCGGACATCCAATTCGATCTGAACCCTGTTAACGAGAACAAACCGCGCACCACCTTCGGCTTCCTCTATGCGGCTCTGGAGCGACGCCACCGCCTCGGACTCAAGCCGTTCACGGTCATGTCGTGCGACAACATGCAGAAGAACGGATCTATCACACGTCACATGCTCGAATCGTTTGCCCGCCAGCGCAACCCCAAGGTTGCCGAGTGGATTGCCGAGGAGGGTGCTTTCCCCAACGCCATGGTCGACCGTATCACACCCCAGACATCCGCCACCGATAAGACAGCACTCGCAGAGAACTTTGGTATTGAAGACTCATGGCCGGTCGTCACAGAACCTTTCATGCAGTGGGTGATCGAGGACAAGTTTTCCGACGGCCGTCCCCCCTTCGAGAAGATCGGTGTCCAGGTTGTCAAGGATGTCCACGCGGTCGAGCAGTTCGAGAAGCACAAGCTGCGTCTGCTCAACGGCAGTCACTCCGCCATCGGTTACCCGGGTCAGCTGGCTGGCTTCAACTACGTTCATGAAGTCATGGAGCACCCGCTCTTCAGCAAGTTCGTGTGGCAGATGATGCAGCAGGAAGTGAAGCCGCTCTTGCCCGAAATTCCCGGTGTCAACATCGACGACTACTGCAACACGCTCATCGAACGCTTCACCAACCCCACCATCATGGACCAGCTGCCCCGCATCTGCCTCAACGCTTCCGGCAAGATCCCGCAATTCATCATGCCATCGATCGCAGAGGCAATCTGGGTGACTGCCCCGTTCCGCCGCCTGTGCTTTGTCGCCGCCGCCTGGTTCTGCTACATCAAGGGTATTGACGACAGCGGCAAGGCGTTTGAGGTGGTCGACCCGATGCTCAACGAGCTCCAGGCCAAGGCCCGTGCTGGAGGTACCAACCCGTCCGAGTTGCTCAGCATCAAGAACCTGTTCGGTGATGACTTGCGTACCGACCCGAGGTTCCTCAAAGAAGTCACCAAAGCCATGGAGGACATTACCCGGGATGGCATCTTGAAGACGCTTCCCAAGTATATTGACTGATAGCCACGGCGAGGGGCTGTTGGCTTGGCGCAAATGATACACATACATCTGCTACGATGTTTGCAAATCTTCTTCTTTTTCCTCTTTTTTTTTTTTTTATTTTTTTTCTTTCTGGGCATGTCTTATTTGGGAAAGCGATTCGGGAAGACGATGGCATAGAGATAGATATGATAGACAAGATCCCCGGTTTTCACTTGATCATTGTTGGGGTCAGCGAAGCATGTATTTAGCAAAATGGAGAGGTCATGTATAGTTCATAATAAGCATTAGCGGTTGGGTCTCCACCTCGGACAATCTCTCTTCACAACATGAATGAGCAGTTTCTTACACAGTCGAGAAATGACTTACCCCCGCCATACGAGAAGCTCCAAGCAAGTGGCGAGGAACTACAGTTTACCAGCACCACTAGCATTCTGCGTGCTACGGAAGCATTAGCTCAGTATGCGCGACATTGCTATAGTTGGAATAACACAGCAGATCAATACCCAGCTCAGCCAGATGTTGGAGCGAGAACCATTCTCATGGTCATCGAAAATTACATCACGCAATACGCGCCAATAGATTCTTGATTATGAGCAGGCGGGTACGTCGTCATCAATCTGGATTCTGGAGGCCACTATGTGGAGTCATGGACAGGCGCCACCCTGGAAGAATGGAGCAACATGGCTACTTGTGATGCCCCGTAGACCGTTTCCCTGTCGGCCGGGTTTAACATGTACACTGTTCACAACAGGCAGCCGACTTCCACTGGGACTGTATTCGGTAGCTACCTTTCAGGGATACTCCCAAAAGCTGGAAACTCCACCGATGGCATCAAGACAGTCTTCCTCAGTAATGAAGCCGTTCTGATAGGTTGATCTAGATCCTCTGCTCAAACCAATGGGCAGAATGTAGCCTCTTTCTAGACAGTCACGCGCCGGGCAGTATAGTGTTGAGGTCATTTCCAATGGCGAGTGTAATTCCTAGTTCGTGCAAGATAGACGTGAAGCACAGTCGAGATTGTCTCCATCTTGAGGCAACGGGAGAATAATTCTAGAACCGCGGATAACACAAGTTCGCAGGTCCACTGAGAGACATCTGGTGACGAAGCGGAAGCAACCGCTTTGAAGCTACTGTTCGACAAAACCCTGGGCAGAGCAATTCTAGATTCAGAATGATAAGGTCGACTTTCGACAAAGAAGAGGAAGTTAGTGCTGGAAGTTAGTACTGGAATATTTATTTAAGGACCCGAGAAGTATCTGCACTGGACGTATGGCCTACTCCAACCAGTACTTGTCTCCTCAAGGAATAGCCTACTTCAAGAATAGCTTAGAAGATGCACGTTAAACAATATCTTTACATTGGACTATACCTGATCCTTGGCCAGGGGATGATCCAATCTTGTTCAGCGCAGCTTGGTAAACTTTGTTCTTCAGATCAGATCCAGAGCAGCGATCTTGATTCGTGCCTATGCTCGTCAGGAAAAAGCTCGACCTGCCAGCCCTGTTCATTGGGAACGTGCGAAGGAAGATCCATCCACTCCTTCAGCAAGCTGATCCCGCAGGGTTGTGGCAAGGGCTGTGTTGATGAGAACAGAGACTGCGACTCCTGCTATATTTGGTTTTCCGAGTTGTGCCAGTGCTTGCAACAGGGAAGCTGTCGGACGTACAAACCGCTTCCGGGAAACCCTGCCTGGGTACTAATGGATTCGGGGCGTCTAATGACAACGACTCGGCGAGCCCCAGGGATCCTTCAACTAGACTCCGATGACCCTTGGGACTGGGGACAAACCCTTTGGGATCGCAAGTCACAGGCATTGACAATCAATTCTGTGTATTCGCGAAGCCAAGAGCAGATACATGTCCATATCTGTCCTGCAATTGGAAATGTCAAAGAAATCCTTGGCCGTCAAAACTATGACCGTTACCAAACTATGGCCCCGCTGGTGCCTCAGCCCGGCGCAAAACCGTGGCAATGCCGGGTCCAGTCAGCCCCTGGTCAACCGATCCACGGGGTGACAGCGGACATACAGGCACAGATTCCCAAAGCATCATGCCCCAACTACGTTGGGGCTGCCGTAGTAGTCGACTCTCACGACCGAACGTGGGTATGCGTGACCACAGATGACCAGGCTACTCAGTACACTTTCTGCACCAAGTGATAGAAGTGGTCCGAGCTGAGATGCATTATGACGAGGGAGGTATGAAGTTTTCACCATGCACAGTCACCAATCTGACTACCTACTGAGCTACGCAGATTTTGACTTTTGGGAGCATATCTAAAGTCAAATTTGGGTTGGATTGAAGCCCACTGAGGTTTCAAGCCCACTGAAGGTTCGAGATGCAAGGTTGCAGCATTAATAATGAGCAAAAAGTGTTTTCTTGTTCAAGTAAATCCACGCATTTCAAAAGTGATTCAGGCTAATATATGGAAGAGCATGTAAAGATGGAATGGAAATAACTATGTTAGGTTAATCCATGTCAGAATATGCGCACATTGTGAATCCAAATGCTTCATCTATTTGACTTAGCAGCGGACGTAGTCTCCATTCTTCTTGCTTAATTCATTTTTCTATATGAAATAGACTGGTTTTGCCATTGAAGACCAGGCTAGTTACAGCGGGTAATTCAGCCTTTCAAAAAGTCGAGAAGGTCCTTGTTGACTTCGTCAATGTTAATATTGCGGATCGCAAGTTGATACGGTTCTCGTTGCTTGTCAACCAACGACCCCCTCCCAGGTCACACTCACTTGTCCAAGGCCTGTATCGAATTTACTTGTATGCAGCCTCATTTCCTTTATGGAAGCCCCGCTTGATCCTAGCATTTTTTCCTGATTTTGTCTTAATGCTCTGATCATCTGGGTACTGATCTCAGATTCAAGCACACATTGTCATCCAGTGATCGACATGGAAAATCATCTAAAATTCCTGTATTATAATTGTATCCCTTTCTTACACCATAGAGAATTCAGATCCGCCATAAATGCATCTGCGACCATGAAACCCCTTGTCGAAATCTCTTGAAGCCTCGCACGAATCGACTCTGTCTCTTGAGCGGTTGTCACTCTTGCGCCTGCTACTCTCAAGGGGAAAAACAACAACACAGGCGCCAAATTTGCGGTCTTCAAAACGATCCCAGTCATTTGTAGAATCGCATCGACATGATTCTGAATAACAGCCTGCGAGATTGTGGGCGTGGGTATTTTGTTGAATTGAGTGCGGTAGTCGAAGATGCCGGACAGGTAGATGGAGATGCCGTGAAAATAGATTGATGCGAGAGCGGAGTAGGGATTATGTTCGGGCGTACCAGTGTCGGCCGACCACTTTTGGAAGTTTGCATACCAGTCAGCAAGAGCTGATCGGACAGCGAAACCTTCAGCGGCAAGCTCAAGGAGGGCCTTGTGAAGGAGCATGCTTGGGCATTTGGAGCCCGGGTTGAGCAGATCCCATACCCTGCGCTCGGTCAATCATATAATAGGATATAGAGGGCATGCGAGTGTACTTGCCGGTGACTTATCGAAGAACATGTGATCATCAGATCGAATAATAGTTCCTTTGGATGCCAGTCGTTGTCATCCTCGTTCCAGATCCTAGTCATAAGTGACATCCATTCCGGCTGGCAGAGAAAAGTAGGTTCTGAGTATATGAGAGCGCGGCAAATCTCAAAGACCCGTACTGTGAGGAAAAATGACCGCCCGGAGCCAGCTATATGAGCTTCTGGACCGCGAAGCTGAAGCATTTGAGACGTGCCGTACAGAAAATGCTTCACCCAGCCTTCTCCGGTGAAATCATGCATGAGCTACTTAAAAGGTTAACCTCCAGCTTCCGATATGTTTTGCGCCCAAGACCCTGTTGACCTACTTCGAACAGCCCCAAGAAAAACGTGGTCCATAGGTTGACATCTCGTGGGATGCTGCTGCTTACAATCTCGGCTTTCAATTTGGCGATCGAGGTGTGGTAGGCCGTTAAGGCTCCCACAGCCGCAGCTTTCCTCTCCGGATGTATAGTCAGCAGCGACCTCCTGCTCAGATTAAGTGCACCCAGGGCAATGGATGCATGATACATGCTGGGAGATCTCTGGAATTCCGATATGATAGTGCCGAGGTCCAAGGGGCCTCCAAAGTCATTTCTTGCCAGAAAGTCCGAGAAGAAATGCTTTACAAAGAGAACCGAGCTTCCTTCTGGTACCTTTGGGTGGAGCCTAGGCATGGGAGGATGAGTAGCGAGTGAGAGACAGTCGGACCTTTTGGAAGGCGTGGAGACATCGACAAAGACTACGCCAGCCTTGCGCTGAATTGATTGAGGGACGCATTGTTGTTTCCGTTTTAAGCAATACTGACAGGGAGGACCACCTTCGCACTACTGAGGGTTAAACTAGAGTAGGGGGGACAGGAACAAACAGTTTCGCCGACCGATTCTATGAGAAGGAATTGCTGACCTTGATTCTGCGCCGTGCGCAGGCCGCGCATCTGGTGCGAGCAGTCCGCCGATCGAGTGGTCCCAGGACAGCCATTTCTCAATTCACCGTTCAAACATTTATAGGCTTTCTGTCATAGAAGAATTACTGTTCCTGCTAGTGTCTGGACACCTTTTGAGTGCAGCGGTAGATTCCTACAACACCGTGTGTGCAGGAAGTGGCCTGGAAACGCCTTGTTACTCCTTATGACTTGTATGGAGGAGTATTGAGCGGAAGGTTCGAGGAAGAGATCCAGTAAAGAAGAAATGGGCCATGCCAAGACACTAGTTGTTATCCCGCCTTTCCTGAAGAGGCAGCATTCGAACGCAGTTGCTTGGCACATGAGTTGTCATGGAAGAACTCCTGTTACTGCCTAACTAGAGCCTGGACACCTGTTTAGTACAGCAGGAATCTAAGCCTCCACAATCCAGCCAAATGGTGAGCGAAAGACGAGCACATCACACATCTGCAGAAAGGATCCACGAGCGCGCTGAATCATTTCCTGAATAGGTAGTATGAACATCAAGATGACCCGGCTAACATCAGACCCGACGGAAGCCACAGAGTCTGTGGGACTGACTCCAGAATCCTATATAAGACGAAGAACTTCTTCCTGTTTTTTTCTGTAGCAAGATATATAGGTTCTCATCTTTTCTCTCCTAAAACACAATTGTCCCCCGTTGCCCATCACTTTTTGCTACGATGTTCAACCTCTCTGGCAAGCACCTGCTGCTCGCTACTCTCTTTACCCAGCTTCTCCCAAGCATCAGCGCGGTGCCCTTCCCCGCTACAATTGGCCCGTACAACACCAGCGTTGTAACAGCGCAGCTCATCGACCATCATCGTTTGGATCCCTACGCCCCAACGCCACAGCCACGTACTCTGATGATCTCTCTCTTTCATCCCGTCCCTCCACCAGCATGTTGCCCCTCCCTGACGCCCTACATGGATCCCATCAGCGCAACCTTCGAGGATGAACGGTACGCACAGGCTGGTATACCAGCCGGCGCCTTCAGCTCCCTTGCCCTTCAAAACTGCAAGCCTTGCCCTAGTCGCCGGGTCAAAAGGTCAAATTATCCGCTCATTCTCTTCTCCTCTGGCCTGGGGAATATTCGGCTCTTGTACAGCGCTATGGCACAGCAGTGTGTATTCCCCTTCTTCTGTCCCTCGCTCAGTAGAGCTTTAAATCGACAGGTTCCGCTAACATTTACTTCGCCGCAGACTGTCCAGCACTGGCTACATCGTTGTAACCGTCGACCATCCCTACGATGCAGATATCGTAACATTCCCCAACAATTCCACAATCCTCGCCGCAAACATTACAACCAATACCCAAATCATAGATGACCTGAACATCCGCGTGAAAGACATGTCATTCGTCCTTGACCAGCTCCACCGTCCATCTGTCATCTCAAGGCTCATCCCAGACCGAACTTGCGGGTTGGATACCTCTAAAGTGGGAATCTATGGCCACTCCCTTGGCGGCGCCACCGCAGCTGAGGCTATGCTTTCTGACCCCCGTCTCATGGGAGGTGTCAACCTGGACGGTACATTTTTCGGCTCTGTTATCGACCGGGGATTGGATAAGCCCTTCATGATAATGGCGCACGAAGGGAAGAATTTGACAACTGATCCGAGTTGGGGTGCACTGTGGCCGAAGCTGAAGGGTTTCAGGAGAGGATTTATGCTTGGTGGGAGCACGCATGGTACGTTTACGGATTTGGCGGTGGCCGCTGATTTGATTGGTCTGAGAGCGGAATTTCCGGCACAGACGGCTGCACTATTGGGGAGTATTGATGGAAGAAGAGCCCTTCAGGTTATTGCTACTTATACTAGCAGATTCTTTGACGTTGTTTTGAAGGGGAAGAAAAGTGAGTTGTTAGATAGGTCCAGTATGGAGTTTCCTGAGGTGACTGTTGGAGAAAATTAATTCCAGGTAAGGTACCTAGTTTAGGAAATGCGAAGATATTATAGCCTTGCTCAGTATCCTTGTTTAAAACATGCAGTAGCAATTGATGACTGTCACAGACCTTAGTTTGCCCTCTAATTACAAGAAATCAGATAACTACAATGTATTCAAGGCTCTGATGCCACAAGGAGGTAGTATATGTTTAAGTATGACTGATAATTGCGCTCTCATGCCCATCATGACAGGCTATGATAAGTAGGGACTTTTTGACTTGAGACGCTCTTCACTGGTTACATCTGATGCTGGCCACTAAACCTTGCAGATCAAGGATCCTTATAATTTATAACCTTGGTTAACTTTTTTCTAACCTTGGTCAGCTGTATGATGCATGGTGCATCCCAAGCAAGATGTATTACTCATTAGTTTCCATTGATGATCCACTCATCAGGATCCTATCATCCTACTGGGCAACGCTGTTAAGAACCAAAGATGGTCCTTAGCGAACTCTACATCTGTGTTTTCTAGCTAAGGTTGGGCCAATAGCCAATCATTTTCTAAACCCCCATCAGTCTTGTTTTGAGCAACGTTTGCTGAGTGGAATGAATACAATGGGTAGAAGCCCAATTACCCCCAGTTTTGGTATGCTGTTTAGAAACTGATTATGATCTAAAATTAAAATGCAAGCTGACAACAATTCCAAGGGTCTTTGCTTAGATGGTAGTTTCTTGATTGCTAGAAATACTAAATGATATTCCTATCAACCCTGTTAACCTTGCTGATAGCTAATCGAAGGTTATTATGCTTTCTCCTACCATTATATATATAACAACAGCGCATGCTTCTCGTACAAGCCAAAAGCCCTAGTCAAATCTTGCATAGACCTTCCACGCCAGGTCTACAGAGGTAAGCTGACTTAAATCCAGCTGCTCGCCATGCAACAACTCGATCGTCCACTGAGTAAAGACAGTGGGATACGAATGGACCTCATCCCCGAATGACTCGTCGATGTGAACCTCCCCAATCTCACCGGTAGCAGTAATATCGTAGGAGACCCGCGCCCCCTGTGGCGCACGGGTGAACTCAAAGATCTTGCCGTCTTGGATGTCCGCATACAACCCCGAGGTTGAGATATTTAGGTTAACGCGATACACCCCATTTTGAAGGTTCTCTGGTCGGGGACGAGCGCCCCGGAGATAGGCCTGTAGGCCGGCTGTTCGGAAGTGAGACCCATCCGTGAAGATGCTGGCAAAACCCGGATCGTTTGCTGGATCTATGCTCGGAGTTAGGGTGAAGCTGGCGCGATGGGTCTCGCTCTGAAGGCCGGATATTATTGACGGACCGAAGTTGGACGGAAGCTGTATAAACTTGTTAACATAGTCCAGCAGGCGCACGGAGACGAGACTAATTGGGGTTATTAATGCGAAGGCAGCTCTTACGTCGCTTGTGGACACTGTTTGACTAAGTACTGATTTGAATGTGTTAGTAACATGGTGAGGAAGGCCGAAAGTATGGACAGTTTAAAGACCTACACTGCAGGATTCTGTCGTACTTGGAGTTGACAGTATTCATCGCCTCATCAATGAGATACAGATCACTGCGGAACTGCGCCGTGCTCTTCTGGGAGTCCAACACCAAAGGGCTGTCTTCTAGGGCCCAGTACTTGTATGCCCAGGCCATATTGCGCATCTGGATAGCCACCGAAGTCTGCATGGAAAGAAAGGCGTCGTAAAACTTAGCTTCGGCTACAGCATATAGCGCCGCTTCCCCGGTATATCTGTCGACCAGATCTTCGAGTTCCTGAATGTTCTTCTGACAAGTGATCACAGCCATCTCTGCCTGAACATATTCCTGTCCTGCCTTGGTGGCCTGAGCATCCGCTTGAGCCAGCGCCTTTCCATTAATGTTATATTTCTGCAGGGCCATCCGATAATCTGCTGAGCCTCGGATAGAATGGGCAATTGCAAAGTCCAGCTGGGCGACTGAGTCCAGGGTCCAGGTATCCCATGCCGCCAACGTGATGATCAGCCTCGCATCGGCGTCTCCTTGGCTGGACCCGGAGATGTCATCCATGGCCGGGATCGCGGCATCTGGATCGGTTTCGCATTTCTTGACCGCCGCGACGATCGTCATCATGGAGAAGTACAGAGTTTCTAATGGAGCCATACATTCTGTGAGCTGTTTCAGAGTATTGGAGGAGATCTTCCTATCCTGTTGCGCTGTATTTCTCTCCGCTGCCTTGACCTCGTCGATGATCCCTCGTACGGTGTTGATCGCTTTCATCACATCATCCAGGGAAAAGGCTGTAGAGATACCGTACAGTTCCGCGCCAAATTCTGAAACCCAGTGGTAGCCGGCAACTCAGCAAAAAAAGACCGGGTGATACGCATGCTATCCATCGAAGAGGCCCAAGACTTACCAATGATCCCACTCAGAAGGCCAAAAACGCCTTCGAAAAGCGCCCTTTCTTCCCAGGCCAGCAGACCCTCCTGGAATGCTTGTCGAGCGGAGTCCAACTCATGACGACTCGCTGTAACCATATCTCGGCAACTGTCCCGAGTGTCACAGGCATCTGAGTATTTTTCAGAAGCAGAGTTGCGGGCCTGCTCGCGCAGGGCTTGCTCATTAGTGGCCTGCTGGAGCATGGCCTTCCAGGCAGCCTTTTGATCCTCCACGATGGCGTTCTGATCCTGAAATCGTTCATACTGTGTTTCGAATGCTTCCAAAGCATCGATGGCATCCTCTACAGTTCGCCTGTACTGGCTGATGGTCAAGGCGGGTGCATAGGTTGTGTCGGGCCCGGTCATGGCCTGCGCGGCCAGTTGCTGGCCCAGGGCAACTGCCTGCGCATTGAGGGCGGGGTAAAGCGAGGGCCGGGCCGTAGCAGCGGCTCCATACGCACACAGGGACATGGCAATGGATGGCTTCTGCCAGAATAGCGCTTGCGCGAGTCGCAGTTGTGTTGCAATTGTGGCCTGGAAGATCTCATCCGGGCTGTCGAAGTACTGCTGGTAGTACACCACGTTCAGACTGTTCGTTTGGACTGTGACTATCGCCCCGAGGTTGTTTGTTCCAGGACCCAGCTCCAAGCGAACACTCTGTGACGGATCAGGACCCTGCACTGTGACTGGCTGGTCCAGGATGGACGCATATATCCGAATCACACAGCCCGTTTGAGGAGCAGGATGGACCCTTATGGTCACGGGAGCATCGGCAGTCAAAACTCGCGCCGCGATGACAAACATACTATCCGCTGTGGGCGAAAAGATCGTTTCTGAAGAGTCGAAGGCAAGGATATCGGTGTAAAAGTACATCACATTGTAGATCAGTGACTCGACGAGTTGAGTAGAGGTCAAATATACGTCTCGCCGATAGCCAGTGTTCTATTGGTGTTGCAGCACCTCAACCATTAACGCAATCAACGGCTTCTGATGGTGTGGGGGTCAAGACTCACAGTCTCTTTAGTTCCAGCATCCTCTTTAACCGGCACTGCACTAACTATGGTTGAGAGTGCATATTCATCATGCCATTTTGCTGGGCAAGTCGGCTGGGGCTCATACAGTGTGGCCATGATTGCGGTGATTGCAGGAGATATATGCTTAGGGTCTGAGAACTACATGTATGAAATTGGAAGAAGTATCATTTACCATTCTTTATAATAACAAGACGGCCTGGTGTTTGAGCTAGCGGGCCAGTCTAGAGTGTCTATGCCATTACATTGCATCACTTTAGATCATGAGCAACGTATATATAAGTATCAGAACGGTTCTAGTGAGCCGTAGATTAAAGTATAGCCCGACTGCAAAATGTCGTTAAGATGGATGCCAGAACAGAAAATGCCTCATATTGCGAGAACCCCGCAGGATTCCAAGGCTTCTGAGTGACATATGCATATGGAGATATATGGGGGGAGAAGTATATCAGGCTGTGCGCTTGTGCTGTAGCTAAGTGGACTGAAGAGGATATCCATCCTTGTCTGTTTGCCACTAGCACCTTTAATATTCAAGGCATTGGGCTGCACAACACATGCAATGATATAGACTGACAACATCGTGCATCCAATGCTGGTGGTATGCTGCACATCCCTACCCCCCAAGTCACAGAAGTGTGTTTGATGGTTCAATCGACGAAATTGGGCATCTGCCATTGCGGGGTAAGTGTGGTAAATTCACTTCATATATCATTCGTCCTCTTCTCTCGTCAACCAGCCGACGCCTATGATAACCTCAAGGCAATTCAACAGTATCAATACCCATCATGAGTGAAACCGAAATTAGCAAGCGCCTGCAGTCCTCCTTGAACAGTGAGAAAGGGGGATTCAATGAGGTAATTTGGCAACAGTCGCCCACAAACCAATGCTAAGCAGACTGGTAACTTTGCTCTAGATCATCGCTTTATCCCAGAAGGCCATTAACAATGCTATGTCTGATCTGTTGAAGAAGCATCCAGAGCTAACTGAAGTCAAAGCTACTTTTGAAGGAATCGGCACTCTGGACGCAACACTGAAGAGTAGTCAACTTTCCCTCAATGTTACCGGGCAGGACAACCTAGCCTCCATGTACTATTGTACCCTTGAGTCCGGAACGGTCCATTATGTCATTGGGTCAGTCTGAGCATCTTCATATTATGCACTATTCATTGCTTCGCTGACACTGTATCGATTTATTGCCGACAGTGACAAAGACTTTCAAGTGAACGGCTGGACCATCGCTTGGACTTGCACCTTCGACAAGGAAGAAATTGATGCAAGCTCCGACGAGTTCAAGAAAGTTCAAAACCAGATTAAACAGCCTGGGGACTTCTCGATCAGCTCTCTATTCTTCGCTTTTACCAGTAAGTACGGCGGGAGTCGCTCCCATTTTGGATGCTAGATCGTCAGGGGCTGACACAGACTTGCTTTTGTGTTAAGATGATCATATCATCAATTTTGAGTCAGCAACCATACCTCTGGTGCCTTTGCCATCTTGGATGGCGTTCATTGCTGACACTACTTCTTAGCCGGGGACACAGCGACTTCAACGGAGCCGACCTGTCAGATGACCAAAAAACGTACCTGAGTTTGATCCTGAGCCATTGGTACGTAGGCGAGAACAGCAAGTGGCAGGACCGCCAGAAACGCACCCTGGCCTATGCATTGCATACGGCCAAGCCCGAAACCGTGAACGAGAAAGCACCATCCTTTCCCCCCACGTCTGTGAAGTTACAGACCTACCCTTACATCCCCCCCAATTAGACAAAGCCGGGAGAGGGCCTTGGGCCGGACGGCGAAAACAACATGCTCCTCTATCTCCAAATGACTGAGAACCGGGCGTTTCCAGACATCCGGCTTCTGGAGTATTCTGGCAACTATGTTTCCCCAGGCATCAACGGCACGATTATCATTGATCGCAACATAATCTGGGATAGCTACCTTTTTCGACAATCTCCCTCCCAACTGCTGTCTCTATTCAATGCTTATACGTACGCGTGGATTGATAGCGCGGATATTCCTGACATACTGGCGGAGCAGTGGAGAATTGCACCAGGGGACCCCAGCCATTCCAGCGGCGCCAGTTTTTATGCGTGGAAAGAGAGCACGCCCAATGCTTTGACTTGGACATGGGCTCCATCGAACGACGAGCAGAAGTATCACAACACGCTCAAGACAGATGGAGGCTGGAATAGACTTGACATTGATTGTAAGTGTGCTTCTTGTCATGGACTCCATGGACTCAGTTTCTAACAATGTCGGTTTAGGCACCACAAATAACACGTTGAGCATTGTGCCCGGAGCTAGCAACATCAATGCGAGTGGCATTACAGACATCAGAATCAAATGCCAATCCGTTGGCACCACGTGGCCCATGAATTGGGAATACGATTACACGTGAGTGTATATTCTCTGCAGTGTAATCTCTCGCTGGACTTAATCTAAAAGAGGGGATCCAGCATTCATGTCCAAATCACCTGGCAAAGTAATATCACCATCGCGGCCACCGACGGCGGCCTGAAGTTTTCTCTCAACTTGCCTGCTGATCTGACCACCGTTTTCCAAGTGGCGGCAGATCCACTACAGTTCAGTAGTAGTACTGCAGGCTTCAATACGCTGGAGAGTGTCAAACAAAAAAACCAGGGCTTGCAGGACCAGCTTGTCCAGCGATTTAAGAGCGCCTCGTTCGGCGACGTTGAGAAAAATCTGGAGAAGGACCTCAACACCTCTGCTCGGTTCGTAATTCCTGGCAACTCCTCATTGTTGTATGAGAAGCCAATTTTCAACAACAACGGAGACTTGATGATTGAGGCAAATTACATAGTATAGTTTGCTCCACTTTTGCTGCCCTATAATCAGTTCCCAGCAGTGGCAAGCTATTTCTATGTTTAGCCTGAAATAAGGTTCTTATTTAGTCCACTATGAGATTGCTAAATGAATGCAGCTTCCCTTTCCGGGTTTTTATGGTCTGGTGTGGCCACAACACCTCTCTCTGTAAACATCATCCCTATAATTCGCAAGGATTCTGTCAGGACCATATCGACTTGAGAGGTTACCTGCCCAAAAGTGCTTGACTAAGCCCCGCACGAGCTGTTGAGAGAAGCCCTGCACTGAGTCCTATCAATATTTCACTCCCACTTATTAAGTGGACAATGATTCTGTCTGTGTCAGCTGAGTCCATGACTCTCAAGTCAAGGTGTAGAGCTATCATTGTCTGTTGATTCTTAACAATCACAACAACAACAACAATACTAATAATAACCATACTAACAACAACTCATTGCGGAGAAAAGCGAAGTGACAGATTATTTTAGCAATATTGAGAGAGCATAAAGCTGAGGCACCAGATCGATGTATGGAAAATAAGGCACCAATAGTATACAGCTTTGAAGAATCTGATGTCCTGGTGAACCTGGCAGCAGCTTGACGCAATTAGAGCCAAGGAGGGTATGTTGATAAATATTCAAACATTGAAAGCCTTGGAGTCCCAAAGGCAATTCATCCTAGGAAATTAAAGCACATCATCATGGGATCTTGTCTAAAATGTAAATTCACACTCCTCAGCGCCAAGCAAAACCCCCTGGAGTAGTCAGATTCCTTTCTGCTTTTTACGAATCGGATAAGGACCCTTTACCTTGTTGAACGAAGACTGATGATTATGCATCAGCCACCGCTGTGGCTCACACACCATTTCAAAGATCACAACCCTGAGTGGTGTGAGTACGAAAGCACTTGTCATGCATCATCCTAAGTACAGTCTAGACAGATCATGTGCCTCTCGAAATGGAGAGGATGCAGGCAGAGAGGATTGCTAAGGACTCAATGAATAAGAGGGCAATCCATCCTATCGAAGTTGGTCTGTTACGTAGGAAAACACCACATAGACTGAAAGGCAGCACTACATGGTGCATCACTTGACGCCATAAGAAGATTATTTCAAGTAACCGAATGTGCACTTTCGGAAAATTAACTGCATTTCTCATCACATATCGTTGCTGGAGAATTGTGAACCTGGGTGGTCTAATTTCCAGGCATCTGCTCTTGTCCAAGGGCGAGTTGAACGACAGTTAATGTTGTGCAGCAGCATAGCAACGTAAGTGTTCAGTGGGCGACTAATCTAGTAGGATTACACGTAAGTGAAGAACAATTGCTAGACGAGAATGCCCATGCCCTATATTTTGATTTTGATGATGGCAGTGTTGCTGAGACTCGGTATTTAGTTGGCTCAGAAGAGCCACACAGTTAGGTCCGGCGTCAAATCGGTCTGCCGTTCGAAGGAGAGCATACCAAGGACAAATGTTCTTGATATCATACCAAACACTGACTTCTGTTGGTCTTCTCTCTTAAAGCCAAGAAGATATCTTATTCGCAAATTGACTATTCTGTCAGCCGATATCCGACGGCGCTAAATCATCAGATCGAAATTCGGCAATCTCATGATCATCTCCAAGAAAGAAACATCGGTCGTCTATGCATATCAATATTGATCAACATTTTCCTCAAGTATAAGCTGAATCCCGATGAGGGACTCATCATGAAGATCGTCAAGTAGCTCATTCACCCTTACTCTTTGAGCAGTAGCAGCTGTGTCTGGTCGACTACGTATACTGTTAGTTACTGGCTTTGCTGGGTGATGGACTAGGAGGAGAAAAGCATCTTGGCAGGTGATGCCATTCATATGCATTCTCCCAAATCAGGACTGGGTTGAATGTGAGTCCAGGACACCTACAATTTTGGTTGGAAGCTCAGCTCGGTGATCCAAGGAATCTGCCATCCAGAAATTCTCCACACCTATCAGGAAAAGAGACTACATGTAGCCATTAGACTTGGTGCTTGCTTTTGCTTCAGGGAAATCTGTTAGACGTCCAAAACAGGGGAATCTAACACAGTGCCTCGTTGAGGAACTGATTTCCTCGAATTCGCCGCATCAGAAAAAAACAAGTCAACGGATCAAGGTTGAAATTAATTTTTTTACGTGCCTCTCCACAAATTGAGGTTGATTTGTCCAACTTTACAGCTTTAGTCGGAGCTAACCAGGCACTAGGTGAAATAACTCATGGTCTGTTCTTTATTGATTATGATAAGGCGTGCATATATGCATATATGCATAATCCAATATATTGTACAAGAGTTATGGGATTAGACCAGAGTATTATCTTGTACTTATTCATCCTGATAACCACATCTCACTTATTGGCAGTCCTGAGGATACAGGGGCCATATGAGGTTTTCTTAGTCCCTAAAATAGCTTTAGCATATGTGTACCCTACAGCGGCTTGAAAGCCTGGAAGAATAAAATATCAGTGAGGGTATTACCACTTGGAATGCTTAGTGAACATGTTATGTTGCCTGCAGATACAGAGCTACTTTGAGAGATCAACTGTATGAAATTTCATGCAACAACATAACTAGTGGGGCTATCATGTCTCAGTAACTGTGCATTTCTAGCTCTCCTTTCCAGTCTTTCTTGCAGCAGGCTATAGGCAGCCATAGTAAGAGTCATTAACCTGTAAGCCACAGCGCACCCTGTAGTGATTGTGCAGTCTCTCGCTGTTTGGGATCAATCATCATCATGGATTGGAGCAATGAAAGAAAATTCTCTTTCTCAGCTCCATCAAGACACTGTATCCATGTTTCCAGCCTTGCCGGTGGGCGTTGCGCAGGATCTTGAATTTGGAAGTGTTCATCAAAAAATTGTTGCACAATTTTTGGATTTCCATCATTCAACAAGTCAACAGGGAATGGACCAAAGAGCGCATCAATCTCTTCAATATGATGTTTGGTGTGATAAATCCCTCCAGTCGCGTCAGTTTTGCCAGAGAACATCTGCACTGCATCTAGAAGCTCAGGAAGTAGGGCGCCTAGATTCCAAATATCAACTTCCTTGCCCCAGGGGGCCTGTAATATGACCTCCGGTGCGCGAAGAAGCTTGGGCTGGATCATCTCTGTGAGATGCTTCTTTACCCAGCTTGCTGATCCCCAGTCACAAAGAGCAATGCTTATCTGGCTTAGCTCAGAAGTGTTATTGAAGTTATACTCTCCAAGATTCACATTTGGGTTGCAAAGTGAATCTTCCAAATATTGATCAATGATAGAGAAGTCTCTGATCTTCACCATAATATTGTCTTGTTTGATGTCTAAGGGTGAGCAGAGAGTTAGCTTTTATATGGTTCTTACAGATTCAAAAACTTCACCCACCAGTATGGATAATCTCCGAGGAATGTGCATATTCTAAGGCGGAGAGCAGCTGCTTTGTAACTCGCTTCATGATGTGATTAGGAATCTTAGCACCATCGAAGAAAAAGCTAAAGCCCTTCATGTCTTCTGCCATAGGTTCCATCACAAGACAAACATGGCGCCCGAGTTTCCCAACGTAAACAAAATCATCCAGAAGAACAGAGATATGCTGATAGCCAGGATGATTTGGATTAGCTTTGCGGAGGTGCCTTAAAATCTCCAACTCAAAAAGATCATGTTTGCCGTCATAACAATCTTGCTCCAGGATTTTTACAGCCTTATACGTCGCCTCTCTGGAAAATGGGTAAGTATCCTTTTGGTATGGTAGTCTCTTTATATCATGACCTACTTTCGATCCTTTACTAACCAGACAGTTGAGTAACGCCCTGACCCAAGCTTTTGGAGGACATGATATCTATCATGTAGAAGTTGATTGAGGTGAACAGGGTCAGCATTAAGCTGCTCTTCTTGAGAGACCATACTTCTGAACAAAACAATTTATTGCTTAGTAGCTAGAAGTGATAGGTTGGTGATGGAATTCAAAGCCTGAAGGATTCTCATATATGAGATATTGATGGAAAATGGTGAAAGAAATAAGACGCAATTTTGTTTTAGCTCTTGATCCGCTGCTAGCGCTCTCAGTCGAGCCCATGGGGAAGCTTCACTCTTCCCCAAATCTCGTGATGGGGTCGGTAACCTTCAGGGGCTGGTCTGCACAACTAGGTAGTGTCTGTTCCCGAGAGTGCTGAGTCAGACTCATAAAATTACCATATGAGATGTATTGATTATGCTGCTGTCTCTCCGCAGACGAAACCGGGGCACGGACGCGCTATTTCCAAGTTGCATCGACGTCTCAGCATAGAAACCACCAATATTCGGGCCAACAGCCCGAGATCGTATATCCGATCATCGATGCCTCTACATACTTGTAGTAGTTCGTCAATGGCAAGGCCATCTTGTTCACAGCGGCTACTCGTGATAGGAGAAACTCCGCAGTGCTCCCGCCACCTCAGCAACACCTAACTAATCCTTTCAGAATCGCAGGAATCGGGCATGGTATCGCCCTCGACTTCTCCAGGGCCTCGGCGGTCAAGCCTATTGTGGCCGTCCCAGAGGAATCAAAGCTTGAAGAGACCCGACAGTGGCTACTGATGAGCATGGCTAGTTTACGATTGGGGTCGAGCTCAATTAGTCTTCGTCTGGATGTGTGGTCCCGTTTTCAATCCTTGAAAGCGAGTGCATCAATTACGTTATAGTCTAAATCAAGTAGATAGGACAGTTTCTTTAAATCTCCCTTGCCTCGTTAGGGGTCTACCAGGCAGCTTGCATTTGGGTTTATAATATTTATGACGTGGTGTGGATTCCTACGAGTAAGCCTAGAAGTCACAGCAGATCTCTAGTCAAACCACTTCAAGCATACCTTGCGCAATCAGGGCGGACAATCAACTGCAATCTTTTCTTCCGTGACTTCATTGCCCAGGGAATTATATTTGTCCTCAGGATTATACAGGTGCAGTCAAAGTCCTCTTAGTGAATCAATGACATGGTCCGGATGTAATGAGCAACTGTGCCAGGCCAAGGAATGAACACTTTACCCTTCGAGTTTTTGTCTATTGAATTTACAGTTTACGTTAGCTAAAGCCCGTGCAAATCAAGACCAAGAACTTGTTTAGCAGGTTAGACTCACACCAAGATTAGGGTTAGGGTTTGGGTTAGGGTTTGGGTTAGGGTTTAGGGTTTGGGTTAGGGTTAGGGTTTAGGGTTAGGGTTAGGGTTAGGGTTAGGGTTAGGGTTAGGGTTAGGGTTAGG